TCTTTGTATCACAGGACTGTTTGAATTTGCTTTCTGATGCGTAGTATGATGACATGCACTGTTCTTAGTGGAATCCACCAAATTTGAAAAAAGTTGGAAAGCCAAAATCCGAGACTCAATTCTTTTGATTGCATTAACCAAATCATCAGAGAAATCACCCTTCAGATCTGGACATTCAACCTGTCTGGCAGCATTAGAGTTGCTTTGAGCTTCAGGAATTCTATTCAGCAATGATATATTATTCTCTTCATTTTGCTCACCAGCTTTTGCATCAAACATTTGTAGTGATTCTTTTGCATGCTCACCTTCACCGTATAAAGCATTCATATCATCATGCTGTTGTTTGTGATGACTACTCGCTGTGTTGGGCAAAATACCATTCTCATTAGATAGATTTGTTGCTTTGATTGAATCCTGTTGCATCATACTGCTCTCCTCAGCTATACTGCATGGAGTTTTATTTTTTGTTCCTCCATCATCAGAGATGCTAAACTTCATCTCTGGCAGTTCTTTCTTTGATAATAACTTTAACTGAGGCTGCTCATCCTTTTCTGAATTCATTTCACTGCAAGTTGGGTATTTTACAGAGCTTTGAGAAATGTTAGCTGCCACTGGAGAATTTGACACCAGCACAGCCACATGTTTTTCTTGTTCAAAGGATGCCTTAGAATTACCTTCTTGTGTTTCTATGATCTGTGAAGTTTAAGTCAACATAAGAGACACAAAATTACACAACAGAAATCACATTCTCAATTGTGCTGGTCCAGTGCAGTGTGTGCTAGTAGTAGAAGCATTGCCATATAAGTGCAGTTATTCCTTTCATTAAAGTCAAAGCAGAAGAAATGATGGAAAAGAATTATAACCACATCTACAATTTTGTTATTACTATAATGTTCTAGCTAACTAGTGCCCTTAAGGTATTGGTTAAGGAAATGAAAATGAAAGTTTTTATTGGAAACTCTGTTGAGATTGCATTGGAAATCACAGGAAAAATGTATATATTATGTTTTCTAACAAAATAAATACTATTATTTTTAGTTCCTTATCTGGCACTAATTAGCCCTTGCCTAACTACTATTATTTTTTCTAAAGAAGGGTTTCAGTGTCACACTGTAACTAGATGAACCATATGCACACCTTTAAATGAGTCTCAAAAAAATTCTCAACAGCAACATCCAGCAAACTTTTCAATAATACTCGAGCTCTCTGAACCAACTGCAAGAAACAAAAGAAAAATGCTTCTGGGTTACCTCGCCAAAAAGCACTCTGAAATTGTATTAAAAAAGAACACTTTTATTATATTAAAATTATCAAAATATGATAAATACTTTTCTCAATAAAAATTTATTATTATCAGTTCCTTAAACTTAATCGTAAGAATTGAGGTTAACATTTTTTATATTCTACTGCAAGCATGACAACATGAAGTACGAGAACATATAGCAATATTAAAACACCAACATCATCTGAATTTGCAAGTTGCAAGGCAAGACTGTAATCTTCAAGAAGCCTATATAAGAGTCTTATAGCACGGAGATTATTATGCGCATCCTCAAATTCCATTGAAATGTGCTCTGGCTACTTGAATTCTCTTCAATTTGGAAACTTGCATGTGTATTTGCGCATCACAAATTGATCGCCTTAAAAGTTGAGGAAATTGGGAACCAACATGAATCAATTGCAAGATATTGAATTCATGAACAAATATGAATTAATGAATTAAAAAAAAAGAAGCAAAATTTCAAGCATTGGGATTGACAATGTGATGAAACAAGAAAACCAAGGCAGAAGAAGAAAGAGAACAAAGCGCGCGACTTGGTAATTTGTAACCGCCAAAGACAACAAAATGTTGGTTTTATGTCTACAGACTACAATTGCGACTCAATGGGTTTATTTAAAAACTGGTGATAAAACTATTTAAAATTTGTTTTATCTTTTAAAAAAGGTTTTCAAATATTTTTATTTTTAGTTTTAAAATTTTATTTAAAATATTTATTTTACTTTTTAATATCTTAAAATTGACAATAAATATTTAAAACTAGTTATTAATCATGTTGAAATTTGATTAAAAAATAAAATTATATATATATATATATAAACACACGTACATATTATTAATTTTCATATGCACTGCACGGCTGATATTAAATTAAATAATTTTTTAAATATATAATTAAAGTATATTATATGACTATTTCTAAATTTAATAAAATTTATAAATTCAAAAAGAGTAAATAACATTACTATTAATTATAAATATTCTACTTTATTAAATAAAATTATAAATTAATTATGAAGATAACATAATGTTAAATTAAAAAAATAAATACAAATAGTAGAAAAATTATAAAAAAATGATTTCTAAAAATGCTCATGTTTGAGAATATTTCTTTAAATCCTTCTATTTAAGAATATTTCTGAAACTAGCACTCGCAGATTATACATAGAGATTGATAATTAAAAATTTAAAATACTTTAATTAATAGTTTAAAAAATACTCATGACTAAAATGTTTGTAAAAAAAATTATTTAGTCAAGATTTTCTAGAAAATTCTCCTGTCTTTCTCCACTTTCAACATTTCTTCGGTTGTTTTTCAAGTTTAGGGACATATACTATACTAGCTTTTCTTTTTATCTTAAAATTATATATCTCTTTCTCTTAAAAATTTAAAATGTATTATAGTTTAATTCATTTAAAATTTTTATTAAAGATTAAATACATGTTTATTTTTTTTTATTAACATGTTTTTTTAATAAATTTTATATTTTCTTTATCAATTTTCAAAAAACTCAATGAGTTCAATGTAAATTTTATAGAAAAATAAATATTTATTATTATTATAAGAGTTTTAAAGACTTGAAAAATAAACTTATTCTTTTGGTGTAAATAACGTACAACTTTAGAATGCAAAAATGTTTAAAGAATTAAGGCATACAAATGAAAATTAGACTATGGGTAAAAAAAATAAAAATTAGAGCATACAAGTGTTTAACAATACTTTAATAAAAACTTTAAAATTGATTAATTGTTATGTATTTTAATCTTTTACGAGAGAAGGTTTTGTAATTTTAAATAAAAGAAAGAATAATGTAATATATGCATTTTTTAAGTCGCCCTACTTGAATGGCATTGTCTCCATAAATGTGGTCTAGACTCAAAAAAAAAAAAGAGAGAGAGAGAGAGAGAGAGAGAGAGTAGAATGTAATTTACTTTGTCTATTTTTATTTATTAAATGAAGTCTTTGTTTTAATGAGAGTATTTTTATGAACAATTTTTTTTAACTTGTAACAATTTATAGATAATATATTGTTATTTAAAAATACAAAATTTAATATAATTAAATATATTGATATTATTAAAAGTTACAAATATATATAAAGAAAGGTTACTATCATGTGTAATGTTCTGCATGTTAGAAAAATTATTTTACAAATTATTGTAAAGAATATTTAACAAGTGAATCAAGCATGAAAAGAATTATAAATAATAATTTCAAAATGTTAAGCATAACATTAAAATTTACTGTACTTGATCTAAAAATTCTTTCCAATAAGGAGTTATTTTCTTCCTTGTTTTGCCATGCAGTTTTTCCTACTGAGCATATTGATTTTTAGAATTATTATTTTATTTATCTTATTATCAAAATTGTTCAGTCAATTGAGTTTGAAAAACATACCTTTATTTTAAATGTATTTTAAACATTTTGTTTATTTTATTCAATTAAAATTAATTTGGAAAAACTTTTTTTACTCTCTATGATTATTGAATTCTATTTAAGGAATAACATAGTTTTCATGTGGAATTATGATATAAAATATTTATTCTAAAGTAATCAATATTTATAGTTTTCTAACAAATTATTTGCTGTAATTAATAAGAATCGTGTTTTCTGCACACACACACACATATATATATATATATATATATATATATATATATAATTTAATTATTTTCAAAAAACACTTTTCATATTAATTTAAAGAAAACATTATACCAAAAAATATTTAATTCAATCTTATATATCGTACAACTCACAGGTGCTAAACTAATATTTAAAGAAATATAAGCTAAACATGGATTAGTTGGAACTAAAATCTAATTGGAAATCAAACAGAAGATTGAACAAAAAGGAATTGAATGGTAAAAAAGATTACAACAGAATCAATGCCTGAAATTTAGCGTACTTGTCTTGGTTTGCTTCTAGCTGATTCTTCAGAAACTGTAGAGCTGCATCTATCTCTCTTATGTCAACAGCTAAGTTTCTTGCTTGATGAACCCGTGAGATGCTATCAATCTTCAACTTCTCCTTTTGTTTCTCACATTCATTGATTGCCAACTGGAAGTTCTCCCTTTCTTTCTCAAGTTTCAATAGTTGTTCTTTGTGTTGATCAATCAAAGAAGAAATTTCCTTGACCTTAGTATTGGTGGTCAAAATTGATGTGTTGATCATTTCTCGAGTATTTTTGGCTTCCTGACACTTGTGGCAAAATTTTTCTTTAGCCAAGTCAAGTTGCACTTTTCTTGTGACAGCATCATCAAACTTCTTCTGTGTGATGATGACATTGGAGAAAAAGGCCTTGAAGTCTTGAACAAAAGATTGTTGGGTAGAAGAAATACTATTTGAGTTCTTTTCTAGTTCTTCAATAATAAAAAAGACCTTCGACTGGTGTTTATAATCAGTAATAAGATCTCTCAAGTCTGAAGATGTCAACAATTCAGTGAGTTCTTTAAATAATGCTTTGATAATAGAGCTTTTCCTTTGGACCTCAGGTTGACCTGCTTGGGTGGTACATTGTTGAGTCATGGAAGAAATTGATATCTTCCCACTCAGGATGTTCTCAATGGCATTGAGTGGGTCATCTTCAATCAATTTATTAATAGCATCTGAATCAAGAGGGAAGTTGCTAGTGGAGACTTCATTTGCCAGAGAGTTGACTTGGGTTGGAATGAGTTGACTTTTGCTTGAAGCTGTTTCTTTTTTAGAATTTTCTTCCATTGGAACTTGGTTGGGTTCAGGAGGTAGGTAGGTAGATAGAGCCTTCACTTGTTGAGCATCTCTTTCATTGTAACTTGGAGTTGTCTCTAGAAGATTTTGTTGAGGAGATGTAGCCATTATATCTGCAGCAACTGCAGTCAAACCATGAGCAATATTAGCTTCCATAGGAGCAGACTGATTGGTGCTTGAAGTCTGTTCTTCAGTTGCTGCTTTTCTCTTATAGATAACTAGGCCATCCTCATCCGAAGGGACAGCTTCGACAATAATTTTTTCAATATCATGTCCCTGATAAATAGAAATGTAATAAGATATCAAATCAAAATGTTGTGTGTAAAGGGATTGATGTAAACAAAAGTTTCTACATTTTTACAATTTTGCTCTTATTGATTTTATGGTGCTGGGATGTAATGAAAAGAAATTCAGGATATGAAAATTCAGTTATCGTAACTTAGAAGAAAGTTTTGGAAGATACCTTTGATGTTGATGGTTTGGTGAGTTCATTGGATGCTGCACTTGTGGAGGTTGAAACTTTTGACTTCTTCTTAGGAGGTTCTTCTAACTTCCAGTTGTCCTCCTCTTCTTTTGGAAGGTTCATTAATACTAAAATGAAACAAGTATGAGTTCTGAACATAATGGAGATGTCAAATTTGAAATGCAAATAACAGTGAAATAACTAACGTGAGGAAGTTTCAACATTTGAGTTTTTCTTGTTTCTTTTTTAGCATGTCATAACAGTTATTTAGGTTACTATCCAGTAAATGTTACTCTTTTTTGCTTGAAGGATTTAGGTACCCATCAGCCTTGCCAAAGGACGCATTAGGTAGTGTAGGGACCTTTGGGAAATGTCTCTTGAATCCTTTGTGTTTAGGTCATGGCTTTGATGCCAACAAGTCTCCGACGAAGGAGAAGTATTATTTCTGATGAAAAGCTGCTTGATTGTTTTAAAACATTTCCTTCTTGAATGTTTTGATTTAGGTATGAAGAGTCATATTAAATTATACAATATTTCTTGAAATTAGTGAGTTCTTGATGTGCATATTTTCGACATATGTTGAGCCTATACTTGTTGATTTTCTATTTGTGCTCCTACAGTCTCAGAAAAAAAGGTCGTGAACCAAAAACAGCAATGAGCAAAAGGTGTAAAAAGAGTGAATTCTAGTGCTAATGAAATAGTAAAACCGAATTTGAAAATTTGAAGGTGTTGAACTATATTTTATATGTGATTGAGTTTGAGATGAGTCAATCAGAAGTCTTTTATACTTTCTATGATCCTTTTAGGACTAGAATTGATCAGGTGTTCCTAAACATGTTATTCAACTAGAGTTGAAGGAACTAGTAGGGGCCATCCAAATTGGTTAAAGGTTTGGTTCTGTTTCTAAGAAAAGCACAAGCTTCATTTATTGAATCATAGGGTCATGTAAGGTAACACAAATATCCACGCCCTGCTAACAAATAAGAATGGCAAGGGAAAGCAGAGGTTTTGGGATTTGAAGGAACTTTGAGCAAAAAGCTAAAGCTTCATTTCGAATTGTTGATTCATTTCCAGAGATGACTTACAACCAATAGTTTATTATCAAATGAATTTTTCTTTTTTAATACTCTATCTGAAAGTTATCAATATTTATCAAATATGTTCCTATATAACAGAATGCTATTTCTAATTAAAATTAGATTTTCACCTCATTAAACTGTGACAGCACTAGAAGGTCACCTTCTACCGAAATGAAGCTTTAATTTTGATTGAAAAATAGTACCGAAAGAATTGAACATAAGTTTTGTCAAAAAATCAGCATAAACAAACTTACCTTGGACATCATCAATGAATGTTGTAGGCGGATGCAATGAAAGCCACTCTCTTCCCTGTGGATGTTGTTCCAATAAAGCCATTTGAGCCAAATGTGTTTGCTGGGACGATACTGTCAAATTTGAATCCCAATTCTCGTTATTTTTTACTGCTGGAGGTAGAACAATTGATAGCCACCCGCTGCCCTTCCCCACATGTGGTTCTAACAAAGCCACTGAATCCCAATTTGTTTGGTGCTGCATATATTGTCTATGGGAATCTTCCATGTCCACCAATCTATGCTTTCCTTTCATCAACGCTGGATTGGTGAATCTGATATCTTCCATGCAACTTTCTTGTTCAAATACATGGTATCCAGTTTTCTTTATAAAAATTTCTGCTGGGATATGATTAGATTTCATACCAATAGAAACCAACACATGATTCCAGTTATTTTCTGAAAGTACTTCATCCAGATTGTCTACAAAATTCATGTATCTTGTACCCAAAATAACTACATGATCAGTAAATCTTGGGCAGACAAAGTTAAAGCAACTTTCATGTGATTGCTCTATACTCATTATCTCTTCATTGACGATCACGATGGGTATAAATATATCATGGTCTATATCCATTGGTTCAATTACAAAACAAAGAGCCATCACAGGAAACTTGTTACGAAACCAGAAAGATATTAATGGTGCCATGCTTTGATGCTCAAACCACTGTGGAATCCTTGCTCCAGGCAAGCAAAAGAAGGTGTTTCCAACATCATGCAGTTCCTGTTTGCCATATATAATTCATATTAGCAGAACCATTAAGTACACTATCAAAATATCAGTTATCAAATCAAATATTAAAAAGAAAAACCTGATTTCGTAACATCCTTCTAGACGAGTAAGTCAAGGACAAAGAGTCTAATGCGCAGAAACTTGACAAGTTTGGTGGAATCCCCCTAATATCTTCAAGATGATTACAAACAAGGTAGTTAAAATCGGGATTTTACTTTAAATCGTAAAGGAGAGTGAAAATCGTAAATCGTAAAATCGTAAATTGAATCGTAAGATTTTATAAAATTCATATATATGATATAAATTCATATTATTCATATAAAATATCATAAATTAAGGGAAAAAAGCTTCAAATCAGTAAAAGTATTTAAACAACGTAGCACTCACAAATCATAATTTATTCCATAAGAATGTAATGCATTTACATGAATAAAAAATAGACCAGAATAGAAAAGATGCAAGAACAACAACAATAGATTTAGTTGCAGACCAGGTTGCACGCACTAGGAGGACTGTTGAATGTTGACAACAATGTTAGGGTTTAAAGCTGCTAGAGGCAAATTAGATTCCATAAAAAGGAGATATATGAAAGAGGCGTACGATAGGGTTCAACAAAATAGACTTCGCTAGAAATTTTCAAAATCGAAGTGAAATCGTAAAATCCCACAATTTGAGGGATTTTATGATTCAAATCGGAATTTTACAAGGATTTTACTCAATTAGGATTTTATCCACGATTTAAATCGGTGAGACTTCCAAAATCGTAAAATCGTAAGATTTTAAGATTCAAATCGGGATTTTAACTACCTTGATTACAAACATCCAATTTAAGCCTTTTCAAAAAGCGACATTCTTTAATGCTTTCAGGAACAAATGTGAAAGTATGAATCCCAATCAGCTCTAACGTTTTCACATTAGTAAACCATGTTAGACATGTAGAAAAAAATTCATCTGACACATAGCAGTTAATCATTTGAAGATGATCTGCGTTTGATGACACCATTGTGCTCACTTTTTCTTCTCCCTCATGCAGGTTCGCCAATAGCCACATATTCTCCACGGTGATCACAGCTAATTCTTGCATCATGACAATGCTACTCGGTAAGCAAAATGACATTGCACAGTCACTAATATTTAATTTTTGAAGCCGAGTAAGATTTCGAAACGAAAATGGCAACCCTTTCAAGGGAACATTAGAAATTGTAAGCTCTGTTATCTTTTCCATTTTTCCTAATATTTCTGGAAAACTCTGCAGACTAAAGCAATATGAGAGTTGAAGACTTTCAAGGGAGGTCAACTTGATGGGTGGAAAACTAATGAGCTTGATGCAACTAGAAGCATTCAGGATTCTAAGTTTATCTAGGAACCCAATTGAATCATCGACTTTAATCAAATTATAACAACGTCTAAATGAAAATTCTTCTAAATTTGGGAGACCAGATACATCAGGTATATCTGTTAAACACTCAGACAAGCTAATATCCAGAACTCTGATATTCATGAATTTCTGCAAGAGAAAAAGATAAAACCAATAAATAAGAACCAAAGGAATCATTTTAAAGTGAATATATTAATATATAAATATCAGAGAAGTGTACTCATAACACTTGCCTTCTTCAATAAGCCAACCAACTCGAGTGATGTAATCCATGTATTAGGTAACTTGCATATGACTAGTTTCTTAGGTTGAAAATCATGTGGTAAATACTTTGAAGGGTATTTCACCCATTCTAGTACTCTTAAACTATTTGGAAACTGTCTAGGACCTTCGCAAAAGCTACCTCTTTTAATTATAAGTGTTTTAAGATTTTCCATCTTCTTGAAGGCTTCTCCATCCCATTTTACATTTGCTTCTTCTTCGAATAAGGGAAAATCTAGATATATGATTTCAACTTTATTAGTTCCCTGTCAACAGCAAAAGGAAAAAAATGAATCAAAATAAATTGATGTATGGAAGGAGTTCAGCCCACTCATTTAATTTACATGTTATAAATATAATAGTAGAATGAGATAATTCAAAGTTAAAGATGAAAAATCAAACCATCAATATTAGTCTTACTCACTGTATTGTCTTGTAAAACTTGAACAATATCTTTAGGGAACCATAATCTACTGCGTTTTCCAGGCTCTTCTAATGATTCTTGTCGTACAATTTCTTTACCCATGTCTTCTATCAAGCTATGTAACATGACAGCATGAGACGGACTAATTTTAATGAGAGACTTTTCAACCAACAACTCAATGTGATGTTTCATGCTATCACCATGGTGTGCATGAAGTAAATGTTCAACCTCTGCCAATGGATACCATTTGAAGCAGCAAGCAATGTCAAGAAAAACATTTTTCTCTTCTTCCTCCAAAGCATCAAAGCTCACTTTAAGTATATTTTGCATCTCTTTATAAGGAATCCTTTCATATCTATCTAATGCATATTTCCATTCTTCTACACTCTTTCCAAATAAGTTGGAGCCTATTACTTCCAAAGCAAGTGGAAGGCCAGAAGCATAAGCTATTGTTTGATTTAAGATGTCAATGTAATTTGAATTAAAATTTCCACCCTTAAAAGCAGTCCACCTAAGTAATTCAAGTGCTTCTTTGTCATTTAAATCATCTACCTCATATTTTCGCTCAACCCCATGCCTTGTTAGCAAATGTTTATCCCGAGTTGTTATGATGACTCTGCTTCCAGAACCAAACCAATTTGGCCTACCAATAATTGCTCGCAATTGTTCTGGTTTGTCAACATCATCAAGAACTAAGAGAACCTTTTTTTGCCGGAGCCTATGGATTATCATTGAAATTCCTTTACCGACATCTGCTATCTTAATATCTTTTTCTCCAACCGTTTCAGAAAGAAACATTTCTTGGAGATGTACTAATCCACCTTTAGTTGAATTTTCTCTCACATCACCGAGAAAACATAGACCTTCAAAAAGATCAGCAATGGAATTATAAAGCGCTCGAGCAAGTGTTGTTTTTCCAATTCCTCCAATTCCATAAATTCCTACCATGTGAACTCCACCATCAGATCCAAATTCCAGAAGTGATTTTACTTCTTGCACTCGAGACTCCAATCCAACAGGATAATCTGCTACATGTAAAGGAGCACGATTAATCTTGTTGGAGACCACTTTCACTATCCTCCCAATAAATACATGTTCATATTCATGCCTGCCAAACAAGGTAGGTAGTAGGAATTTGAAGTCACACTAAATTCATCAAATCCATGTATTGATATTATATGTTGAGAAACATGGTAGAGCTCACAAGAAGAATAAATTTGAGAGAGATTAATAGAAATAAATTATATATTATTGATAGAATGGTTGATTGTGGGACTCAAATTTAACAATCCTTAAAGTGGGGGGACTGAAAATGCAATTAAGCCTTGACTGTACTTAAGTTATGCACAAGTAGTGAACCAACTAACTTTAACTAGCTTGCTTACTAACTTTATCTTCTTAACTAATTTCAGCTAATATATTAACAATATATTGGTTCCAATTGTTTGACATGCAATGAACTAATTTGTTAAAGAGAAGAAAACATTTCTTTTCTTTTTTAAGATTTTAAAAAAAAATATTAGACAATAGAACATAAAAAAATACAGGAAAAATAGGGATGAAGTGGGGTACCCATGTTTGAAATGGTGGCCAGACAAACTAGCTGCTTGGTTGAGAGCCATCTTCCATTTGCGCAACCTATCCATGTTATCATTCAAATTTTCTACATCATTTGCGAACCTTGCTTCATGCTTAGCCAATGCTTCTCCATAAATACCCATTTGATGTCGCAAGTGGGAAGGATCAACGTCATAAAAAATTGGCAAAACCAACCGACCCTTTGCCTTAACACGTTCAATGATGTTGACAAGTTCATCTAAACAAAAAGAAGAAGATGCATAATCCTTAGAGAAGACAGGAATGGCAATCCTTGACTCTTGAATTGCCTTGACAAGTGATGCTGTTATTTCATCTCCTCTTTGAAGCTCCCGGTCATCAATGAAGGTGTGGATTCCCTTGTCATGAAGAGCTTTCCAAAGATGCCCAGTAAAACCGAGGCGAGTATCAGAGCCTTTGAAACTGAGGAAAACATCATAGGTGAATTTATAACTGAAGGAAGAGGATGATGATCGTTCAGCCATGAAAAGGAAGGTTAGTATGAGAGTGTATGGAATATGAATGGAGTGTTATGTCTCCAAAATGTAACAAGAATGGAAACTCTTATATAGTTATAAAACAGCAAGGAGCAACACAACGTGGATGACTGATCAATCGTCAGATTCAATTGTGAAATTTCATTCCAATTTCTTATCTTGAGTGAGATCAAATAAAACAATGTTCAACATTATTTAATGTGAACCATCTTAAATATAATACTAATTTTTAAGTTAAAAAACTGTTCTGACCGGTTATGCAAAATCCTAGTGCTTCTGTCATGAATTTGAACTAGTCTTGGCCATGTTGTTTTCTTGCTTTCTCACTGAATTCAAAATTTTAATATTTTTTTCAGTTGTATTTTGATTATCATATGGGTGATATTACTAACCTGACGGCCCACTTGAGCAATATGTTATTTATTTGGTATAATATATATTTTTTTACAGCCACTGAGATTTGAATTTGTTCCGCATGATGTCAGTTTAAACTTATGCCAAGTTCTCAAATTCATTTATAGATATTTCATTGGTTGATAACAATACTATATGCCATAGCTTTTCCTTGCAAATGATGTGGGTTTAAATAATGTTTGCAAAGTTTTCGAGTACATGTTGTGTTATGAGTGTTTCACTTGTAATCGGAGATGATAATGTTCTGCGTCATTGCTTGATAGATAAGCTATGTGCTATTGGTATATTGACCTGTGGGTGACATGAAGCCAGAGAAAGATGAAATGCAGTTGATATCTTTTTCTTTTTTTCCTATAATAGAAGAGGCAAGAAAGAAATAAGAGGTTGGCATTTGTGAACACAGACACTCTGTGATTACTTAATTATTTGAAGCCATTCTGCATTACTTTATTTATTTATGCTGTTTTTCCATTGTAATATAACTTAACGTTGACAACTCTTGACAGCAATAAAATCAACATAAATTCCTCAATGAGCTTGTACAAAATAAACCTCTACAAAATTCTCTTTGGACCGGACCTTCAAGTTGCAGCTCCCCCACCAGTAACAACAAATAAAGAATTTTATTTTGGTATTGAAGTAATAAAATAATTTAATCATTGCATTATGTCTGTCACAAAACAAAGTAAGTTAAAAATACATATTTAAAAACACAAGATTATATCATACTAGAAAAAAACTTTGTTTAAAATGGTTTATATACCTGTTACTGCAACATCTGAAAGGAACTTAATGTACCTGAGTTGTCTTTGTTGGCAAACTAATTCAGCAGTGAAGTCTCCGAATTAGAGGATCATGCCATTCACTTTGGCGTGAATGAGAATCAATGCCTGAAAGAAATGATCTATATTTGTGTTTTAAAGAGTGATCTGAGTATTAACATCATTCAAAGAGCATGGCTTTCTACTTTTCCCTAGAAGAGGTGGTGAATTCAAGTCTATAGTGCAATCTGATTTTCTCTTTCTATAAGGATCAGTGAATCGAATATCCTTTCCGCTTTTTTGTTTGAATACATGGATTCCAATTTCTCTGTGATGAATATGCATATCCTCAAATGTAACCATCCCATGGTTCCATTCATTTTCTAGAAGTGCAACAGAGTCATTTAATTCTTCCATTTTCATATTAAAAAGAATTGTATGCCCCACCAAGAAATAGTTTGTGTATATTGGGCCCCGGAAATATTTTTGGCCATTGAGAGTCACCATTATACCAGGATCTTGCTGTATCGATGAACAAATAAAACAGAGAACTATGGCAGGCAATGTGCTCCGAAACCAGAAAGATATCGACTTTCCAATGATTTTGAAGTCAAACCACTCTGGAATTGAAGTTTTTGGTAACAAAAACTCAGTGTGTCTAGCCTCATGCAATTCCTGTTATTCATAAATAAGTTCAACAACATTAAGTACAATATCAATTATCAAATCAAATATATTTAAACAAACGGTTTTTCTAACATTTGTTCAAGGACACATAAGAAATCAATAAATAGTAATTTTTTTTATTGAAAATTCTAGCAGTTAATGTTATCAATGCATTGAATTTAGTATTATCATGTGATTTTGAATAAAATAACTTACTACTCATAGGTTTTCATTGTGTTCCCTTGTCATACATTAGAAAGACGGTTAAACAAATTACCTGATTCAGTAAGAAGCATCTACTCCACGGAGTCATGGATTCACAGCATCCTGCGTACAAATATTCTACATTTGGTGGAATTCCTCTAATTTCCCGAAGACACTTGCACCTGTTTAAAACAAGCTTCCATAAAAAGCAACAGTTTTTTATGCATTCAGGGAGCACACTGAAATTACTAGCGGATAGGTCTAACTCTTTCACATTTGCAAACCACATGAGACCTAATGCCAAAAATTCATCTGACAGGTTGCAGTCTTGGAGATTAAGATGTTCTACATTTGAAGACAACATTGAGGTCACTTTTTCATCACCGTTGTCCTGATTTAGCAATAGCTGCCCCTCCAATCCCACACCAGAAATCAGAGCCAGATTTGGCATCATGCCAATGCAACTTGATAATTGAGCAACTCCATGATTATACAAATATAAAAATTTAAGCTGAGTGAGCTTTTGAAATGAAAATGGAAGTTCTTCTATGGCAGTTGCTTGCAAATGAAGATATTTTATATTTTCCATCTCTCCTAATATTTCTGGAAAATTCTCAAGACTCAAGCAACCTGAAAGGTCGAGTTTTTCAAGAGAGGCCAGTTTAAGGGGCGGAAAACTGCCAAGCTTGATGCAATTTACAGCATTCAAGATTTTAAGTTTATTCAAGAACCCAATTGAATCATCAATTGTAATTAAATTCTTACACCCACTAAATGAAAATTCTTCTAAATTTTGGAGAGAAGATACGTCATGTATATGTGTTAAATACTGACAGCAGTCAAGCTTTAGAACTCTCATATTTGAGAACTGCAAAAAATAAAAAGGAAACACAAGAAACAATAATCAAAGGAATGATATTAAAGTAAATTTATTTACATAATTAGTGGATATGAATTCATTACACTTGCCTTCTTTGCTAACCCAGCGCACTCAAGTGATGTAAAGCAACTATTTTGTAATTTGCATATGACAAGCTTCTTTGGATGAAAATCAGACGGTAAATGCTGTGAAGGATATCCCTGCCATTCTAGTACTTTCAAACTATTTGGAAGATGCTCTGGACCTTTGGAAAATTGACAATTTCTAATAATAAGTGTTCTTAGGTTTCTCATCTTCTTGAAGACCTCTCCATTCCATTCTACTATTGCTTCTGCTGCTTCTCCATTTTTATGCGAAGAGAAATCAAGATTTATGATTTCAATTTTACTAGTTCCCTTTTCATACAAAAAATGCCAATCAATCACAATATATGAATATATATTTGGGCTTCAGAATATTTAGAGAAATTAACTTATTATGAAGAGAGAGAGAAAAGTGCCATAAGAACATGAACTGTCAAAAGAAGATAACTAGAGGTTAAAGATAAAAAACCAAACCATCCCTATCAGTTTTACTCACACTATTGTTTTCTAAAACTTGGACTATATCTTCATGGAACCATAACCTACTGCGGTTCCCAGGCTCTTTTGCTGATTCTTGCCGGACAATTTCTTTACCCATGTCCTCTATCATGTCATGTAGTGTCACCTCACCAGAAAACCCAAGTTTTATGAGAGATTTTTCAACCAACACTCCAATTTGATATTTCATGGAGTTACTGTGATGAGCATGAAGTATGTCTTCTACCTCAGCCAAATGATACCCTTTAAAGCAACAAGCAATGTCAAGAAAAACACCCTGCTCATCTTGCTCCAAAGAATCAAAGCTAACTTTTAGTATCCTTTGGATCTCTTTATTAGGAATCCGTCTGTACCGATCTAATGCAGATTTCCATTCTTCTATACTTTTCCCAAACATGTTGGAACCAATTACTACCAAAGCTAATGGAAGTCCAGAAGCATAAGTTACAACATGGTTCAAGACATCCATGTAACTTGGATCTATTTTTTCTGTGTGGAAAGTTTTCCAACTAAGCAATAGAAGAGCATCCTTATGATTTAACTTCTTTAACTCATACATTTTGTTAATCCCATGCCTTGCTAACAAGTGTTTGTCCCGGGTTGTAATTATAATTCTGCTGCCAGAACCAAACCTATCAAATCCTCCAACAAGGGCCTCCAACTGTTGTGAGTGGTCAACATCGTCTAGAATCAAAAGAATCTTCTTCTTTTGAAGTCTATGTTGTATTGTTGAAATTCCTTGTCTAACACTTGCCAACTTAATTTTCTTCTCTCCAAGTATTTCATAAAGAAGGATCTTTTGGAGATGTACTAACCCACGTTTGCTTGAATTTTCTCTAACGTTTTCCAGAAAACAAAAACCTTCAAAATTATCGGCAATGAAATTATAAACTGCTAGAGCAAGGGTTGTTTTACCAATACCACCCATGCCATGGACCCCTACCACGTGAACTCTATCATCACACTCAACATTCAGAAGCGAAATTATATTTTGCACTTGTGACTCTAGTCCAACAGGGTAATCAGCAACTAATAAAGGAACACGATTAATCTTTCTTGAGACCTCTTCAACAATCTTTCCAATAAACACATGCTCATATCCATCCCTGCCCATTATGAAGTTAGTCCAAACATCATATATCCATTGTTTTTATATTTATTTGCTACATTTTAAATTCTAGTAATTTAACAAACAGTTTAATAACGCGTGTCTAAGGGCACATGATAAAAAATCAATAAGTTTTTATTAAAAATTGTATCAGTTAATGTTATCAACGCATTAAATTCAATGATACCATATGAAATTTTTATTGTGTCATAGAGCACACGTTAGAAAAACCGTTCAACAAATACAACAAGCAACAAAATATAATTGAAAACATACCATTGCTTGAAGTGCCAGCCAGACATGTCAGCAGCTTCTTGTAGAACCTTCCTCCAATTCTGCACCTTTTCCATGTTATCCTTGAACTTCTCCTCATGCTTAGCCAGTGCTTCACCATAACTCCCTCTCTGATGTCTCACATCAGAAGGATCAACGTCGTAAAAAACCGGCCAAACCAACCGACCTTTAACCTTAATGCAGTGAATTATGGTGACAAGTTCATCTAAGCAAAAGGAAGAAGAAACATAGTTTTCAGAGAAGACAATTATGGCAATCCTTGAGGTTTCAATGGACTTGGCAAGTGATGCTGTGATTTCATCTCCTCTTTGAATCTCCTCATCATCAATGAATGTGTGGATTCCCTTGTCACAAAGAGCTTTGTAGAGATTGCCAGTAAAACCGTAGCGAGTATCAGAGCCTCTAAAACTAAGGAACACATCGTAGGTGAATCCATAACAGAAAGAAGAGGGAGAGTATGGCACATCCATATGAAGAAAGGTTAGTAAGAGTACAGAATATGGATGAGAGGGTGTTGTGTCTGAAAAATCAAACAAGAATAAACAGATATATAGTACCACATCGCTTGGAGAAAGTTCCCTTCCTCTTTCGTTTGACTCCTTGGTAATTCTTGGAACAGCTTCTAAAAAATTGTCCACCAATATAAGAAATTAATAAATAATTTTTTATTAAAAATCACAACATTTAATGTTATTTATGTATTAAAATTTATAATTTTTAATACAAATTTATTACACCTAAATTTTTATTTATATTCATAAATACGCATTAACAAAATTTCTTTGATATATATTGTTCTAATATTTTTCTTAATAAAAGTTTATGTTAAAAGTACATGAGAAATCACACCGTGCCAGTTCACTAATTACACTTTTTACTAACAATTTTTTAATGTGTACTAAAAAATTCACTATAAAAAAATGAATCAATAATATATTTTATTAAAAACTATAGCACTTATGTTATAAATACAATAATATCATATAATTTTAATAAAATTTATCATATATAAATTTTTACTTCCCACACCAAATATTTAGTCCTAAATATGAGGAGGTATGTTAAGTTTCAATTAGAAATACAGTTAAAATATTAGTTATGAAATTTGGACAATTTTTTTATAAGTTAATTTTTAAAAGATAAAGTTAATTTTAGAAAATATTATTTTTATTAAAATATCACACCCACTTTTTATGGTTATTTAATTTTAAAAAAATTAAAATAAAGAGAAAGTTATTAAGTAAGGAAAAATAACTGCAAATGAGAAATAGTGAACAAAAGTCGCTCACTTGATACACATTATTCAATAGCACCTGATACAAGACACGAACAAGAGGCTTTGAGTTGAGAAAACTAGCGTTATGTATCATCCGTATGAATAAATACATAAATATAAATATTACTATAATATTATATTATAATTATAATATTAAAATGAAATATTTATTTATGAAATTTCCACGAAGATTCATGTGCATTCCCTGACAGTCAAATATTCATTAATTAAGAAAGAATCAGAAGAACATGCATTAATAGTTATAATGAATTTAAAAAAATAACAATTTTGCATGCATTCTGTATTCATTTGGCATTTGCACTGGTAAGTGTGATGATCAAGTTGAAATTCTTTTCTGAAATATACAGCTTTTGCAAAGCTGTGATATGACATCATAAACAACTTTTTTCTTTTATCATCACCATCTTTCACTAACATCACGTTTTGTGGCTGGCAATTTGTCTACTGTGCTATTCTCTTTTTGCTTTCTGAAAAGATGCATCTGGGTTTTAACTGGGAGGTCCTTAAAAACGAAAAAAGGTTCAGCAAAGAAAGTATTGCATCACATTCTCATCTACCCCCATTATGTTATTGGATTCAGATCATTAAAGTGGGAAAATATCCTTTGAGTTTGACAAAAAGTATTTTTAAGCAAGGAAAGTATTTTGAATCAAGACAGTCATATACAGTGATTTTCGTCTCTTTTCTTTTATAATTAACATTCCCAATTTATTATGAGTAATGTTATTTAACACTTGATTTAAGTATTTACATCAAACACTATATAATTGTAGCATAATTATTTTCTAATTTGTATAGAATGTCTGATATAAACACTTAAACTATTAAAATAACATTACTGATTTATTATACTATTAATATATTTTTTTTTTATGTAAAATGGCGATTAAGTAATGCATATTGGTAAAAGAATAATATTAAAATAAGAAAGAGATGGAATTACATTTCCATGCATAAGTTATGGTTGTTACATTATTTATACAGGTAGTAACTCTCTTTTGATGTAAAACATAGTAGTCAATAATCTTAATTTTAAGTTATTATGAATGCAACTATATTAAATAATGTAAAGAAAATTTGACTTTTTATAGTGGTTTTAACTAGATTATAGGGTCTAGATTAAAAATAAATAAAAATAGTAGTCATGACCAAGTGACTTTGCATTTGTCTTTCCAAACTTGAAAAAAGGCTATGAAGCATTTATATATGATAAATTTAACACGACAAAGAAGAATATCAATACGATAAAATCATTTTTAGGTGATATATACTATCTATGTATTTAAATTAGTTTTCAAATTTATTTGTTATGCCGCGACACGTTTATATTTTGACACATCATCATCGTTAACTAGTAAAAATATTGTGAATGCCAATATAACACTCTTTTAAACTACTGATATAGATATGGATTAAACCACCCTTTCCTTTCCAGGAAATTATTATTATTTTTCCTTCAATTCCTAAAATGTTTGCAAGTAGGATTTTCATGTTAAGTTTGAACTTAAAAAAAAAAATTATTAAGCCTGATAGAATAATCCATTTAAGATTCTTAAAATTTATAATAATATATTAAATAATTTTATATAAAAATTATAATATAATATTATATTAAATAAATTAAATTTTAAATTAGAAACTAATTTTTTTTTATTAGAGTTTGAGTGCCGTTATTATATACCTTCTGAGAGAGTTTCCCTTACTCTAGAGTCTTTTGCATTATTATTATTATTTAATTTGTCTTACACACATAACAGTAATTTGTATTTATATTTGTTATATGTTTAATGATTTACATATTAAAATTAAATATATAATTTGAAAATAATAAATAAAAATACATGATTTTATTACAAATATTTAAAGTGCTAAATTATTTTTTTATGATTTATTTAAATAATATTTTATAAAAATATATCTATTTAGATAGATTGGTATCATATTTATAAAAAAACTTAATTATCTATTAAAAAAGATCTCAATACAAAATAGGTCATTGATTAATAAATTAAATCAAACTTTTAAAAAAATATCAAATTAAATTTAATAAAAAGTTTACAACAAATAATAAGTTAAAGTCAAACTTTAAAATTATTAAATAGGTCAGGCATATTTATATAAAATTTAGCTTAACTTATTTTCATTCCTAATCGAAGCATTAAAAGGTCTACTGCAACATTAATTGGAAACGCAATACTTCCATATGTCAATAACTTCTAGCATAGTTCAAAAGGTTTAATTAGGTCCTTAAGTATAGGACCTTGAATTTTTAAACTATTTGGAGATCTTTAAATTTCTATGTTTTCAAGTTTGTAACTAATTAGGTCCTTGAATTTTTAAATTAGTTTTAATTGAATTCCTCTGTTAAGGTTCCATTAAGTATAGAACTTTAATTGAAAATATTTAAATAAGTCAGGAACCACGTCAAAAGTTTAAATGTCATTCAGTAAGTCCCTTTAATTAATTTAAAAAATTTAATTAGGTCCCTCTACTTAATGATACTGAAACGAAAATGTGATCAAGGACTCAAATAAAAATGATTTAAAAGTTAAGGAACCAACATAAAATCTTTCAAAGTATTGAGACTGATATAAAATTTCTCAAATAATTCAAGGACGTACCTAATAATTAACATAGTTCAAAACAACCATGAGGGGCTCCTTTTTGGGCTATATTAATGGCTACAACTCAATACAAAGCAATTAAACGTCTTTTTCAATTTGATATTAAGAAGACAGTGGTAGGTTGCCTAGCTCAAGAGAAGACCTCATACTCCACCAAAAGAGTCGGCATCAATGATTATTACATGAAATAATATGCACTATCTAACTAACACTTGGCATGCCTAAAGGTATATATCAGAGATATGTCTTATATAGCACACAACATTCACATATATTAAATATTGATTTAAATTCACACAGTAACAAGTTCCAACTATAAAATTTCTCTCAAAACAACGAGAATGAGAGTTACTGGAAGGAGAAATATGCATCTTCCAATAGTTAAAAGGAAGGTTACGGTCATTAGACATTTTGAGGCAAGTAAATAACAATTTTGATGAGTTATTGACTCGTAGAAAATTAAAATATTTTTGATTCATTTCATTAAATTAAATCTATAAATTAGTGTAATTAATTGGAATATTCAATCGAATGTGTGATTGATGTAAATTTGATGAATTATTAAAATATGGATGGTTGTCATTTGATTTTTGAAGGGATTATAAGAAAATTGGCAATTAGATTTAAAGAGTAGAAGTTGAATTGTTGTAATACAGATTTGTGGGCACATGCATATCTAATTGTGGAAACACGAGCCTGATATAGCATATAAAAGTAGAATTTTCTAAAAAGACAACATCTTTATTGCACTTTTATTATTACGTTTCAGAGCACAGAATTTTAGGTTTTCGTACAGTTCTAGGTGGAAACGTTAGCTATGGCATTTTCTTTTTTCTTTTCTATGGAATTTTGATGAAAAGTTGAGTTATATCCCTTCTTTCTCCTTAAATTGTAATGGAACATTAACTTCCTACACTTTATATTATGCTATAAACTTTTTTTGTTGAACATGATTTCCTTTTCTGCAATATATTTCAGTTTGCTCTTCTTTGTTTCCGTTATGTCTTACTAATTTTCTTAGGGTTAAGGAAGGATGAACTTATTCTTTTACCTATTGTAATGAACTAAGCATTGAATGTAACTCAAAATATAAGCTCCAATCTAACATTTTTTATTCTGAACTTAATATCTTTCCATTTTAAGTATTTAGGATTGATGAAAAGGAGTTTATAATTGGAAAATTGTGAGCTTTCTTGGACTAGAATCAAAATACTTGTTATAAATTATCTAAGAATAGAAATTTATAATGATGTGGTCATTTGGGTTTTAATCTTAATGCTGGACATTTTTTGTTTTATCTAAGGGATTAAGAAGCTAAATGCGTTTTAGAACCAATTAACCATTTGGGTTTTAATCTTAATGCTGACCATTAAGTTGTATTTTGGGTTATACACATATTTTATGCAAGGAGAAAAGGATAAGGAATTCTGAACTAAACCCACCTTTTAATTAATTTACAACTCAGTTTTATTATCTTCTTTAGTTATATATTGCAGTTTAGTTTCATTATTAATTAGTTCCTTACATTTGAAATCTCATTTCCATGGTTAATTATAGTTTTCTAACATGTACATTTTTATATTAACTAATTGGATTGTTGCGAGCCGCGCCTTGGAAGAAGCAACTTGCTACTGAGCTCTATTATTGGGAATAACAAAAACATCTCTGAATACTCAAAGTTTCATATTTGAAGCAACTTTTCAAGAAACTGCTAGAGTTTTAGCAAAAGCCGCTATCTGGGGTCGTATAGATTGGTTGAAAGGTCTGAAAGAAAACGTTGTTTTAGGGGAAATGATACCCGTTCGTACCAGATTAAAAAGAATAATGCACTGTTCAAAGCCAAAAAAGAATAATTTATTTGAGGACGAAATGAGAGATATTTTGTTCCACCACATAGAATTCTTTTTTTTTCATTTCAAAGAATTTATGCGATACATCAAAACAGTTAATTTTTCAGTTCACATTACAACTCTGTTTTTGACCCAACTAGTAATATTCATGTGGTTTGGTACTTAACATTAATCCTGTGGACAATAAATCTATTTTGTTACTTCAACGATTTGGTATACTTGCCAAAAAGTTATCACAGATTTACTAAGAATAAATTGAGCTTATCATACAAATTGGTAAACACAACCACAATAATCTTTAATTGACCGGAAAAAAAAAAAAATGCACTGCAAAGAGTGCAGTGCACTCATTATCTGCAAAAATTCCATTTAAAATGGATGCAACTAGCAGGGATGGAATTATAATAAATACATTGTGATCAACTTGGATTCTTTATGCTCTCAAATTCACACACAGCAGATTACAAAAGGGTATTAGGTTCCTTTATCTTGTTGAAGAACATGTATAGTTAACCAGACAGTGAAATTGTTCCAAAATCAGCATCATGATGGTATGCTGAACTTGACTTCTATAACCAATTTTACATGCTGTGTTCTCGGGCACAATACAGAGCTATCTTGACAAACTTCTTTCCAAACCAAAAATACATTGATGATTCTTAGACTCTGTGCTTATGCTTGAATCAATTTATGCTCCCACTATAATCCATAGAACATTTCACATTTACAAACCACTTATGACTGATATTAAAACACACGAATGTGCACTGCAAGGAATAGTGTTCTTTGTATATTCAAAATATTATTCTGACTCACAGCAATGTAATACAACTGAATGAATAATCTTCTAACACACCACCTGCTTATATACATTTTCTGTCCCCAAAATTACCCCCCTAACAGCAACTCCAAGATTAATTCCTACACTTCAGTAGTTTGTACAAAATGGATGGCTAAGATCATTACATATGTTTTGCATCTACGGCTTTGTTTGGGAGTTAGTTTTTTGGGGGAAAGGGAGAGAAGATAAAGACTTATGTGATGATAATCCTCCTTTGGGAGTTTTAGATGAGAGGGAGAGGTTTTACAAACCTTTCTGAGCCCATGTTTCTACGTTTTCCCAATTTGGGGGATTTTATTAACCTTTCTTCCTCCTCACTTCTCTTCTCTTCCCTTACCCTTCAAACCCTTTCCTTCGTTCTCTTTCCAAACTCCCAAGAAGGTCTACAGACATGGATGAAATCATTGAGGCATATGTTCCAAGAATAAACATCAAGAAACAAAACACTTGGAGCAAACACCACCCACGGGGACACTTTGGAACTTACTACATTATCTACAAGGTCCATGTGGATAAAAGAACCGAAATTCCCTACAATGCTATAGCACTTCTCAAAGAGCTTTTTATCTAATGTAGTTCATATGCCTGCCTTGTTTCCCATCCTGTGTGAATGTCTACGACATGTTGAACTCCACTACCACCATTTTGTCCAGAATATGAAGAGAAATGAATATCTCGAGCTCCATTGTCAAACTCTGGTCGGGAATGCATGATGAACAGTGGACATCCATAGAATATGGCAACCAAAATCAGCTTTTAGTTGATGGTCACCAGTTGAATTGCAAAGCAGCCTATGAAATAACAGAAAATACCAACATAATTTGTTCGGAGAACTTCTATGATATAAAAGAATATACCCATCTCACACTGCACAATTGATGAGTATGCTAATCTTGACTTCTATCGCCAATTTTACATGCCACATTCTCCTTCACAGTACAGAGCTATCTTGGAAAACTTCTTTCAGAACCAGAAAGACATTGATGATTCATTGCTTGTGCTAGGATCAATTTATACTCCTGATATAATCCATTTAACATGTCACATTTACAAACCACAAGCTGAAAGGGAATCCAAGAAGGTTTACAGACTCGGATTGGATGAAATTATTGAGGCTTATGTTCCAAGAATATAAGTAAAGTAAACAAAACTCTTTTGGAGCAAACACTTCCTAACTTGTTACATTATCTACATTGTCCATATGAATCAAAAACCAAAATCACCAACAATGATGCAGTACTTATCCAAAAGCTTGTTCCCTGCGTAGTTCATATGCCTTTCATGCTTCCCATATGAATGTCTATGGCATGTTGACCTCCACTACAATCTCTGGTCTGGAATCTGAAGAGGAATAAATATCTTGACCTTGATTACTAACCTGTGGTTGGTAATCTGAAGAGGAATGCATAATAAAGAGTGGACAACCAAAGATTATGGCAACTGAAATTAGTTTAAAGTCAATGGTTACCAGTTGAATTGTAAAGCAACCTAGAAAGAAACAAAATATACCCATCTCAAAGCCAAACTTAATCAGTTTGGACAAGCTCAGTGACATCAAAGCAAAGGCAGCATTTGCAACCAAGCTCCGTATTTCAGGTTTCCCACTCACAGCTCTGTCATAAAAATATGAGTACACAGACATGACCATCAAAACTGAAAACCCCAAATAGGCTTTGAGCTTAACATTCTTCTTTGAAAATGAGGACTGCCTTGCAAATAGTATCGTGGCACAAATAACCAAGGACAACAGCGCGTAAAGAGAGAACTTGAAAGGGTTCCATTGTCCAATTAAACGATGGAATGAAGGGCTCAGAGCAAAACATAGAAGGCCAACTATACTTGACACAAGGCCAACAAGTCTCCACATCATCTCGGCTTGAAGAGCACTCGTTGAAGTTTGCAGAACTTCAGGAACAAGCATCTGTGAAACTTCAGGAGCACTCTTTGAAGTCTGCGAAACATCAATAATGCTCTGTGAAGCCTGTAAAACTTCAGAAACCATATGTGAAACTTCAGGAACCCCCATCTGTGAAGTCTGCAAAACTTCAGGAACACCCTGTGAGATTTCAGGAACCCTCTGTGAAGTTTGCAAAACTTCAGGAGCCCTTTGTAAATTCTGCAATGTACATAATAACAACCAGGAATGTCAGTGAGGTTTGGAATTGAAAGAGAATTAAGTAAATGTGTTTTGTGTGCCAGATGATTTCATAGAATTTCACAGAAAGAGGAGAAAACAAAAAATCAACAGTAATGGACTCCTCCATAGTTTTGCTCTTCTATACCAACTTTTTGAATCTTAACACTCGCCTTTTAACTATTGAAATTCACTTTTGATGCTTACTTTGTGAGAGAATGGTTTTAAGAAAGGAGTAAACAAGGTCATGCTGCATCTCGAAAAGGCTAAGAACATTTGAAATTATGTTCCAATTCATACATCAACTCTGATTTTAGAAGGCACAAAATATCATATTACATGCTTCACCTCCATTTTGTTTAGATGATCACAATTCATCACATCTAAAACACTTTTAGCAAATGCTTATTTGGGAACTAAACCATTTTAAGGTTCATCCATTTTTAATGTATGTTTGAGGTTGAGGAAGCTTAGCAAATGAAAATGGAAACTTTTTTATGGAAGCATAAAATATACTTGAAGTAATGCTCAGTTATATTTTCTATCCTTCCAACATTTCTGAACAATTTTTATGACATGAGAAATCTGAAACAGATGTTTAAAAGGGGTTAACTTAATGGGTGGAAAATCCATAAGCTTGCTACCTCCCTCAGCATACAAGATTCTAAAGTTGTCCAGGAATCCAACAGAATTGTGAATTTCCATTAAATTCTCACAAAATAGAAATGATATTTTTTAAAATTTGGGATATTAGATACACCGTGTATCTGTTTTACATTGAACATATTAAAATTTAAAACATCTCATTTTCACAAAGTTCTGAGGAAAAAACAAAAGAAAGAAACAGAATGAAATGAATAATCATGAATATACAAGACCATGGGAAAAAAACTTATACTTGCCTCCAGTAACTTGGCCAGGTTGGGTGACATAGTGCGAGTATATGGTAATTTGCATATGACAAGCTTCCTTGGATTAAAATCAGATGGTAAATCCTCCGAAGGATATCTCCACCATTCCAGTACTCTTAAACTATCTGGAAGATGCTTGGGACCTCTAGAAAAATGACCATTTCTAATTATAAGTGTTTTGAGGTTTTTCATCTTTTCGAGGGCCATTCCATCCCATTCTACTACTTTCAACAAGGAGAAATCCCAATGTATAATTTCAATTTTACTAGTTCCCTTTTCAGCACAAAAAAGAAAAAGAATCAATTGTAATAGATGTATATATGTAACACTTCAACACACACATTTTGACAAAACATGTTATTGAGGGGAAGATGAATCGTATAATAGTCAAAACAGATAAAATAAGTTAAACATGAAAAAACCAAACCATTCATATCCATTTTACTCACTGTATTTTCTAGTAAAACGTCAAGTATATCTTCAAAGAACCATAACCTACTGCGTCTCCCAGGCTCACGCCGTGATTCCTGGCGGACAATTTCTTTACCCATGTCCTCTATCAAGGGATGTAGAGCCACCCTACCATCCGAAGTAATTCTTATTAGAGACTTTTCATCCAACATTTTGATATGATGTTTCATGTGGTAACCATAATGCGCACAAAGTACATCTTCAATTTGTGCCAATTCATATCCTTTGAAGCAACAAGCAATGTCGAGAAAAACACTCTTCTCTTCATCTTCCAAAGCATCATAGCTTACTTTAAGTGTCATTTGGATCTCGTTACGTGTAATCCTTTTATATTTATCTAATGCATATCTCCATTCATCCACACTTTTCCCAAACAAGTTTGAACCTATTACTTCCAAAGCCAATGGGTGGCCGGAAGCATAAGTTACTGCTTGGTTTAAAATGTCCTGGCAACTTGAACTGACTTTCCCGTGCTTGAAAGCATTCCAAGTAAGCAATTCAAGAGCAGATACGTTATTTAACAGTTTTACCTCATATATATTTTCAATCTCATGAGATCTTAGCAAATGTCTATCCCGAGTTGTAATGATGACTCTGCTACCATGACCAAACCAATCATATCGTCCAACTAAGGCCTCCAATTGCTCCACTTTGTCTACATCGTCTAGAATCAGAAGAGCCCTCTTATCCTGGAGCCTATGCTTTATTGCTGAGATCCCCTGATTGACACTTTTTAACCTAATATCTTTCTCTCCACATATCTCAGAAAGAAGCCTCTCTTGAAGGTGCACTAATCCATGTTTAGCTGAATTTTCTCTCACATTATCAAGATAACATGAACCTTCAAATTTGTCTGCAGTGACATTATAAACTGCTCGAGCAAGAGTTGTCTTGCCAATTCCGCCCATTCCATAGATCCCTACCATGTGCATTCCATCATTAGATCCAACATCCAGCAACAAGCATACTTCTCGCACCCGAGGTTCCAGTTCAACTGGGTAATCCGCAACATGTAAAGGAATGCGATTAATTTTGTTGGAGACCTCTTTAACTATGGTCCCAATAAACTTGTCTTCATATCCATCCCTGTCCACCAAGAGAAGTTAGTATGAAATCATAGTAAACACACCATGTCCATGTCAATAGATATCTATATTATTACAATTTAAACTGTTTGATACAACAAATTCAAGGTTATCATTGCCAAGCATTTATCTTCCCTTCAAATCTAAACATCAAATGAGTACATAAAAATAAAATAAGATAAAAAGAATGGTGAGGTAGGGTACCTAGGTTTGAAAATCCATCCAGGCAAGCTAGCTGCTTGACACAGAGCCATCCTCCATCCCTGCACTTTGTCAGAGTTCTCCTTGAACTGCTGCTCATGCTTAGCCAGTGCTTCTCCATAAGTCCCTCTCTGATATTTCACGTCAGAAGGATCAACGTCGTAAAAAACCGGCCAAACCAACCGGTAGTACTCCTTACTGCACTCAATGACCTTGACAAGTTCATCCAAGCAAAATGAGGAAAATGCATAGTTCTTAGAGAAGACGATGATGCCAATCCTGGACTCTTGAATGGCCTTCACAAGTGATGGTCTAATTCCACCCCCTACTCGAAGCTCCTCATCGACAATGAAAGTGTAGATTCCCCTGTCAAAAAGAGCTTTGTAGAGATTCCGAGTAAAACTGTGATGAGTATCAATATGGGAGCTGAGGAACACATCATAGGTGGATCGATAGGTGAAGGAAGAGGAAGACAAAGATGCAGTTCCTAACATGATAGATGACTGTTCTCAAAGGAGATCTAAGATCAATGTTCTACCTTTGGAACACTCAGTTACATATGTATATAGACAAATTGGCAACCAAAATCAACCAAATTAACCAGGTCAACCAAGTCCCAGGTATTTTTGTATTGTATGTACAAAACACTCTTCATCATGTTACAATCAAGTTGGTATTTAATATTATCATAGGTTACCCAAGCAATATTTTAATTTTGAGTAGAACACTAAATACATTGAAAAGAAACCACAATTAAGTTTTGATTTTTTTTCGTGCCTTTTACTCCACCTCTCTTTCATATGTTATTAAAGGCTTGTCACGTTTACTACAGTTTTAAATTTGTTCTGGAAATTTTTTAAGTTTGTCATTTTAATTCATGAAATTTTAGAAATATTTCATTGATCTTGACATTGTAAAAAAAAATAATGTTAGTCTTTTTTAATTTAATTTGTTATTATCATATTTTACTAAAAAAAACTAAAATAAATTATATTTTATAAAGTTAGAGACTCACAAAATAGTTTTAAAATTCATGCACTAAAATATTGCATCGCATTCAAAAGACTAGTTTAAGATTTCCTCGTTATCAAGTTTGTCAAACGCGTGTACTAACAAATATATCTTATTTTTACACGGTTCAAAGTTAGAAAGAAAAACTAATATCTTATTTTACCGCGGTTGGAAAACTCGGTTTAAGGAGTAAAACGCGATTAAAGAAAAACGTGTGGGGTAAGCTTTGAAGCAAAAGAAAAGCACCAAACAATTGCCCAGAACTTACTAAGGAGTGTTATTTAGGAACACTCTCCAATAATGGAGAATTATTCAACTAGGAGTGAGAAAAAGTAGAATTCACGTTACTTTTTTTCAGTTTTTTTTTTAATAAATTTTAACTACTAATTAGAAGTGTGTTAAAAAAGTACATTAAAGAATATGTTGTTAATACTTTTATGTTATATCATTTAATTCATTCATATATGTATAGATATAACAATTTTAAAAAAAATTATATATAATCCACAACCAACAATAATATCAGTTTTTTTTTTTTTTTTACTCTGTATGTTTCCACTCTTAGTCCTTCAATCCACCCTTTATCTACTCCTAATTATAGTATATATTCAAATCCTCAACCTTAAGCAAAGGCAATTTTATTAAGAGCTATTTTTATCCTCATTAAGTTGCATAACTTTTCCTGTATTAAATATTTAATACTATAATATATTTTTTTATTCTTTTATATTAGATTATAGATTGACTCTCTCCAAAAAAAAAGAAAAAGGCACGTGCATGTGATTTACAAGAAGGAGAAAACTAAATCTTCCAACAATTAAAAGGAAGGTGATGGTGATAGAATAAACTGAGTTTATCAATATAATTTGTAACCACAATAGCAAAATTATTTTTTTAAGTGGGAAAAGAACACATGCATTGCATAGGGTGAACTCTTTATCTCAAAATTTTTCTACTTGAAAACGGATGCAACTGGCAGGACCTAAATTAGAATAAACTAGATTAAGACCTGTGTAATGCGCAAGCTTATAAAGAAAATTATGTTCAATTTATATATAATTAAAATAAATATTTCCTTAGTATTATGTAAAATTTTCAGCAAAGATGCATATATTTAATGCTCATTTATATTTTGTAAAACATCTAAACAATTTCGATATATGATATTTATCTGTGAGTTATCTTACTTTGATAAAATTTTGACAACATTGATTACATAATTACAGCTCCACAATCATGCCTATAAATGTTATCCTACAGCTGGACTATCCTAATTAAGGAAATAATAACATTATTACATAATTATAGGTGTACAATCATGCAGGATCTACTGGCTTGAATGGCCGAATATTCCACTAAGTACTGATAATTACAATTATTCTGTCAGTCAACTCCACTGACATGAGTCTTATGTTCCAAAAATACACATCAAGTAAACAAAACTCTTGGATCAAACACCACCCACAGGGACACTTGTGAACTCTACATTATCTACAATGTCCATATGGATAAAAGAATCAAAATTCCCTACAATGCTACAGTACTTTTCAAAGTGCTAGTTCTTTGATGTAGTTCATATGGCTGCCTAGCTTCCAGTCCCATGTGAATGTCTAAGACATGTTGAACTCCACTACCACCATTTTGTCCTGAATCTGAATAGGAACGAATATCTCAACCTCCATTCTGAATCTCCGGTTGAGAATGCACGATGAAGAGTGGACAGCCATAGAACATGGCAACCAAAATCAGCTTGAAGTTGATGCTCACCAATTGAATTGCAAAGCAGCCTATGAAATAACAGAATATACCCATCTCAAAGCCAAACTTAATTCTTTTGGAAAAACTCAGTGACATCAAAGCAAATAAAGCATTTGAAACCAAGCTCAAGATTTCAGGATTCCCATTCACGGCTCTGTCATAATAATATGAGTACACAGAGATTATCATCAAAACCGCAAATCCCACGCAAGATTTGAGCTGAACATGGCTCCTTGACTGTGAACAAGGCCCTGCAAATAATATGGTCGCACAGATAACCAAGGATAATAACCCATAGAGAACGAACTTGAAAGAGTTCCACCCTTTAATTAAACGATTGAAGGAAGGGCTAAGAGCATGACAAGTTAGGCCAGTAACACTTGACCCAAGGCCAACAAGTTTCCACTTCATGTCAGCTTGAAGGGCCCTCTTCAAAGTCTTCAAAACTTCAGGAAAAACCCTCCTCAAAGTCTTCAAAACTTCAGGAAAAACCCTTGGTGAAACTTTAAGGTCCCTCTCTGAAATTGGTAAAAGCTCAGAACTTTGTGAAACTTCACGGTCACCCTTGTGAGATTTTAGAAACCCTTTCAGTCTGCAAAATTTCAAGAACCCTCTGTCAGGAACACTTGGTGAGCTTTCAGGAATCCTTGGTGAAGTCTGCAGCACTTCAGGAAAACTTTGTGAAGTGTGTAAAATTTCAGGAACACTTGGTGAGCTTTTAGGAATCCTTAGTGAAGTCTGCAAAAATTCAGCAGGAACCCTATGTGAAATCTGCAATTTATGCAATAACAACCAAGAGACCAGTGTGGTTTGGATTTAAAAGAGAATTAAGTAAATCGTATTGTGTTTGTGTGGGAGAAGCTTTCAAAGAATTTCATGGAAAGAAAGGAAAATTAAAAAACAGTAGTGGATTCTTCTTGCAGTTTTCTCTTCTAAACCATTTTCTTTAAGTCTTGGCTCTATCTTTTGAACTGTTGGATTTGGCATAACTTTGTTAACTGAGATTATGATTTTAAGAAAGGAGAAAGATAAAGTTCTACTTCACTTAATATAGGCTTAGAACATTTGAAATCCTTAATGTATGTTCCAATTCTTACATCGTCAATTTTATAAGGCACAAGACAACCATATTACATGTTCTTCACCTCCTTCCTGTTATAACAATCGCAATTCGCAGCCCATAACATATATAAAACTACAACTGCTAATGCTTACTTGGGAACTAAATCATTCTAAGGTTCATCAGTTGTCAATTTTAAAATGGAGGTTTAGTTAATGAAAATGGCCACTTTTTTATTCAAGTTTAAACTGTACTTGAAGTAATGCTTGATTATATTTCACATCCTACTATTTCTGAAAAACCTGTTAAGGTTTGAGCAATCCGAAACAGATGTTCAAGAGAGGTAACTTGATGGATGGAAAAGTCCTAAGCTTCCTACCTCCCTTAGCATCCAAGATTCTTTGTCCAGAGGAATTCAACAGAATTTATTATTTCAATTAAATTCTCACAATACAGAAATGATATTTTTCCAAAGTCAGGACATTAGATGCATAGTGCATGTGTTTTGCATTGACCATAGCCGAAATTCAGAGCTCTCAAATTCAAGAACTTCTGAAGAAAAAAAAAAGAAACAGAACCAAAAGAATAATAATAATCTTGAATACACAAGACCACGGGAAAGAACTTATACTTGCCTTAAGTAACTCAGCCAGCTCGGGTGATACAATGTGAGTATTTGGTAATTTCAAAATGGCAAGCTTCTTTGGATCAAAATCAGATGGTAAATCTTCTGAAGGATATCTCCACCATTCCAATACTTTTAAACTATTAGGAAGATGCTTGGGACCTCTAGAAAATTGACCATTTCTAATAATAAGTGTTTTGAGGTTTTTCATCTTCTTGAAGGCCTTTACATTCCATTGTACTTCTTCTTCTTCCAATAAAGGGAAACCCAAATGTATAATTTCAATTTTTGTAGATCCCTTCAGAAAAGCAAGAACCAATCACAATACATGTATATATGTAAGACATCAATGCAGATATTTAGAGAAAATAACATATTATAAAGGGAAGAGACTAGTATGATGCAGGTATATAATAGTCTTAAAGAAATAAATCAAGGTTAAAGATGAAAAACCAAGCCATTGATATCAGTTTTACTTACTGTATTTTTTTGTAGTACATCAATTATATCTTTAGAGAACCATAACCTACTGCGTTGCCCAGGTTCATGTGGTGATTCCTGGTAAACAATATTTTTACCCATGTCCTCTATTAGGGAGTGTAGTATCAGCTTACTATTCGAACTGATACTTATCAGAGATTTATCTATCAACACTCTAATCAGAAGTTTGATGTGGTCACCACGATGAGCACACAGTATATCTTCAACCTCTGTCAATTTATATCCATTGAAACAACAAGCAATGTCGAGAAAAACCTTCTTTTCTTCTTCTTCCAATGCATCAAAGCTTACTTTAAGTACATCTTGAATATCATCTAGAGGAATCCTTTTAAACCTTTGCAATGCATGTTCCCATTCTTCTTTACTTCTTCCAAGTAAGTTGGAACCTATTACTCGCAAAGCCAGAGGATGGCCAGAAGCATAATCTATAGCTTGTTTTGAAATGTCCACATAACTTGGATCAATTTTGCCATCTTTAAAAGAACACCTACTAAACAATTCAAGAGCATCTTTATTATTTAACTCCTGTACCTCGTATGTTATTTCAACCCTGTGATATGTTAACAAATGTTTGTTTCGAGTTGTAATGATAACTCTACTGCCAGAACCAAACCAATCAGAACTTCCAGCCAAGGCCTCCAATTGCTCTAGTTTGCTGATGTCATCTAGAATCAAAAGAACTCTCTTGTGTTGGAGCCTTTCCTTTATTATTGAGATTCCATCGTCGACACTGCCTAACCGAATATCTTTCTTTCCAAGTATCTCATTAAGAAGCATCTCTTGGAGAAACATAGATCCATGTCTGTCATAAATTTCTCTCACACTACCAAGAAAACATGATGCTTCAAAGCCATCTGCAATGTCATTATAAACTGCTTTAGCAAGTATCGTTTTACCTATCCCACCTATTCCATAGATCCCTACCATGCGGACTTCAGCAGATCCAATATACAGAAGCGAGCATACTTCTTCCACTCGAGAGTCTAGTCCAATAGTGTAATCCGCTACAAACAAAGAACGATTAGTAATCCTCCTGAAGACCTCTTCAACAATGCTCTTGACATATTCATATTCATATCCAACCCTGCCCAATCAAAGAAATAATTGTGAAGTCAAATTCAACACATCATGTCCATGTCTTGATACCTTTATTACTACAATTCAAACTGTTCTATATACAAATTCAAGGTCATTATAACCAAACATTTCTCTTCCCATCAAATGAGAGATAAAAATAACAGTCTGAGCTTTGTTGACCTTAGCCTTAAGGCTGAGTTTAAGCATATAAAAATAGTAAACTTTTATTTGAAAAATAAGCATTAATTACACCTTTTGTATCTCCAATATAATAAATGCTTGATTTTTTAATAAAAATTTACTACTTTTGGATTCTTACACTGGCACTAAGGGTGAGGTAACGTACCCAGGTTTCAAATACCAGCCAAACAAGCTAGCTTCTTTCAGAACCCTCCTCCACTTCTTCACTTTCTCCGGGTTATCCTTGAACTTGCGCCCATGCTCAGCCAATGCTTGACCATAAGCCCCTCTCTGATCTTGCACGACAGAAGGATCAACGTCATAAAAAACCGGCATAACCAACCGTCCTTTCTTTTTACAGCACTCAATGATGTTGACAAGTTGATTCAAGTTCCGCGAGGAAGATGCATAGTTCTTAGAAAACACAACGATGGCAACCTTGGACTTTTCAATTGCTCTGATTTCCTCTCCTATCTGAAACTCTTCGTCGTCATTGTCCATGAAGGTGTTGATTCCCCTCTCACATAGAGCCTCAAAGAGAATGCCAGTAAAACTGTGGCTAGTGTCTGAGCCTTTGAAGCTAACGAACACATCATAGGTAAACCCATTACTGAATGAAGAAGAAGATGAGGTTTCAGCACCTGCCATCATGAATGAGTTGCTGCAGTCAAATGAATAAGCAGATTCTTCTTCATCAATCGTTCTTTTGTGTTTGCTGTGGTAGAACGCAAGTTAGTCAACAAGTACAGCATAGACTACGTAGAAAACAATTAAGGTATATGCAGTTGTCATGTTTTTTTGTTTTTATTTTTATTTTTATTTTTTTAAAGGAAGTCATAACATGTTATCCATATAAAAGTTTAATTTTACTTAGAAAATAATACATTAACATAGTAATACTATTTTAACATCGTGTTTATACCAAACACATTGTAAAATTAAAAAGTAGTTATGTTATAGTTATATTAGGTGTCTAGTGTTGACACTAAAACTGGATGTTAAACTAGCATTATTATGTAAAGAATTGCATTTAAGTTTTTTTCTTGCCTCGTACTCCATCTTTCTTTTGATATTAGTAAATGATTGTTACATAACTAAACTCTTAAATTTGTTCTCCAAATTTTGTAAGTTTTTCATTTTAATTCATGAGATTTTAAACATTTTTTATTAATCTCTGATTTTATAAAAAAAAATCATTTTTAGCCTTTTTTTATAGTCATATTTTACTAAAAATATTTAAAGAAAATAATATTCTATAAAGTTAGAGACTCACAAAGAATTTTAAATTTTCAAAAATTATTTCACCCATATTGTCTCAAAAAATATTACCAGATAAAAGCATAACCGCAAGAAGTAGTCAGGTCAAAAACAAGCACAAATTACAAGAAGAAAAGTGACTAATTCAATATTTACTCATTATCAAAGCTTATGAAACACGCTACACGGTTCGAATTTCTGAAAGAAACATTAATATCTTAATTTTACGCGGTTGGAATTTGAAGTTGGAAATCAAAGATTAGAAAGGATCAAAGAAGAATGTGTAAGTTCTGAAACCAAACAAGTTCACCAAACAATTGCCCAAAACCTACTTATATGCTCTGTCATTAAATTAATTCATATATTTATACATGAAAGTGATTATTTTCTTTTCTTCAATTTATATATGCTAGTTAGTTAACAAATTAAAATAGTTTTTTCAAATAAAAGTAAATATTATTTATTAAATAAGACTATATTTAAGAAATGATTTTTTTTTAATTTAAAAAATAAGTTATGAAAAATTCAAATTTTGAATTGATTGAATTACAAAAATAAATGTTCAACTTAGAAAAAATCATGTGACAAGCCGAGGGTAGAGTATCTTTCATCAATGCAAAACTTTCAAGATGCAACAAATGAGAGAATCTTTTTAAGACAAAGTCTTGTACAATCTGAAATGCTTTCTGGGTTAATTTCACTGATAGATATGGTTTTGGAGACTGGATATTACCATACATTGTTGAATTACTTGGAGCCTTTTCTTGAAAATCCAGAACTACTCCATCTAGTTCAGGATAAAGACAAGTGAATAGAGTGATAGAAACACTCGCAATTCAAGAAAAGATTAAAAAGGAAAAAAATCAACATGTAGTTACAGGTTAGGAAAAGATAAAGAAGAATCCATTCATGACTTCTCCAAGGTGTTGAAGGTCAAAAAAAGGATATTGAATACACCAGGGTATGCTTTTATTTTTATAAACAAAGAATTCATTAAGAAGGAAGAAACAATTTCAAAAGGATAAGATATCCGGAAAAGTTAATGCATGAAAAAGGGGAAACATAAAACTAAGAACATTAAACATGTAACATAGCATGCCATTCTCTTCAAAGATCTATCAAAGACCCCCCACTTATAAGTCCTTTAGTATAACACAAAGCTAAGTGAACTAATTTACCCCAAATGAACTCCAAAGGTAACATTCAACTAGTGAAAATGTTTCCAACCATACACACCACTCAATTGCAAATTGAGCGTAATGTCAAAGCCTTTTTTAGCATCTCTATTGGCCCTAACACCTCTAAAATTAGCCTATTTTTCATTTCTATTAATTTTATGGTAGAAAAAGATAACAATACAACTTTATTAAAAAAGGTCAAATCATAAAGAAAAGTTATTGAAACAAGCAAAGAATGAGTGGATTTTAAATTTAAATATTAAATTTGAATCTGAAATTTAAATTTAATAATAAAAAATTATATATTTTTTTATAGATAAATTATATTTTTTTATGGATAAAACATATTTTTTTAAAAATTAAATTATTATTTTTTTAATTCTACATTCTATATAAAAGATTTTACACACTACACACTTGACATTGGAGACTGGATCGATCTCTTTCTCCATCTCCTTTATCACAACGTTGTACTTCTAACACAGCAAATCCAAAATACTTCTTGGGTTTGAGGTGATTTTTAATGTTCTTATCATTATTGCATTATCGTTAGGTATTAGTAATTGATTTAACAAAGTTGAATAAAATTAAATTAAAAAATATATAGGTAATAAAAAAAAAAACTCTATGTCTCACTCCTTCATTCATATAGATCAACTTTGTGATTTATCTACCTTTTAACTTTTGATGTACAATTGAATTTTGAATTTTGGGAGGCTGTTGAATGACAAGGGCATTACATGTCATTCAATCATTGGTGTAGCCGCCTTCATGTAACATGCTCATTAAATGTGCAATCATGGTTTGGAGCAGGCATTTTGTGGATTCTAGGAAGTTATGCTTGTGCCATTTGCTTTATGTTAGGGTTGTGAGGTTAATCAGTCTTTTTACCCTTAAAAATTTTTCTTTTAAATGGCAAGAACTTTTCTTCGATTTTCTTCTTTGTTATCGTCTTCGATTGCTTTTCTTTCATATTCTCTTCTTATTGTTCTTTCTTTGGTGATGTGCGTGGTGGTTTTGGGGTGTCGGGTCTTGTCCACAATCCTTTCAGCTCATTTCAAGTTCTTCTTTGGTGATGCATTATCTGTGTTCGATTCCCCACATATAACACATCACAAAATTTAATTAAAATACACAAATAGTGCAAATACTTTTTATACTATTATTCAATCGTTGATTGATAAATAGTTTACAATTATTGAATTTAATAATAATCACTTTAAAAATATGTAAGAAGATTTATAATTAGTCGACTACGTAAAATTCTTAAACTAATAGTATATTAAAATTAACATAAGGATTATATATCATGATTCATGTGTTCAACCATGTGCCAGGTATACCTTGATATAGTTATTTCACATTGTCTACTGCTAAAATATCTGAACTTGATTGTCATACTACTATTTTAAAGTGGATTGGGTGATAAAATGAATTATAACATATATTTTCAAACCATCTGCTGTTTGAATATTTGATAACTCATCTATAATATGTTGTCATTTTGTTTTAGTTCTCAATGTATAAGCAGCAGTGCATTTGTGTTGGAATTTTTTTTCTCTAGAAATTGCTTCAATACTTGGATATGTTCACATTGTTGAAGGGCCTTATAAATAGAAGACTCATTATTAAGTTTTTTGACAGAAGAATTAAAAAATGCAGAGGAAAAAGTTTAGTTTCCCATGAGAAGTTCTCTAAGTGTGTATTCTCTTATTATAAGAGAAAGTACAACAATAAGAGAGAGTACAACAATCCTCTCTTTGTATATAGAGAGAAGTTGTAGCTTTCATCCACCTAATGAAAATTTTTTCTAGTGTTGGCTATAATTTTTCCCTGATCGTTTGAGAAATTTTCACGATAAATGTTGCGTGTCAATTTCTATTTTACTCTATTCTATTTTACTTTCATAGAGTTTATATATCTTTTGAATAGTAATATAAGAGATTCTTAAATTGAATTTCTAAATATTGTTATTTTTAATTATTAAAAATATCATAATTTAATTGTTTAAACATAAATAATACATAACAAAATAAAATTTCGGTACGAAACAATTAAATGAATAAGTAATTAAAAGATAAAGAAAAAAATTTAATTTTTAACAAAAAAAACTATATGAACTTAGGGTTTGTGGTTTCACCTTAACGCTTTTTCATGTTCACTTTTAGTTTAACTCCAACCTTGATTTTTCTACGGTCGCTAACCACTAATATTAAAGCTATTAACACTAAATTGTCATGCAATATTTTTTTTTCTTGAAGTTATTACCCCAATAGTCATGTAAGACAAAAAGAAAGAAAAAACTTAAAGAGTCTATCAATTTGTTAATTTAATAATGATTAAAAAAATTAAGTTTGATCCACTTAATTCTTTGTCTTATTTTACTCAATAAATTCATTAACTATATTTAATACAGTCGCCTACAATGCAATCAATTATGTTATATCGAGAGTGGTCAATTCCTAACATGTAAATCTAAACTCATTAGGATAAAAATCAATTAAGAAAAGGAAATCACAATTGTCATTAAATATAAAGATTACAAAAAACGTGCAAAGGATTCATGATAGCTCTAGTTATGGATTTAACTACTTATAATGAAAAAACAACAAAAATAATTATAAAGTGACTCATAGTTATTTGAAAAGAAAACGCAAACTAAAGGAATCTTAAAAGAAAAAAAATAAAAGAAGTTGTTGTTCCTAAAATCAGACTCTGAAAAGATATATTACATATTTACCAATGATCTCTCCTCCTAATCGGCTCTCAATGTCATTACAAACCGGTTAGACAAAAGTATTTAAGTCAAACGGTCTCTAAGAGAAAAAAGTATATTTCAAGTGTGAGGCATCTTTATATAGAGTGTAGAATCCACAAAAGATCTTGATTTGGCCTCTTAAAAAAACATGTTTCATCTCTAATAAATATATGACTTATCAATAGATAAAGATATATTTTTTTATTACCAAATTTAAATTTCAAATTCAAAATTTGATTTTAAATTCATTCTCACAAGCCCTTGAAAATCTCTTAATTAATTGCACTAGAAGTGAAGCACGACCATACCCTCTAAAATAGTTGTACATGGTCACGAAACACTCACAAGCGGACTATTAAGCAACGTCTTGGTTCTTGTTGTGCATGACCCTGGTTTCTATCAAATTTTATTCAATTGTAACCAAAATGCTTCCCTGATTCAATGATGAATGATTTGTGAAAATCTGCAACAATTAATTAATAAATCAATATAAAATCCTCATCAAATAAAGGCTAAACATATAGAAATAAGTTATAAAAACACTCCAAAATATGGACTTATCACATTCAGAAGAAAAAAGAGAACTTTAAGCAAACTGTACAACCAGGATGTCTGTGTAATATAGGAGAATAAAAGCTTTAAGCAAAGCTTTGTGTCTGTGATTCCTGTCAATACATCAATAAATGAGGATATGGTGTTGTGATGTTTAGACTTCTCAACATCACTGGACTGTTAAGCTTTGTGATTTCTTGTGCAATGCCCTTGCTCTTGAAATTTCCAGTATAGAAGGTTAAAAGAGGACTTTAAGAAAACTGTACAAGCAGGATGTCTGTGTAATATTGGAGAATAAAAGAAGCAGCGAGATAACATATGAATGTTGTATTCCTGTTTAGATGCATCAGATTTTGCTATTACAGTCATATGAGACAACATCTACAAAGCAAAATAGGCATATAAAGTATGAATATTACCATTTTTTTAAGATCATTTCATCCTTGGTTAACATAAACCTGGAATAATGTAAAGATTCTTAGATTTAGTCTTCAAAATGCATGCTTCGAATGAATTGTTCTCCAATCTTTGACCACTCTGCTTCAATATTGGCTTGTGTTAATTTTGCCCATTCCTCATCAGCTTTCAGCCTTGGCACTTGGTTCCTCAAATCATCCGTTTCGGCTTTCATCACTCTTCCTTCATGAAACAATTCTCTCTTTCTCTTAGCAACTATGTCTCTCTGTGCTGTAGAATCTGCAATCTCAGCTTTTATGGCATTGATTTTCTCTTCAAGGTCTCTCTTCTCTTTATGCAAGATGGACAATTGATTACACAAACACTTCTCCACCATGTCCATGTCCTGGAATTCTTTAACATTAGCTTTAAGATCATCTTTCAATTTCTCAGCTTTTGATAGGTCTGCAGTTGCTGACTCAAGTTTAAGGTTTGCATTGTTATAGTCCAAATTCCATTTAGCGAAACTTAGTGAAAGTTGTTGTATTGCTGATTTAGTTCTCAGAGAAAGTCCTTCATCTGGTGTCAAACTGCGGAAGTAATTTAGGGACTCTTTCATCAATCCAGAACGTCCTGGGTGCAACAAAAGAGAGAATTTTTTTGAGACAAAGTCCCGTAGAATCTGCAACCATTTCTGGGTTTCTTCACTAGGCCTAGGCTTGACAGATACATTGTTGGGTTGCATGTCTTGGACATGTGACAGAGAAGTGGTTTCTGGTTCAAGAGAAGCATAAAATGCTTCCATGTTGTCTTCATTTATGGAAGATTCAAAAATATTTATGTAGGCTTCTGCATTTGACACAGCTTGTTGACCCTGACCATTACCATATCTTTCAGGAAAATGAGTATGGAAGATATTTTCTTGACTTTGATTAAAATTCAATGTGGCTTCTACATCTGATTCAACTTGACGTCTTGATATTTCTTTTTGTGAAGCCAATATTGATTTGTTTCCAGATTTGACTTGATCACCCAGTTGTGTTTCAGCTGCTGTTTGTTGGTGCAATAGTAGTTGACTCCTGAGAGCATGAAAAAATAAAATGGTAAGACAAAAGGTTAAAGTCCCCTGTATAACTTGCAAAAAGTATAAGTTTTTGACTTACTGGCACAGATTTTCATTCTCCATCAATTTTTCTTTCTTCACAAGCATTAGCTCTTTATTATGGATACTTGTAGCAAGAGGTTCTTCTTGTGTTTCAGTTAAAGGAACCAGAAGAATTTTGCAGGAATTGGTGTCTGCAAAACAAGATCATTTAAAATTATAAAGGTATGCATGTTATAGTAACCATTATCATTGAATTCTCAGTCTTGCCATTAATTTCATGTTGGCTCATAATGTCGCTCCCTGCTTTGTTTTTCCTAATGTTTATTTATGCACTACCATACCTTTTCCTTTGTCATTATTCACAACTTCATTGTTTCCTAGGATTTGATGACTGAGGGAAGCTGAATGTTGTTCCTCTTCCATGTCCTCATTGTCACTTTCACTGTTTAGTTCCAACTCCCCACCATAATCATGCTCATTACCACCGTTTTTCTTGCTAGATTGAAGATTTCTCATGAACTCCAATATATTCTTGGCAAAGTATTTATCTGATATTGAAGGGAAAAGAACATCTTCTCTTGCTTCATCATGGATATCCAAACTGTCATTTATGTTATCATGGGCTATATTTGAGCCTTGAAGATCAGGATTTACAAAGGAGACATGGTGAATATTCATTCTATCTTTGTATAAATGAATTCCACAACATTTAACAGTTACATTTTTGGGCTCATTCATGACTGAACACAAAATCTCCACACGATTCCAACCAGATTTTATTTTTTCATTAATGTTGTGCCACTCTTTGGCAGTGAGGTGAATTCTCATATCAAACAGCCATACATGATCAACTGGCCACTCTCTTCTTTGTTGAAATACTTGGAGTCCATTGATATCCAAACGGAATTCACATGTGTGATTAACTTTCCTTTGATATTCACCTCCTAAAAGAAAAAATAGAGCAATGGTAGGGAATTTTCTACGAACCCAGAAAGTCAAGGACCTTCCTTTACTACAGTGATCAAACCAACTTGGAATTTTTGTCCTGAACACAACAATGTCTATGTACTCAACCTCCTGAAATGCCTGTTCATCCACAAAAAAGGTTTATCAGCTAAAGAAATGTAGAAGCTCAACAAATGAATACAAAAGACAGGAGAAAAATAAACCTGACTCAAAATTACATCTGATGATTGGGGAGTCAATGATACGCAATTCCTTGCATCTATGTATTGCAGGTATTGTGGAAGCACTGAAATATTTCTAAGCAGCTTGCAGTTATCCACATGAAGAAATAACAGGTGGCAAAGATCTTCAATGCAAGCAGGGATGGTCAAAAAGTTATTATCGGATAGGTTCAAGGATTTCAGTTTTAGGAAACACTTGAGAATTAACTCAAGATCTTCATCTGATAGATCACAGTTTTTGAGAGTCAATCCACTTAACTTCGGATTCCAATTCGTCCTGTCTCCTAATGACTTCCATAGAAGTTTTGGAAGTTGTTGACATCGCTCTACATTAAGCTCTTCAATATTTTGAAACAATACTGTGTTGGTTGGTAGATCCTCAAAACTTAGGCAAGATGTCAGCCTTAACTCTTCAAGACTATTAAAGTTTTTAATTGAATTTGGAAATCTTTTTATGGCTGTCCCTCCTATATCAATATTTTTCATATTCTCCACTTTAGCCAATACATCTGGGAAACTCTGAATGCTAGAACATTTGCCAAGATTAAGGTATTCAAGAGATGATGATCTCAAACCTCGTGGAAAACTCACGAGTTTTGGGCATCCTTGTGTGCTTAATGTGACTAGTTTGTCAAGATGTCCAACAGAATCATGAATGTCCACTAAGTTTGGACAATTATTAAGAAGAAGTCTAGTTAGATTAGGGGTTGTTGAGACATCAGGTAGTGTTGTTAGGGAGTCACAATAGCTGAAGTTCATAAAAGTCAAATGCTCAAACTTCTGCATATCAAGAACAGTTGGTGCTCAGAATTTTGTAGATAAAAGTTACATCATATTAATATAGAAATAAGGATCACACACATACCTTGAATGGCTCATTCATTTTAAGATGACTCTGGGGCAAGTTGAGTACAACAAGTGCTTCTGGATGAAAATCAGCAGGTAAAGATGGTAAAGGATATTCATTCCATTCAAGAAATCTCAAATTATTTGGGAGGTATTGGGGAGATCCAGAAACTTGTGCTTTCCGAACTATGAGAATTCTGAGTCTCCTCATTTTTTCAAAGGCGTCAGTTTTTAACTGAACTTCTTGTTGTAGGTTGCTCATGTCCAACATTATTCCTTCAATTGTATCAGCTCCCTTTATTCAAGCACCAAGAAGCAACCATGTAAATGACAAATTGACAAATGCTTTAGTGAAATTTTTCATAATCTGCTCAAAGAAAATTAAGGGAGAGAAAATAACGTGCTAAAAATCAATATTGATTCACACTCACTGTTTTTCTTGTCAAGACCTCAAGAACATCCTCATGATGCCACAGTCTCCTACGTTTGCCAGGGTCATGTGGCGAATCCTTTCTAGCAATGTCTTTGCCCAGGTCTTGTATAAGATCATGCATCTTAACTGTATTGGATTCACTAATTGTTACTAAAGATTTATCAATAAGAACTCCGATTCCATATTTTGAACAAAAACGTGAGGCATCCAGTGTCTTTTCTACGTCCTCCTTCAAATTTCCTTCGAAGAAACATGCAATGTCAAGGAAAATTTCTTTTTCATTATCATCCAAATTATCATAGCTGACTTTAAGTACATCTAGAATATCTTTGCTTGGGATTGTTTCATATTTCTTCAATGCACTTGCCCATTCTTCTATTGTCTTTCCAAATAAATCAGATCCTATTACATTCAAAGCTAATGGAAGGCCTTTGGCATATTTCACTACACGGTTTGCTATCTGTGCATAACTTGCATCAGGCTCCCTTCTTTTAAAAGCATTCAAACTAAATAGTTCAAGAGCTTCTTCATCATTCAATTCTTTCACTTCATATATTTTTTCAACCCCATGAATAGCTAGCAAATGTTTATTTCTTGTTGTTATGATAATCCTGCTTCCGGAACCAAACCAATCTTGGCTTCCAGCCAGGGAACACAGTTGTTTCACATTATCCACATCATCAAGAATCAAAAGGACCTTCTTGTTGTGAAGCCTTCTTTTTATTATAGGAATTCCTTCACTCACATCACTCAACTTGATGTTTTCTCCAAGCAAATGAAAGAGAAGGGTCTCTTGTAGTTGTACTAGACCACGTTTCATTGAATTTTCTCTTACATCAGCAAGAAAGCTAGAACCTTCAAACTTATTAGCAATTAAGTTATAGACAGATCGAGCAATTGTGGTTTTACCAATCCCACCAAATCCATATATTCCAACCATACACACCTCATCATTAGATTTAATTCCTAGAAGGGATACCACTTTTGACATTCGATAATCCAATCCAACTGGATGATCAGCTATGTGCAAGGAGGTAAGATTTAATTTGCTAGAGATTTCTTCAGCAATCCTTTGAATAAATTCAAACTCATACCTGCAGAATTTGTAAGAAAACACAGGTACTTGAACTTAAGTTCATTGTATATTTGGTATGAGTGACGGAAAATCTTGAGGATATATAAAGGCTTTAATATATTTTTGGTCTCTCAAAATACACCGAGTTTCATTTTGGTCCCTTGATGAGTCATTGACTCTTAGTAATTGAAGGTTTATGGCACATTTCATTGAATTAATAATTAAGTTAATGAAAATTAACTGAAATATTTAATGGAAAGATGCTATTGCTAGAAATGTAATAAATTATTTCAATTATTAATGGTTTGCAGTTGATTTTTGAAGGATTAAGAAGAGAAATCCTAATTGGATTTAAAGAGAAGAAGTTGAATTGCTGCAAGACACATTTGTGAGCACATGCATTTTTTATTGTGGGAACAGAACCTGATAAAACATATAAAAACAGAATTTTCTGCAAATTGACAAGATTTTTTATTACATTTCAAGAACGCGCAATTTTAGGTTTTTGTAGAGTTTTACATAGGAATGTCAGCTAAGGTATTTTCTTCCTTTTTTTCTATGGAATTTTGATGAAAAGTTGAGTTACATCCCTTCTTTCTCTTAGTTTTGTAATGCAACAGTAGTTTTGTACATTTTATATTCTACTTTAAGCTCTTTCTGTTGAACATGATTTTTTTTCTGCAATATATTTCAGTTTCTTCTTCTTTATTTCTATTATGTTTTGCTAATTTCCTTAGGATTGAGTAAGGATAAACCTATTCTTTTACCCATTGCAATGAACTAAGCATTGAATGTAATTCAAAATATAAACTTTAATCTAACACTTTTGATTATGAACTTAATGTCTCTCTATTTTACGTAATCGAGATTGATGAAAAAAGTTTATGATTGAGAAGTTGTGAACTTTCTTGAACTGGGATCAAAATGTTTGTTATAAATTATCTAGGAATAGAAGTTTATAATGATGTGGTCATTTGAGTTTTAATCTTAACGCTGAACGTTTTTGGGTTTATCTAAGAAATTAGGAAGCTAAATTTATTTTAGAACCAACTAACCAAGGAATTGAGATTAGATATTTTAGAAGACCTAGTCATTAAACTGAGCTGTATTTTTTGTTGTATACGTATTTTATGCAAGGGAAAAAAGGATAAGGAATTCTAAACTCAACCTACTTCTTAGTTAATTTACAACTCAGTTTCATTATCTTATTCAATTACATTCTGCAAGTTAGTTTTATTTATAATTAATCCCTTCCATCTGAATTTTCAATTCCGTATTTAAATTTTTTAGCACTTATGCTTTTACATTCTGCACTTTATTTAATTTTTCTGTTTATAATTGTACTCTGTTTTTTACTCAACTAGTAATATTTTTGTCGTTTGGTACTTGACATTAATCCCTACAAATGATAAATCTATTTTGTTATTTCAATGATTTGGTGCACTTGCCAAAAAGTTATCATCCCTATAAAAAAAATTATTTATTTTTTGTCCCTAAATTTTCAAAAATTGTTAGTTTTGGTCCTCTCACTTATGTGGCTTTATCAACAAGCAACATGTAGCATAAAATTGATATGTGGTAACATCTAAATTAGCCATGTCGTCATTTAATAGTGCCTAGGAACAAAAGTTTTTTTTTACTGTTGAAACTAATACCAAAAAAAAATTATAAGGACCAAAATCAAAAATTTGTTTTTTTTTTTTTCTAAACCACAAGTATCCTTCACCTAAGGCAATCCAGTTCAAGTTAGGTACCAAAATTTGATGTATTTTGAAAGACCAAAAACATATTTAACCCTAAACAAATTTTTACAAGTTCTCTTTGCTTATCTCCTTTCTGGTCCCTCCCATTAAAAACTAACACCTCAACAAAATCATACTTAGTTGTTATTGTTATCGTACAGAAGCCAGTATTATCTTTCAAGAAGCATAATAGAAACAAAAAGGGACAGGTGATTTGCTTTTTCAGTTATAATGTCCAGCGTGATGAGGTTCCTTGCATTCAATCATGCTCTATCCTTAAATGGAGTAGTCTCCCCAAAGCAATGGAAGAACTAAATGGAAACAGAAATATAATTCTATGTTGCCCAAAATTTCATATTAAATGAGATTGTACAAAAATAAGAAACTAGAAAATATTAAGAAAAATTATTAAGGATAATTGCATAACGCACCAGAGGAGTGCTAGAAAAATTGCCAAGAGGTAAGAATACAGAACATATATACAATTTTTATTGTAAGTTTCTTCTTCAACACTGTATCTGTCTCTTGCCATTAGTAGTTAATATTTGTTTTTGGACTTAGAAGCAAAGGTAAAACATGATTGAATTTGTTTGGACTTAATTTACCAATGATTTCTTCTGACCTGCAATTGACCTCAGTTATACATTTATGTGTGTGTATTATTGGTTACTAATGAAATAATTAAGAAAAAATCATTAAAAAAGTTAACCTATAGTTAGTCCCAATATATAGATTAATGAACTATCTTACAAACCTCGAGTAGGCCGGATTATCTCCCATGAAGAATAGTAGATCAAAGATAATGAAATGTTCCCCTAAATTTTCTATCTGTCACCCTATGATTAAGAAAAAAAACATTTTCAACGGATTTTTGCATCGATAACACATAATTCGGGCACCCTAAGTAATTTGTTATGTTCATATCTTGCCTACTGATTATAAGGACAACTTTTTCTCAGTAATTATCTGATTATCAATTTCCAGCTTATGTATGTTTGTAATCCTTATCCTTATACCTTCTCCGATCCCTTTTATGAAAAATAAATAACTAATTCATCAAGATAAAATAAAAAAGTTATATGTTATAAATTTATATTGTATTTCAAAAATACTTGTAGTGTTAAATAGTCAAAATAGTGAGATATATATTAAATAAATGAATATATGAAATGAAAATATGTATTGTTAAGACAAATGTCACAATAAATAAAGGTATAAAAGTAATTTAATAATTAATGCATCTAAAAATGGTTTTCTACTACTTATAATTAGAACAAAAAATGGTAGTTATTTCTGATAAAAAGAATCAAAGAGAGTAAAGCCCAAGAAGTGTCAAATTTTAAATTGCATGAAGATAATGAAATCAGGGCAAGTAATTAGATGATAATTTTGTCATAATTTATCCAAAAATAATATGAATCTATAATATGAAGACTAAAATTGAAAGAAAAGCTTATAACGCAAGAGATGTTTATACCCATATTTGAAATGCCATCCTGACAAATTAGCTGCTTCTTTCAGTGCAGTTCTCCATTTACACACCCTTTCTTTGTCAATATTGAGATTTTCTTCATGCTTAGTCATTGAACTTCTAAAACTTCTCCTTTGATGCCTTACATCTGAAGGATCAACATAGTAGAAAACTGGCCTCACCAACTGTCCCTTCTCTTTCATACGCTCCATGATCCTCACTAATTCATCAAGACACCAACTTGAGGATGCATAATTTTGTGAGAAAACAATTATTGCAATCCTAGACTCATCAATTGCTTTGAGAAGAGAAGGTGAAATCCCTTCTCCTTTCTTAAGTTTTGAGTCATCTTTGAAAGTGTTGATTCCCTTTTGGTGCAAAGCATTACAAAGATTTCCTGTGAAACTATATCGAGTATCTTCCCCGTGGAAGCTTACAAACACATCATAAGTCCAACCATGGTTGAAGGAGTTAGAAGATGAAGGCTCTTGAAGTGGACTCATTAGATGCTATAATTTGGCAAATTCTAACAAGCACTGTGTCACATGAATTTTTCAAACTTTAAAAGGGTGTGAAAACTTTCGAGATAAACAACATAAATTGCCATAAGAAGTAGGAAGCTAGCAAGCTAGAATCTTGATTAACCAATTTTGCCGAGTATAACTTTGATTGTTTTTGAGCTGTTGAAAATAAAAGTCAACCAAACAGAAAGGTCGATAATATTGATGTTCATGATAGCCTGTCATCTGACCAAGATTTTTAATTCATTTTATAAAACATAAATCATATAGATTATTATATTATATGAACACAATAAGAAAGCATAAAGTACAAACCATTTTGACCTGTCATATATTATGATTATTCTATTCAAAATTTAGAACTTAAAAACAAACTGACAAACAAAATTAAAAAAATCAGAGAATCTAATTATAATGAACTGCAGAGAAACCATTTACAAAGCAAGAATCTAATTAACATTTTGCTAGCAGGAGGTGGACCAAAAGTTAAAGAAACAAAAGAAAATAAATAAACAAAGGTTGATTGTGGTGAGAAACAAATAATGTAGCGTGCAAAATACTATTGGCATATGTAAGATTAATGGAAAAGAAGTTCTTTGAACTGAAAATTAACTATGACACCACAAGATTAGAAGTACCAACATAGAGTGAGATTGAATTGGGAACCACTTGTAAGAGTTCAAAGCACTACAAGCTTTATTTTTAAGCAAAACACACAAAGGAAACAAGGGGGAGGGTAATAATCAAGTTGAAATTCCTTTTTGAAATAGCTTTTGCAAAGCTGTAATTAACATGACACCATAAACAAAATCTTTGACGTACCATCATTTCACTAATATCTTGTTTTGTGGCTTGCAATTTTTCTTCCCTACAATTCTTTTTTTTGCTTTCTTAAAGATGCAATTGGGTAATAACTCGGAGTAGCCTGAAAAACAAAAAAAGACTTGCCCAGTACTCCATCTTTCTTTTAATATTACTAAATGATTGTTACACAGTAAACTCTTAAACTTGTTCTCCAAATTTTATAAGTTTGTCATTTTAATTCATGAGATTTTATATTTTACATCAATCTTTATTTTATATAAAAAAAAAATCTCCTTAGCTTTTTTAATTTTACTAAAAAATATAAAGAAAAAATATTTTATAAAGTTACTCACAAGAGAATTTTAAAATTACAAAAATTAAAACATTTCACCCACATAATCTCAATGACTATTTATAAAAAAAAATATTAAAAATGGATAAAAGCATGATTACAAGAGGTAGTCAGCCCAAAAACATGCACAGTTAAATTACAAGAAAAGTGACTAATTTAATATTTAGTCATTATCAAAGTTTATGAAACACGTATGCTAATTCACACGGTTCAAATTTCGAAAGAAACACTAACATCTTATTTTTTACGCGGTTGGAATCCAAAGTTGGACATAAAAGATTAGAACAGGATTAAAGAAGAACGCATGGGGTAAGTTCTGAAACAAAATAAGTGCACCAAACAATTGCTCAAAACCTTTTTTTATGTTGTGACATTAAATTTATTCATATATGTTGTACATGAACGTAATTCTATTATCTTTTCTACAATTTATTTGTACTAGTTACCCAATTAAAATATTTATTAAAAATAAAAAAAATTAAGTGTATATTGAGAGACTTTTTAAATTTATAAATTTTAAAAACATTAATAAGATTAAATTAAAGTAATGGAATTTTTAAATTTTAAAAATAATTTATGAAAAAATAAATATTTAAATTAAGATTAAATAAAAATAAATAAATGTTCCAGTAACAAACTGAGGTTAGATTATCTTTCATCAATGCAAAACTTTCAGGATGCAACAAAAGAGAGAATCTTTTTAAGATTGTACAATCTGAAATGCTTTCCGGGTTAATTTCACTCATATACATGGTTTTGGGTTGGGTGTCTTGCAAATGTGACAGATTCTACATTTGACACTGAGTGTTGATCAATATCTCCTATTTCCCGAAAATGAGTATGGCAAATATCAGATTGTTTTTTTGTTAAATTGAACCGTGCACGGCTTCTGCATTCGATTCATCTTGGTTAATTAATTGATAGAATGGTTCTTGAACCCTGAGAACATGAAAAATGCAATGGAAAGATAGAATGTCAACAAGGGACATGGCTAAGTTCCAAACAAGTAAAAATTTTGGCCATACTGGCACAAGATTTCTATTTTCTTCTAATTTTACTTTCTTTAGAAGCATTAGCTCTTTGTAATGGTCATAGGTGATAATTGAATAAAGGAAAGAAAATTGATGTTTTTTCTAATCTTTTCTTCAGTTCTTGCTGCTGAAAAAGAAGATATATTCTCCTAAAGTTTCTCCTGTGGCAACTAGTTGTCACATTTTCAGGTCTGCAAACCTTGAAGCATGCGAAGATCTTCTTGAAGCCTTTTCTTGGAAATCCAGAACTACTCCATCTAGTTCAGAATGAAGACAAGTGATAAGAGTGATAAAAACACTCGATTCAAGAAAAGATTAAAAAAGAAGAAAAAATAACATTTAGTTACGGGTTTGGAAAAGATAAAGAAGAATTCATTCATGACTTCTCCAGGGTGGAGGGTCAAAAGAAAGGATATTGAATACACCAGGGTATGCTTCTATTTTTATAAACAAAGAATTCATTAAGAGAAAAGAAGAAACAATTACACGAGGATACCTAAGACACACTACTTAAAACTAAAAGTCCTTTGGTATACACCATAAAAAAGCTAAGTGAACCAAATGATCCCACCTTACACTCCAGTCAACTGCAAATTGAGCATAATGCCAAAGCCTTTTAGAATCTCTATTGACACCAAAACCTCTAAAATTAATACACACGAACTTCTGGACCTCCTTGGAGAAAACCCAACGAAAGGAAGCTCCTGAATAATGCAAAAGCAAATGAGAAATCACTTTCAGAACTCAGATCTGCACATGTCACAATAATCAGGAGACAGCAATTAGAGGTCTTCGAATTTGAAACTAGACAAAAATTCAAGATATGTAGTAACAGTTCTCACCAAAATGGCACATTGCCCAAGGACTTAACAAATTTGATAAAAAGAACAAAGTAAAATCAATAAAGGATTAAAGGTAAGGACCAAAACTTGTAGCTTACAAAATAGGCAGACAAGCAGCAGCCTTCCTGTGTGAACCTCACCTTTCATGTTTGCCATGAACAAAACGAAAGAATTTGATTTTGGTCCTGAAGTAATTAAAAATTAGTCACTTTATGTTTATCAAAAAATGAAGTAATTTCCAAATATATAAATAAATACATACAAGATTGTATCATACAAGGAGATACCCTTGTCTAAAATAATTTATATACTTCTTACCACAACATCTCACAGGAACATAATGTACATGAGTTATCTTTGTAGGCAAATTAAATCTGTCGTGGAGTCTCAGAATTAGAAGATCGGCCTCATTTGCTTTGATACACAAAAGAATCAACGTGTAAGAGAAATGACTCAGTTCTGGCATTTAAAAGAGTAAGCTCAGTATTAGCATTATACCCTGGGGGAGGTAGCAAGTTCCAAGTCTATAGCCAAATCTAGTTTTCAATTTCAAAAAGGAATGGTGAATCTAATATCCCCCTTGCTCCTTTCCTGTTTGAATACATGAATCCCGATAGTGGATGCACCCTCACATGTAATTGTTGCAAGGTTCCATTCATTTTCTGAAAGTGATTTGACCGGATCATCATTGAATTTTTTCATTTGCATATCAAAAAGATAGGTATGATCCAGTTCCATAATGTCAACAACTGAATGCTCAATAGTAAAGAAAAATTCATTGCCACTGATGATCACATCCATATCATATTCACCCCATGTCAAGGAAGAAACAATGCAGATAGCTATGCCAGGAAATTTGTTACGAAACCAAAAAGATATTGATGGTTCCATGCTTTGATGCTCAAACCACTCTGGAATCCTTGCTCCTGGAAAACAAAATTCAGTGTTTCCAGCTTCATGCAATTCCTATTATTCATAAATGATTTCAAAGTTTATCAATATTAAGATAGAGTATCAACAATTCAATCAAATACATAATAAAAAGGAATTAAAACCTGATTTAGTAACATGCTTCTAGATGAGGAAGTCAAGGATATGCAGTTTATTGCATTGAAATAATTTAAGTTTGGCGGAATCCCTTGGATTTCTTCGAGACAATAGCAATCATTCAACATAAGCTTCCGTAAAAAGTGACATTCTTTGATGCATTCAGGAAGAATTGTGAAATTACTGCACGATATGACTAATTCTTTAACATTAGCAAACCATGTGAGACCTATTGCCAAAGATTCATTTGACAGGTTGGTGTATTGGAGATAAAGATGTGTCACATTTGAAGACATCATCAAGCTCACTTTTTCTTTACCCTCTTCCGGTTTTAGCAATAGTTCTCCTTTAAAAATGAAAATAGAAATCACAGCTAGTTCTGGCATCGTGACAATGCTACCTGGTAACTTAACATCTTCGATAGCATCCATTGTTAGTCTCTGAAGCCGAGTTAGATTTCGAAATGAAAATGGAAATTCTTTTATGGAAACCTGAAACAACATAAGCTCTGTTATGTTTTCCATCTTTCCTAATATTTCTGGAAATCTTTCTAGACTTGAACAATATGAAAGTTCAAGTTTTTCTAGAGACGCCAACTTGAGGGGTGGAAAAATCCTAAGCTTCATGCAACCTTCAGCTCTCAAGACTTTAAGTCTGTTTAGTAAGCCAACTGAATCATGAATTGTAACTAAATTATAACAACCATAAAATGAAAGTTCTTCTAAATTTGGGAGACCAGATAAGTCATTTATCTGAGTTAAACACTGACATGAGTCAAAGTTTAAAACCCTTATATTCACGAACTTCTGCAAAAAAATGAAAACAAAGAAATCAGAACAAAGTGAAGAGTCTTAAAAGTGAATTTTTTAATATATAAGATCTTACACTTGCCTTATTCACAAAGCTAGCCCACTTGAATGATGTAAAGTGATCATAGGGAAACTTGCATGTGGCAAGTTCCTTTGGATAAAAATCAAATGGTAAATCTTGTGAAGGATATCTCCACCACTCCAGTAATCTTAAACTATTTGGAAGATGTTTGGGACCCTTGGAAAAACAGCCTATTTTAATAATAAGTGTTTTGAGGTTTTTCATCTTCTTGAAGGCTTCTCCATCCCAATCTACTACTACTTCTTCAAAAAAGGGGAAATTCAGATGTATGATTTCAATGTTACTAGTTCCCTTTTAAAACAAAAAGAAACAAAAGCACAAATCAGCCAAAAAACAATGAATATATGTTAGGAGTTCAACGCAAACATCTATACAAATTTACACATATAAAGTGTAAAACAACAATTGTGATGTGAGTATATGACAGTCAAAAGAGATAAATCATGATTAAAGATGAAAAACTAAATCATCCGTATTAGTCTTACCGTATTTTCTTCCAAAACATGAACTATATCCTTTGGAAACCATAACCTACTGCGTTTCCCAGGCTCCATTGGTGATTCTTGTCGGACAATTTCTTTACCCATGTCCTCTATCAAATCATGTAATGTCACCTTATCATTTGAACTAAGGTTTATGAGAGATTTTTCAAGCAACACTCCAATTTGATATTTCATGCAGCTACCATGATGAGCATAGAGTATATCTTCAATCTCAGCCAATCGATATCCTTTGAAGCAACAAGCAATATCAAGAAAAACACACTGTTCATCTTCCTTCAAAGCATCAAAGCTTACTTTGAGTATCTTTTGGATCTGTTTATCAGGAATCCTTTTATACCCATCTAATGCAGATTGCCATTCTTCTATACTTTTTCCAAACAAATTGGAACCTATTACTACCAATGCCAATGGAAGTCCAGCAGCATAAGCTACTGCACGGTTCAAGACATCCATGTAATCTGGATCAACTTTTTCTGTTTTAAAAGCCTTCCAACAAAGCAATTGAAGAGCATCTCTCTTACTTAACTCCTTTAATTGATATGTTCTGGTAACACCATGTCTTGCTAACAAGTGTTTGTCCCGAGTTGTAATAATAACCCTGCTTCCAGAACCAAACCAATCAAATCCTCCAACCATGGCCTCCAATTGTTGTAGATTGTCAACATCATCTAGAATCAAAAGAACCTTCTTCCCTTGGAGCCTATGTCGTATTATTGAAATTCCTTGTCTAACACTTGCCAACTCAATTTCATTCTCTCCAAGTAATTCTGAAAGAAGGATCTTTTGGAGATGTACTAACCCGTGTTTGTTTGATTTTTCTCTAACACTTGGAAGAAAACATAAGCCTCGAAAACAGTCAGCAATGAAATTATAAACTGCTACAGCAAGTGTAGTTTTACCTATTCCTCCAATTCCATGGATACCAACCACATGGACTCTATCATCTAAACCAACTTCCAGAAGCGAAATTACATTTTTCACGTGGGAGTCCAATCCAACTGGGTAATCAGCAATCGGAAAAGCAACATGTTTAATCATTCTTGAGACATCTTTAACTATCTTCTCGATAAACTCATGTTCATATCCATCCCTGCCCATCAAGAGAGTTTGTGTCAAGCCATATTAATCCATCGTATCCATAATTTCCATCCTTGTTTATTACATTTCAGATCATAATAATTTCACAGATAAACTCCAATGTGATTTCTAATACACCCCAACATAAGCTCCAATAAAAAAGTTCTATTCATTTGATTCCATAACAAGTGTCCTTAGACATATGCTAGCTAAGGAATCAAAAAGAGAGTTTTTTTAATCAAAAAGTGTAACAATGCACTCTCCTGTTACTTCTAAGACACATCCAAAACATGATTTTCAATAAGAAAAACAAAATAGAATTAAGAACATACCCGTGTTTGAAATGCCAGCCAGACAAGTTAGCCACTTGGCGAAGAGCCATTCGCCAATTCTGCACCTTTTCCATGTTGTTCTTGAACTTCAGTTCCTGCCTAGCCAATGCTTCACCATAAGTCCCTCTCTGATGCCGCACGTGGGAAGGATCCACATGGTAAAAAACGGGCAAAACCAACCTACCCTTTGCTTGAAAGCTATGAATGATGTTGACAAGTTCATCTAAGCAAAAAGAAGAAGCAGCATAGTTATTGGAGAAGACAGGAATGGCAATCCTTGACTCTTCAATGGCCTTGACAAGTGCTGGTGTGATTTCTTCCCCTCTCTGAAGCTCCTCATCATCAATAAAGGTTCGGATTCCTCTGTCATGAAGAGCTTTGTAGAGATTGCCAATGAAACCGTAGCGAGTATCAGAGCCTCTGAAACTGAGGAACACATCATAGGTGAATTCATAACTAATTGAAGCGTTGAGGAATGGTGGCACAGCCATCAAATGAAAGCTTAGTAGAGTGAATGTTGTGTATAGAAATTAAACAAAAACAGAAGAGAAACAGATATAACGTACAAAATAAATGAGGAAATTCTTTTTCTCTTTTACTTGTAATTCTTACGAATGTTGTTTAACATTTTTTTATTAAGAGCAGAAGTCAAAAGCAGCAAGCTAAAAAGTACTAGCTAGCTTTAGGCACCGAGATTATTAAATTAAAATAGTTTTTAAAATAAATAATTTAAATTATATTGTGTTATTATTTTTATATTTTATAAATTTTAAAAATTAATTAAAACTAAAATTATATTATATTAAATAAAACTAAGTTAAAAAGATAGAATTTTTAAAATAAAAATAAATAAATTCAGAATTTTAGTCAAGATTGAATTAAAAACGTTTAATACCGGAAAAGACATGAGAAATAGAACTCATTCTTAAAGGTGTTCTCTCCTTTGAGTTATTTCTAAAACATACTCTTGTTTAAGAATTAAGACCTGCATTTTATTTTTATATATAAAATTAGATATACGTTTGCAAATATTAAAGGAATGAGTAAACATCTTTCAGTACTCAAAATTGTATGGGTTGAATATTTTACTCTTTAAAATTTAAAACACCTTTATTAGTACCTAACTTTGTAAAAAATCATGCATTTTATTCCTTTGTCATTGATTTTGTTTTTATCAGTTAGAAACTAGCAAAACATTTTTCAAATCTCATAAGTGTCCGATGCATAAATCTGGATAACTACCTTCGGAATTTACTCTTAAAAGAATATTCAGTACTATAAAAAGAATGCTTCGTGTGGAGTTTGTTTTGTGGCATTACAAAAACAAATAATCTAATGTCCCATAGTATTGATGCAGACACCACAGAGCGAGGGAGGGAACTTGTAGATTCTTTAGCAAGGTCTGATAAGAGGTTCCGTTGCAAATTTTCATGGTACTAGTTAAAAGATTAAAAGTAGTAACTTTTTAAGGGAAAGTATTAGCAACGCTGTCAGATTTTAATATACCTCATTGTAATTTTTACTAAAATATTTTTGAAGTTTATTTTATTTATATTTTTTTAGTATAAATTACGTGTAATTTTTTTATTTGACTATACTATTTTCAGCCTAATTGATTGTCTCGATAACTATTGGTGATTTTGCAATTGTTTATGATGAGCATCATTCTGCCCTCAAAAGAAAATGAAGTACACTAGTGAAGGACTAGAAGATCGATTTGGACAAAAAAGAAAAGGATCGATAAATGATTGTTCAGTCTTTCTAGTCAGAAGACTGAACTATAATAATATTCATTTTTCTACCTATGCATATAAATGCTCGGGAAAAAAAACAAGAGAAAACAATATGGAGCTTAGCATCAACATAAAAAGCTTTAAGAACAAGAAATGAACCTGATAGTGGAACTCACGTTACTCATTTTATTGTCAAACAATAAAATAAAAAGGCAACTTGGAGCAACCAAGATTTCCTTGAAGATTCATGAGCATTCTCTGACATTGCAGGACAAAAAGTAGTGGGAACCAACCCACATATGCAATGAACGCGACAAAGGGTTTTTCCTCGAACAAGCCCTTACTTTTCAGTCACACACTCACATAGGAAAGAAAGATAAGAAACAGCCAATTTTTATGGATTTGTGAAATTTAACAATTAAAGTTATTCTGTACTTTTAACTTTTATTTATCAATGCTCCTTTTCATTATAATTAATTGTTTGTTTCATAATTGTAAACCCGGTGAAGGTGATATCTCGGGGCAGCTATGAAATCGAGATTAATCACTTAAACAAGCTTGTGCATAAGAAATTTATCCAATAATAGAAGGAAAAATTAAAGCATAATAAATAAAGATTGAGCATTAACCTAGTAAAAGTGCTACATATAATATGAAGAACACCAGCTTTACACATATGTGGTGACCCCTCTCCCATTTCACCAGAACCGGTTACTGTGACTGGCTCACAAACAATTATGAAGGAAAAAAAAAATTCAACCTCTAATTACCATATCAAACACAGCAAAAGTCAACAAAAAATTACAACACCATATTTTTTGCATCATCAGTTAATAAAAGTCCTTCTCTCAACTTAGACAGTCACATTGCTGAAAAGCCTTGATCGAACTGAGTCCAAATCTGAAACTTCTTTTATGCTGCAAAAGTTCAGGTTTTATAAACTAAATGAATTTCAAAACAAAAATAAAAAATAAACAATTTCATGTAGACAGTGGATTTTAGCTCACAATAACACAGATTAAGAAATAGCATACCAATGCCATTCATTAAGAAAGAAGAATCAGAAGAACATGCATTAATAGATATAAATATAATGAATTGAAAAGCAAAATAATTAATGTTGCATGCATTATATATTCATTTGAACAAGTATTAACTACGTATCAGCTAGTCAACTAATATTCCTGCCTACATACATGTCACCCCCCACTACCAACACGCACACTCAAAATTTTATAAAACAAAACAACTCTAACCTAATGACCTATAAATTCTATCACAGACATGTTCATACCCATAGAAGAGATTCACTCTCTAAATGCACAGAGATCTAATTAACAGTAAATAGGAAGAAACCCACCAGTACATAACATCTCCAGTAGGAACCAACTTCTTGCAGATCCAGTCTGGCACCAACTTTTCCAGAGATTCAATCTGTTCTTCAACTTCTCCTATAGGCATGACAATATCAGTTAGCTACTTAATCTATTAATAACAATAAAAAAGAAACCATGTACCTTGTAAACAACAGAATTAGAACATACTAATCTCAACAAAATCAAAACTGTTCATGAGTATCTTTTGCAGGAGCTCCTCTTTCGTGAGTGGAGCTCTTTTGACAGATTGAAATATAGAGTGAATCACATTAACCAGATTCAGCAATGATGAGGATTTTTTATGCAGTGTATCAAAACCAGCTTGATTTTGGTTGGTTTTTTCAAAAGAGTTACCAAGGCTCTCTTCTGCCTGCATCAAAAAACCAAGTTACAAGAAAGAAATCACTTTCAGAAGAAAAATATTATCTTTTCAATAAAAGTTTGCAGGGTAAATAATTGAAAATTCACTCATGACTTTTCAAAGGAATCTTTAAGACATTAAGGCCACTGAACATGATCAAAAGATGCTGTAACAAGAACATCAAAGATCTTACTGTAAATTAGTAGTGTAGACTCTCAAAGCTAGTAAGTGCGGGGGTCAAACTCAAAAGAAGGGATACTATATATACACAAGGTTATAAATAATAATAACCAATAAGTATTACTATTTACAATTCTTAAAACTAAGCAAAAATTCAGAATGTATGGTAACAATAGTCTTAAATGCACATCACAAGCGTTTACTTGTGAATCATGAATATGTAACATATTTGAGAGGTACCAGAAAAGTGAAGGAGGAGAATAGGAAAAAAAAAATGCAAACTGAATAAAGAGTGTTTGGTAAATCCATTGTTGTAAATCTAGAAAGAGAAAGGAGCAATCATATTAGTACACCACTACACCCTGTGGACATCCTATTTAATATATTAACTAGAATTATAAAATCATAAACTCGTTATGAACAAAAACTAATGTTCCATGACTATCCTGATGTTTTCACTTTTAATCTTTCAAACATATCTCACTCCTTATTATCTATTCATAGCCATCGCCTTTATCCCACTTTTTTAATATATCGCCATATATGCCCTCATAAATAGTTAGAATTTAACATGAACTATTATAATATTAGAAAATAAATTGCTTCATTCAAAATGGAATATTTAGTGTTAAAAGTATGACATGACAAATCAGTCAAAATTTAAAACAGGTGTGAGAGAATATGGCATACCTCCTGATGTACAGAAACAGAACCAAAAGAATTGCAATCCTCACACCATCCTCTCCTAGATTCAGGGAAGCGATCAAATTCAGGCGGAGCTTCACTAGATTCTAACTTGTCTACTCTAATGTCCAAGCCATCATCACCTTCCATGAGGGAAAAGTCAAGCACTCTTTTTGCTGGCTTATGACATGCTGTTGACTTTTGGCTAGGCATGTTCTGAAGCTTAACATCAGATGTGGGCAATAATCTATCAGGTGCTGACTGGACAGGTGTCTCTGTCATTAAACTATCAGCAGAGCAAGAGACATTTTTCATATCTGGACTTTCAGAATTATTGCAACTAACAGAATGTGGAGGGCAGATCACATTTACTGGTGTATTAATAACATTATTAACATGAGTTTTCACTTCTGGTGATTCGTTCTGGTGCCCTTTTTCTGTTTTCAGATTATCTGCAAGATCAGATAAAGGTGCATATTCTTTCTGCCATGTGTTTTCGCTTTCTTGGTTATCCAGGCAATCAGATGCATGAGCTGGTGGCGTAGTTTTTGTGGATGACAAGCACTGGACTTTTTCTGTCTGTTCAGCAACACTCTTCCAAGAAAAATGTCTTTTAAAAGATTGATACAATTGAAATTTCTTCTCCAGCAACGTTTCAATTTGAGTGGAAGTTGACACACGTGCTGTTGAAGAATTTGCATGTGAAGATTCAAATGTAAATTCTTTAACATGTGAATCTTCACAAATCAAGCTACAAGCTTTTTGACTAAAGGGTTCTGGCAGTATGGCCTCCGGAATATCAGTAACCTTATCAACAACAAAGCCAAAAAAAATTGACGGCATGAGTTCTTTTGAATCATTCACGCTTCCAAATTTCTCAAGCTAACTCAACCATAAAAGCAAATAACTGTGCCTGACCCAAGGGAAGGCAGTTATTAAAAGTAAATCCTAACCACAAAATAACACGATACCACACATGATGGTAGAGGTATCAGATCATTCAGATGTATACCTCAGACACAATCAAACAAGTTCCAGAACAAGCTCCGATTGGAGTAGAACAAAGGAATTTGACCGCTTAAAATAATCCGCATGACAGCTACAGATTTAGATTACAGAATATAGAATAATCCCGTACCACTGTTAAGATGGTGTAAATTGCAGCTTCAAATACCGCAATTACAATTAACAAGGATAACAACTCAATTAAATACGTTACCTCAGGATGCATATTAAAGAAATCAATCAGCCTAGAATTAAAATATTGCCGAAGAGCCAGATCAGCAGATTCGCCAGAACGATCTTCCACAACCTCAAATATCAACGTGATCTTCATATCAGGAGTCATACACAAACTCTTCTTATCATGAACAAGCACCTTATCTATGCATACACCTTCGGGAAGTATATACTTCATCTGCGCAAGATGGGCATAGGAGAATTTCCTGGAAATAAAACACAGTAACACACTACAGTCATTTCCTTAACCCATCAATCAAAAGCTTCAAATGGATGGCAACAATTAATTAATTTGGGGCATTTAAAGAATAAAACAATTACCTCTTCGAAAGAACTTCAACCTGGCGGCAAATATTTCGAAAAGTTGGAGTCTTTTTTCGCAGATGCAGCAATCTGAGTGAACAACTCATATGACTAAACAAATCTGCAAGTGTCCAGTATCTGAAAAAACAAAATTAAAAAAAAAACATAAATTACACTTTTCTGCAAAATTCAAAAAATAAAAACTGAAAAGCAAAATTTGCCAAAAAAATTTTTTAAAAAAATGAATTTAATTATGGCGCGTACTTTTGTGGAAGCTGGGTTTGTCCCTCTTTCGATTTGATGAGTAAGGGTTCAGTGTTCTTCTGTGGAGTGGGGCATGCAATTGGATTATCAACTGCTTCCAGAATCTTCTCACACTTCAAACCCAGAGCATTTTTTGAAGATTCCTCACACGCTTTTTTATCTTGATCCATTCTTCAACAACAACAACAAAACGACGACGAAGTAGCGAAAACTGTAGAACATTGAAAAGCAGTGCATGAATTCAAACTGCAACGCGAAGATTTCAGCGTCGTTGCATTGGAACGAAACGGTGATTCGAGAAAGAACGTTTACCTGATGGAAACCCTAGCTGAGTTCACTGTGTTGCCACTTGCGAGGGAAAATGTGTGGATTCAAATATTTTTCTCCTTCGTCGTTTACTAAAGTTATAAAATATGTTACACAATTATATTTTAATTTGAATTCATTTGTGTTCTAAAGATAAGATTGATTAATTTGGTATATCTAGAAAATAATTATATGTTTCATTATTAAAATAAGATTAATTGTTTATATATGAAATTTATTTAAAATTAAAATGTTGATTATTGATTACATAAGAAAAATATGAATTTAAATGGAAAAAAGTGCATTTATAAACAAAACGTGACATGAAATTAATTTAGGCACATTCTGTTTGAAATTTTAACATGATTTAATATTTTAGTATGTTATTGATTTTTTTGTATTTGATCGGTGTAGGATAGAGTAATTCTCATGTAGACATACACTTAAGACACAAGTTTTATGCATAATGGATTGGAAATTAACAATTATCTAAAATACAAATTAATCAAATATTGTATAAATCTTAAAGAGAAAATTTGTAGGATTCTAATTTTCTTTTTATTTTACAAAACATGTCTTTACACAACCATGAAGCCATGGAAGACAAAACTAGAAACCACAAAATCTTTTTTCTTAGTTTAAAATGTTCGGAACATTTTCAAACACTTTAAGAGCTTTTTTAATAATTTTTTATGTATTTATTTACTTGTCTATTTAAAAAAACTTATAATTGACTTTTATAAATTGTTTTTAACTTATTTCAATAAGCTTATTAATATAACTTGTTAAAATAAGTTAATTTTTATCTTTTTTTACAAAAAAAAATTTTATGTGTTATAAATTTATGATTGATAATATGTAAAGCTTACGGCTAAAGTACGTGTGTCCAAGAATTCAAGGGTTATTTTTATTTTTTGTTTTTACATCTTAAAAAAAATAACCCTTGAATTCATATTTCTTTTTATATTTTTTTCCAAGGTTCAAAGATTTAAAAAAATGTCAAACAGCACTTACAGGTAAAAGTGTTAAAAAAGAATATTATAACAGAACACAAAAATAAATAAATAAAAAGACCAATTACATATACTTCAACAAAATAAATTAGACTATCCTAAAATATTGAACACAACAAAGTAAAATTAAGACTAAATCCTAAAATCACTTTTTTTTTTCTAACAAATAACTGAGTCACCAGAGAAAAAATGCTTTTTTTTTTTTTCTCTTAACATGAAGGCAAATCAACAAGATCATAAGTTGAATAATCATTTTCAGCAAGTGGATTTATTGTGATAGATTGGTCATAACAGAGCTTTGGTAATGAAAAATGCAATTTTAGAAGTGATTTGTAAAGAATTTTTAAAATGCATTACATCACTTTCAGAAATTAAATTTTAAAATTGATTTAAAAAATTCTTCTAAAATGTATTAAATACCTTTTCAAACACGATAATAAAAAATTTTCGTAAATTTAAAAAAAAAGAAAGAAAAGAATGAAGCAAAAGATAATCTCCCTAGTAATGGGTATTGGGTAGAGTCAGCCAATCTACTGGGTTGGATCCATACAAAATCCAAACAAGATCAAAGAGCCAAGGTCCACACACATATATGAAGACTCATGAAAGATAAATATCAGCTGTTAAACTTATATGATCATATCATATAAATTACATTTGTAAAAGTTTAGATTAATTCAAATTTATTTGAGTCCTTATTTATAAACATTAATTTTAATGTTATGTATCTTTTAAAATGTATGAAAACAAATTATTAAATACATTTCTTTAATTATTTAAAATTAACAAAAATTAACACTGTTAAGACAGGTTGTCACACCATTACAATAGCATATTTCCAGTTTAATAGTTTTCTCTTTACATAATTTTTATAAATTACTTCATCAAATTGAGTTACCTACAGTTGACATATAATGCCAAATAATTTATGGAATGTTATAAAATATTTTGTTAGAATATTATATAAAAACTTTACTCCATCATAAATATTAAGAGATTCAATTAATAAATATTAAACAATTAAAAGTAAAAATTTCGCACAGGAAGTAATCCTGATATAATTTACTGTATTTTAAATATATTTTAACACAAATATTTATTAATTAATATTTTAATTAATAGTTTTAAATTGCTATTAAATTTAAGAATAATTTAAATTCTGATTCTGTTAATCAATGCTCTAAATGTATTGATAAAAATAATAATAAATAATATTTTTATAAACAAATTATGTCAATTGTATTAAAAATTGTTAAATTAAATAAATATTTTTAAAAGTTAATAATATATTAATATTTGTGAATATTTTATTAAATTATTAAACTATATATATAAAGATACATAATAAAAATTTATATATAATATTTAATAAAATATTATAAAATATAATATGAATATTAAATTTTTTAATAATAATTAATATTATATCCAATTTTATTTATAGAAAAGTCTAATTCATCGTTACAATAAATAGTAATTATATCTTACAAATTTATATTTTAGTCTAAAAAGACTTATAATATTTATTAATATCTTATGTATTAAATAATAAATATACCTGTTTATGTAAAAAAATAATTAATTTAATAATATAAATCTCACAATAAATAAGAATTTTAATGAAAATTAGTTAAAAATATGTTTAAAAATAAGATTGTATTTATATAATTTAATGAAAAATATTAATAATTATTTAATGATATTTATCAATTTTTTATTATATAATATTAGATTGATATTTAAAAATCGTAAATTATGTATTTGTTGCTGGGTTCCTGCAATCGTTCATAATTCCAATGCAAGAGGAGTGTTCATAGTGGACCCCACAAATGATTACCATTACGTGTCTCTTTTCTAAACCACTCAACGTCATTTCTCTGACCCCACTCACACTTTATCCACGTATCTCATATTCATTGGCCCCACTTCTCAACGTTCTCATTGTCTTTGAGCCAAAGCGACGTAAGCGTCGCTGAAAACGGCAACGTTACGTGCTTCTCCCACGTGTCCGCAACGCTCGTCGTTCGAAACTCCTGTCGTCTATCGCGTTTCGACGGCGGCACGTGTGAGTCACGAGAAACGTTGACGTCACTATTTAAAAATTATACACGTGCGTGCACGTGGGAAACCCAACAGTCTTAATCGGCGTAGATGAATTATGATTGGACCAACATACCGAGCCGGAACAAAAGGCTAATTACTTGCAATAATTGGACCATTTTTTCGTTGTGTGATAGAATAAAAAATTTTATAATGAAAAAATTATAAGATACTATAGAATTAATATATTAATAATATTGAATATTTTAATTTTTAATAAAAAATTATTAATTTTTTTATTATACATCTTTAAATACACATTAAAAAATTGATAATTATATTATAAGTTATCTAATTTATTTGAAAGGATAAATAAAATTTTCTTCTAATGCAGTAACTGCGTGTAAATGAATTTCATTAAATTCTCTAAAATATAATTATTTATCCCATTAAATAATTTAAACAAATTCTTATATTATATGTTATTTTCTTTTAATTAAGGGTTGCTTTTGTTGTTTATTATTTTTACGCTATTGTATCAACTTCAATGAACGTTCGAAATTAAATAGTTTTTCTTTGCACCAATAAACATTTAAGAAAACGAAAAGATAAATAATGTTTCAAATTAAAGCAATGATTTGGGAATTGGGACCAATTTCATGGATCTTCGTTGCTAGCACGTCCTCATATATTTGCAACATATGAGATCTCAAAAAGATATTATGTGAAACGAATAAAATCTGAATGGGAATATACGATCTTCACTATGTATATTTATATATTTAGAAACCATTTTGTTCGAGACTTTTGTTTCATTATTCTAGTTAATCATGAGGATTAATGATTTTAGTCTGTGAGTTATGCATGCATGGCTATTATTAACCAATTATAATTGCAAGTTGCAACCCATTTAAACACTTTACGACCAAACTTGGGACACATTTACGTGCAGTTTGTGTTTGATGAAGTGTTCTTCAATCAATGATCAAGTTTTCTGGTTTTGATAAGTCCTTCACACCTGCCAGCAAAAATTTATATTGCAATACTCTGTCTGGAAATTGTTCAAGTGTGTTTTGGGAGACAACTCCCCTTTATTACTTTAGGGTCTATTATCATAGAATATATATATATATATATATATATATATATATATATATATAAGAAATTATATTAGTAAGTCTAAAAAATTTTTATTTAATTTATATATAATAATCGGTAAAATAATAAATTATAATATGTTAGAAATAAATTAAATAAAAAGTTTAGTTGAATTATAAAAGCTTTTAGACTTTTATCGATTGTAAAAAAATGATTTTTTATACTAATATAAATTTAAAAATTTTTATATTTAATCTAGATTTTTTATTTAATTTATATTTAATAGGTTATAATTTATATATATATAACCCGTTAATTAAGACATTATATTTCTTAAAAATGTATTTTTTATTATTATTGGTTTGACTTGAATATAAACAATTGAATTAATGAACCGTAAACTAATATTTTTATTGATTTAATATTAAAATGATCCACATTTAAGTAAAATTGACTGAATTTAATGTGACAAGTCTAATGACAGCCAACATAAAGACAATTCTCCAAAGCTTCGTGTCCGTCAGTTTACATGAGTTTCTTCTTTCATGTCGTTTTCATTGAAAGTAAGTGCAAATCAAACAAAATTAATATAAATTCATAACACTTTTATATGTGTATTATATCTATCACTCATTCACTCTCTGTTCTCATTGTTCATTGATGTATCATTTTATTTTATCTCAGTTTAGTAAGCTTTTAAAGTTATTTATTATGTTAATTATTTTGTTTACAAAAACTCTCAATAAAGACAAAGTAATTATTAAATAGAGAGTAAAACAATATATACTAATAATTTTAAGATAGTCTTAAGAAAAATTAATCTGAATATATAATTGACAAATTTAATGTCATTAATGTTAATGAAATTAATTGTATTTTTTAAATTCTTATAGAGTAATTTAAAAGATTTTTTATATGAGTCATATTTATATTCAATAACAATATACAATCATGCACTTAGGTTGTATATATAATAATGTACTTAAAGCATAAAGGGTAAATAATACATAGCATGACATTTAAGTTGTATACACACGCACACGTAGACACACACGCGTATAACATTTGAGATTATGTTGTCTAATGTGTTATTAATCGCATGCACACACGTGTTCTCTCTGTTAATTACTTTCTCTAATTTTGTTCATATTCTATTTGTCTTCTGTGCATGAAAATCTTGTTTCCCCTATACGTGGAGCTTGAAAATTCAAGTTGGATGCGAATGATTAATTTTATAAAAGCTTTAAATTTGAGATATTCATTAATATTATATATATTTTTAGAATAAAGTATAAAGTAACAAAATGTAACTACTTTTTATCAGTCTTAATAAATTAAATACTTGCTTTTTATAAATAAAAATAAAAATAATATTTTGTTATTTTTTTTACAGACAAAACATATATTATTAGAGAGAGTTTAAAAAAAACTTAAAATTCATATAAATAGAAAAAAAAAAACTAATACTTACTTAGTAAGATAAAAAGTAAAAACATACTTATAAATAATTAAGATGAATTCAATTATGTGGGTTCAAATACAAATCAGCTAACAAAATAAATTCTTCCTTACTATTTCTAGAATTTTAGAATAATAAAATTTAGGACTTCCATCTCATCCAAAATACTATTAAAAAATACGATTATATTTTTATGTAACCACAAATCACATTATACTTACTCAAATAATTAATAAACATATTTATTCTCTTTTATTACAACTAACACCAACTCAATAAAGTAAGTGAGTAATACTTTGTTATAGTTACTTAATTACTTTGTTAATTTATGCATATTCTTTTATTTTGAAAATGGATATAATTAAGCACTACTTAGACATACTAATTAAATTTAGTTTAAGTATATTGCAGTATCAAACATTTTTATATTATTATTTATTATAAATTATCATATAAATAAAATTAATTAAATTTTATAATAATTAATATAAAAATTATATCCATTTAATTAACTAGTAAAGTAAAATTATATCTATTCAATAATTTTAATGACAATAAATAATCTCATATGGTTTCTTTACGTAGAAAAATGGAAAGTAGAAAAATGGAACCCTAATAATGACTTACGTACATATCAGCTATGTTTTATATGCATGAACTGATATGTAAAATAGACACAAAATAATTTAATAATTTCATCGTCATTATGAATAAAAGTTTCAAATTCAAATTTTTTTTAAAACATAATTTTTTTTTATTTCAAAGTTTAAACTATGATAAATAATCTCATATGATTTCCTTACATTATTTTGTTAATTTCCATCTGTCTAACCTAATGATAACGATAACATTTCACCTTTTCAAATCTATCTTATCCTTCATTACACGCCATTGAAATTTATGCAGACAAAGCATTGATATCATAATTCATAGACCCTCTACTTGCCAGGTAACTAATGTGATTTTATTTGAATAATATCATATTCTCTTATAACATTTTATTATTAAGTATTCTATTAAAAGAAAATAATTTCATTTAATATTTTAAAAACATAAAAATATTTATCTTTTCGTTTAATAAATAAAAAGTAATGTATGAAGAACTGAAGATATAAAATTATTCAATTTATATATTTTTGGGAAAAAAAAACCTCAGACAGCAACTCGATTGTTTGTGTTTAAATATTTTAAAAAACTTCACAATTATTTTTAAAAATGTGTTTAATAAAATAAATATTGAATAAAAATAAAAACTGAAAATAATTAAAACTAAAGAATAGTTTTAAATTTCTAAAAATGTAAAATTCATTAAATAATAATAAAATTAAACCTCTAAGAAAAAATAGTAAAAATATTTGCAGTGTCAAAAGTCAAAATTCGTTTACAATGCAGGGATAACTTAATTGACATAGTGCCCTTTCATTTTCTAACTATAGTTCGTGTGTCTCTGTCTAGAGTGTAGGTTAGGACCAGTGTTTAATGTGCAAGTATACATATAACATAACAAAGAATGAGATTAAATACATAATTTAATCTAATGTTAATTAATAAATTATTAAAATTTTAAAAAATGTAATCTTTTTTCTTAAATATTTGATAAATTCTTCAAATCATTATTAGATCAATATAAAATTTTTAAATAAATTAATATAGATAAATAAATAATTTTATTGTTTATATTTACATATACTTTAAAAAATATTATATTTTAAATAAATTTATAAATAAAATAATAATATTTATATTTTTTTATGATTAATCAATTTAATTTAAATTTAAATAGTTAAATTAATAAATTTTAATGCTGATACAAAATCAATTTTATTTTATAATACAGTGTCATATTTAGATGATTAAATTTAATTCTGAACTTACTCTTAAAAATAAATGAATGTCTTTTCATACATATATAGATTGTCCAATAATTAAAATGAAAACATGTTCTATTTTTGTTTCCACTTTCCAAGGAAGGCTTTGTATACTGTATCTATCTCTGTTGGATGTTGCTCTCTCTGAAGCAAAAGCTTTTGAGTCCCATTCTTTCTAAATTTTGGTTCTGCGATCTTCAGTACAGGGTGGCTCTGCTGCTGGGATCTTTCAAAATCTCTTCTTTCTTTGATTTTGAATTGAATTGAATTGCTTGATGAACCCTTGTGCGTTCAATTGATTCCCTCAGCTTCCTGAATTTCCTACCACTGTGTTGTTCATGGTAAAAGACCCATTAGCATCTGATTCTATTTTAACCCTTGAGTTGGAAGTGATAAGATTTAAGGCTGAGAAGAGTGAGGAAAATAAATGATTGCAACTTTGGAAATTGTTCTAAAAAAATGGTTTTTTTTTTTTTTTTTTGGATTGGTACCATTTTAGATTATTCCAGTTTGAATCAGCTCAACCAGTTCAAGTTTGGAATTGGGGTGAATTTGGAAAATGGTTTTTGGGTTTGTAAAATTGTAATCCAAATTCTGTAAAATTCAGGATTTGTGTGGTTTTTGGATCAAACTAATGGACCATTATATCATTTGTTTCAAAAATTTTGATCTTTTAATTCTCATTTATCCATTTCTGGTTTTATGGGATTTCTTATTTATAAAATTTCTGAAGATGAGGAACAAATGAAATGATGTATGAATGGGAATGTTCCTTTGTGATTCTGCAATTGTTGCTTGTTTAGTTGTTTTCGATTTCTTTGGAGACCCTTTACTCACAAGAGTTTCAGCAGTTTTCTCCTTGAAATATAGAATATAAAAACTTTTACTTGACGCTACTTTACCTTTAAGTGTTGAAACCGTGTAAGCATGGTGTAATCTTTTGAAGCCTTTTCTCTTGTTGTCACAATTAAACGTTGACACGGACAACACTTGTCATGTCTCATGCTGTTCTTGTGATGCTGTCACTTTTTTTCTCTATTTCTTTCTCAAACTCAAGTCTCTACCTGTGAATTTTTTGTGCAGAGAATACCATAACTTTTGACTTGACCAGTCAACAGCAAGGGCAAAGGACAAGGTTCGTTGTTAGATAAATCTTGGGTGCTTATATTTAATTAAGATTATGAAGCTTTTTGACTTATTTAGGAAGTGTATAAAGAAGAGGGAACCACTAATGTTGCTGAAAACAGCCCATAGAAAGGTACAAGAATAATGCTACTGAATAAAATATTTGGCAATTTTAAAATAATGTGGAGAGTCCCATTACATGTTAGATGTAATGCTGCTCGTGAGTAACCTACTACCACTTTTTTGTTGGTTGGCAACTTGCCATTTAATTAGTCATGTTGATGGCTTTTTTAGTGTTAATCTCTCAGCTTCCTCGCAAGCGTTCTCTAAAATCCTAGAACTTTAATTTGTCATTGGAATATATCGTACTTTATTATTAAATTTGTGCTACTTGATGTCATGGACAATAGAAACTCACTATATTCACTGAAATAGAGATTTTTGGGGTGATTCACTGTATTGTTTTGTACCAGCATTTGTAGACATAGCAAGCCTGCAAACATGGGCTGTGTGGTGTCAACTCCTAAGGACTCTAATGGAAATAGAAGGAGGCCAGGGAGTATCGGTGAAGTTTCGGTATATGTTCCTGGTCTGAGAATTCCTAAACCTGTTGATTTTGTTCAATCACTTGGTGATTATTTATCCAAGAATATAGTGGAACGCCTATCTGCTCATAGAACACGTATAGTTGTAATGGCTTGCCAAGAAGGTCCAACAATTACAAGAACAAAAAGAAAAAGTGTTACCCAGCATGGTTAGTTTTAGCAACAATAGAAGTATTTTATTATAAAGAAGTTACTCTAATTTAGTGAAGCATCAACGTCATTTGATATTTTCTGCAGGAGGTTCAACGCTGGCTGATCTTCTGCAGGCTCTTGAAGATTACTTGCCAGTTCTTCTGGGATTAGTTAAAGATGGTAAATCTTGTGTTAGTACATTTGAATGTGATGTATGCTCTGTGCAAGACTGGTATTGATTACGGTTGCCTGTTTCTATGGTGCAGGAAGCCATTTACAATACAAAGTACAATTTGCTTGGGTGAATCAAGAGGACTACAAAGAGGTACTCCAAATTTTCTTTTTAAACTCCATACATCACATGTTTCTGAATTTGATGTGAAAACTGAAATTAACTTTCTATACTGAAGAATGCTGATTGATTTGTTCTCACTACTTCATGCTTTATTGTGTGCTGTTATTGGCACTCTTTACAGGAAACAACCATGTCTAATGCTTGGTATGAGGTGTTGTCAGTTTTGCATTTGATGGCAACACTATTACTATCACAGGCTAATTTATTACTGCTTCCAAGACCATCCACTGATGGTCATCAGCTGAAAGTATCAGAAGGTAAGTAATACTACCAAAAAAATTTTGTGTGTCAACAATATTTTTGTCTTGTCCTTGGATTTCGTATTGCTCAATAGTTAATATATCAAACTGCAAAAGTACATTTTGGAATAGATTAGTTTAGACCTCAAATTGGAGACACTCCTGCCATCAATGCTTTACTTTTTTTAAATAATCTTGTTTCTTCTGGGTGTGTGTGCAGTGGATGATTTTGTTTTTCATCTACTAGTATGGTATCCAATAACTGGCAGACATATGCTTTGTTTCTTTGTTTTTTCATTTTTTCCTTAATCCAAATTATATTATCCTTATGTGAAATTTGAGCTTTTGGTATGTGCTAACAGAAAGCAGACGAGCCTCTGTTGATATCTTCTTAAAGGCTGCTGGATATCTGGATTGTGCTGTCAGACATGTTCTTCCTCAGTTACCTGTGGAACTCAGGTCTGTACAAATCCAATGTACGCAATAAATTGGCTGTCACACTTTTTATGTAATCTAAATGGCCATCTTCATTCTTTTAATGTTTGTTTCTTTGGTTCTGGTTTTAGGAGAAATTTACCTGTTGACCTAGCAGAAGGAGTTCTTCGAGCACTCTGTCTACAAGCATTGGGACAGGTATTAATGTTTCTTTTGTAAGGACCCACTAAATGATGTGCCATTTGTCTTGTTCACTAATGGCTAAAACTAATCTGTTTCATTCACATGGAAAATTTATTGTCCACTTATCTTCTCACAAAGTTATGTCGAGTTGAGTATTCAAACACTTGACTTATATTTGTCAAGGTATATTTATGCATCCATTGTAATTTTATGTTCATTTCTTTCATATTAAAGTCCATAGGACTGGTTTACCTGGCAATAATGCTTATGATTCTTCAGTAAATGTTTTTTATGGCGATAATAACTTTGTTCTCTCAGTGCTGACAAATATACTGACAATTTGTCCTTCCAACCCCATAATTGTAATTTTTTTAAGGCTTTTCTAGGGGAGTTTAGTTCTATCTTCAGCATGGACTAGATAGGATAGGAAACAATTTCAAAGAAACCCTGGCATGATGCTCAACTAAGTTTAGGCCTAAAGCTTGACCCAATTATGTAAATAATTTATGCTTCCTCACTACGATTAGAATAAAAATCAAAGAGGTTAGAGCTGCAGACTTTGTAATGAATAAATTAATATATCCAATATAAAAAGAAAATATCCAGACATGCTTAGAATTAGACAGATTCACTGATCATCAGGGGCCATTAAACTAAAAATCCCCTCATCTTCTCATAGATACTTTATCTCCCTGAAAATTGAGGACAATTTTCATTTTGATCTTCTAACATTAAAACACGGCCATTTTTAGCTTTTTTGGTCAATCAAATTCTGCATAGGTTTCTTCTTTAAGAAAATGCAGAAATTGTTTGAATAAGTTGTTGTAAATACAATTCTGTTATTCCAACCGCTAAAAATTGATACCATATACCATTATTTCTTTCTCTTAGAATCTTTTCGCATCTGAAACATACATCCAAATATAGAAGGGGACACCTTTAGGTGTCTATTACTAGTGGTACAAGCAACATTTTCCTTATAAATTTATCCTTTTTTTTCTTAGAGGGCTGGATAGTAAGCAAACTTTGTTATTGCATGTGGAATAACTAAATCTGAGGACAATGTATTTGACTTTTATGTCTCTTATTACTTGACTTTGTCCTTATAATAAAAGAAAGTAATGAATTGATAAGGGTGAAAGGTAGAATGGAACAAAATGGATAGACTATATTTTAACTCAAACTCTTGTTCATTCTTTTGGTGTTTACAATATATTTCAAACACTTGTTTTCAATCCATCATATATAAATTCTTACAAATTTTGTTCAAGAAATGTAATAATAGTTAAGATTTTTGGGGCTACTGGTGTGCTGTCTCACTCTAAGAATTTGTGAGATTCAAAAACAATTGTATTTGTATCATGGATCTTGGGGGGAGAAAAGTTCCTTGGATAATGGTATCGATATTGAATGGAATCTTGGAGAAGGAAAATATTCAATATATAGATGTAAATACCTTTACTCTCTTTCATATCTATTTTGGATGTATATTAGTTTATTTCTTCCCTATTTCCTTTAGGGCGTAGACATACAACTTGGAATGGCAATTGATAGCGCCAAAGCCACTCTTGCAGTGAAGCGCAGGCTTGCATGTGAGATGGTGAAGTGTTGGCAACAGGTATGATAACTTGTTTTGTATGGGATCTATTCTTCATTGTTTTACTGTTTTTATTGGAGGGATTGGTTCTCTTATTTATTTTTGTTTGTATCCTATATTTCTTAAGGAACTCTTAACTTATTTCTCTTGGATCTGTACTGTATTCCTAACATTTTTTTTCTCCTATGGCATATCTTTGTCTCTATTCTATATGCACTAACTATTTATGTGTGCTTATGCACTTATGTGTGCATTAGTGAGTTAACATGGTGCATCTGATCAGTATACATTGCTATGATTACTCTGTTTATTTTACAGGCTCAAGACAACATTATGAGTCTTCCTTTAGCAAATGGTTGGGGTGAAAAACATTGTCTTTTTGTGAAATGGAAATATGTTGAAGCAAAGGTATGTGCTTTTTCCCCTTGTTAGATGCTTATTTATATTTAATTATCATGTCTTACTCTGTAGTAACGAGTGTAGATCAATTTTCTGGTTTATATATTACCTTAAGCAAATAAATGGAGATGAAAGTATAAATCGGTTCAAATAATTGATCTTTTTTCTACACCTTCAAGATGAAATATGTAGTTTGTGTGAAAAATTAGGAAGTTGAAGGGATTGAATCTTTGTGTTTCTTATGAGACCAATTTGAGTTGGAGTAAAGGTATATTTGATTGATTGTTTATAACTGATGCTTTTTGGTAATGGCTAAAGTCTGATGAAATATTTGCCGAGCTGTTACTAATTTTGTGATAGATGATGAGGACGATTAAATCTCTAACTATCAACAAAATCCAAACGCCTTTGATATTCTTGGACCATAATATTTTGTCATGTAGTTGCATCTTACAGTTTAGGTACTCTGATAAATGTATTTTAAGTCCTTGAGAATTGTTTCATTATATTTTTCAGATTAATTGTATGAATACGAATTATTCATGAATCTGCAGTCTGGAAGAACTATTAAGTGTTGAGTTTTGTTTTGTTTTGTACTTGTCTGCTAAGTACTTCTTAAATTTCACCTTAAAAAAGTATTTTCTGGGCATAATGCATTTTCAAATTTATATTTTAGTCTATTAATATTTGAGAGCTCATTTTGAGATAAGAAAAATGCTTCCTTGTAAGAAAATGTGATTGATTAGCTAACGGATTTCAGCTTGGTTAATGTTCTTTGTTTCTGGTTCTAGAATATTTTGATGAAGTCTTTCTTAGTAGTGAGAAACAGTTTGATTGGATATACGAGACAAGTTGTCTGCATAGTAGCTGAGGTGTGATAGTAAATACTAAAGTAGTCTGATATTTGTTTTATTTTGTATGCTCTCAATCATATTGGATTCCATGAGCACCATACGTACATGAAGCATTGTGCAGAAGCAAGTGATATTTTTGTTGTAATGATTTTCTAGGCTGCAGCGTATTATTATCATGGTTTGATTCTTGATGAGGGAAATACAGAGAAATCTCATGGGATGGCTGTAGCTGCTTTGCAAGCAGCGGATGAGTATTTCACAGAAAGCAAGAAGTTGTGTGAGGCATTCAATGCAGCGCCTCCATTGTCAAGGTCATCCTTTTTCTTCCCTTTTACACATTGTTATTTTCTTATCCACTTATCTGCCCTTAAAAGCAGTTTGTTTTTTCCTTTTTTGACACAAAAAAAGAACTCGCCGAACCAACAGTAAGAAATAAGTCATGTGTTTTCTAAATAATGTGATACCATCATTAATGGTGATCATCTCTTGTAGCTGGGACTGGTAGTGAGTACTTACTACGTATGTTCCAATTTCTATTTAACTCTGCAGATGTGGCCATGTCTGCTTATTTGCATGAAAGTGCATGACACTGGCTCCAGAATTATAAGTACCTTAGAATGCGCATAATGCCTATGTGATTGTTGATGTAAAAATACTATAATTGCATTTGTCATAATGATTTATGATGAGTTTTCATTATAAAATACCATCTCATCTTGAAGTTCAGATAATTGTGGTTTAAGTTTCTAGTTTTGCAAGGCTATTCCTAGAAAAGTGGAGTCTAGCTGGTAAAAGCAGTTGTTCACTTCCTCTTTCTTCCTTTTCCTCCTTCATTTTAAGAGAGAGATTGAGTGATAAATGAAAAGGTGAGCTAGTGCACAAGACTATCCCTTTAAGAGGGGTTTGGAAAAGGTAGATGTATGTAGCCCTACTCCTGTGACCTTAAGTCATAAGGCAACAACATTATTGTTGTGCCAGTTCTCAGATGAGTCAATATTCAATACTTTCAACTTTCCACGACCTTTTAATAATTTTTTTGAAGAGCATTTGTCAAACATGATTTATGTGCTGAATCTAGTTGTTTGAGAATTATGATGACCAATGACCATGGTTTTGACATACTTTGATGATCATGTGCTGTGTTATGGTCCCTCTAACTGGAAGTCATGGTTGCAGAAATCCACCACTTTGGGGGACCATGAAATATCTCTCTGAAAAAATTCCGAAGGATACTTCAAGCAAGGTGCGAATTAACCGTGATTTGTACTCTTATGAGAGGTAAACTTTCCAGGGTGCATGATAACTTGTTGCCTTACTGAAGTTGCAAAATATTTCTTAGTTAATGTAAAAGAAATACTATGATTAGTAAAAACATATGTTGTTCTTACTGTTACAGGATCATGGAGACAGCACCAACATTGCCTGATTTTTCCTTGGCCTTGAAACCAGATGAATATCAACTTCCTCCAGTGGACTCCTCTTGGAGTACAGAAAACATCAAAGGGGGACAAACTGATCCTAACAATCTCAAGAGTGACATATGATCAAATTCAATGAATGTGCAGACCTCAAAAAAACATTGGTCTACCTGAAAGATGTCAGTCAATGGGTGTTTTTCCAATTCTTGTCAATAGACAAAATCTAGTTTAATTGAATATTTTTCCACCTTTTGCATTTATTATTTTTTTACTTCCTATATTAATTTCCTCCTCCCCCAACAGTATTTGAAAGATGCCCTTCAAATAGAGGTTCAATGTAAATTGTCCTCTTGCCAAAACCCGAATAATAACATTGCTATTTCATGTCCTTGTAATGGCAATCACATCCAATTTTTAAACCCAGTTTGTGTAAGGATGGTGTGTAAAATTGACTAGTGCATTGGCTACATTTCTTTAATATCATTGTTTTTAAGTGCAAGAGAAATTGCATTTTTTGCTAGCTCTAGGGGCACGGTAGATAGATGTTTCCATTACTTCACTCCTAAACAACGGATTTACGTTAGATGTCCAGCCTGTTTGTGTAGGAAGCCAACCTCTGTTGTGGCACAATAAAAAATCGTTTGCTACTCCCTGAAGAAGCAAAGGAATGTGTGTAAGCGGAATTAAGATAGTAGTGCTAACAGGCCTAGATGTGGCTACATATCGTTGATGTCACTTAATAAACAAATGAAATGAATTCACTATTAGTGCTAAGGGAATTATGACAAATTAAATTAATTTAGAGGATTAATCTAAATTCAAACACAAAATCTGTAAGGTTCCACTGATAGAAATTGGAAAATACAATCTGAGATTTCTAAATAATCCTATTCCTTGTATATCTTCTGTTGATTCTTTTATAAAGGTAACTTTTAGGTCTAGAACACACATTCCTGAATAAGTACCACCAAAATAAACGCTCCAATAAATTGCGAAGCAACGACCTCAAGGAAAATGTGAGTAATTTTAACACCTAACTGACCTAAGACAGCTCGGAAGATGCAAACAAAATATGATTGTTTCCACTCTTCCCTTTCATTAAAAAGATCACGAGATATATACAGCAAAAAAGTAAAAAATAAAAATCCAATTCTACTTTATCATTAGGGGTGAATAGTGTCACCTATAAAAGATAAAACATTCCAAATAATCATGTCAATTTCAGTTTTTCTTATTATTTGAAACACTACCAATGAACAATGATTACAATAATAACAACCAAGTCTTATTCCATTAGGTAAGGTCAGTTATATAAATTACATGATGCCATTGAAATTAGTTAAAAATTAAATTTTTAGAAATTTAGTTAATCAAGAATTTTCTTTTAATAATAGATTACACGATGCCATTAAACTTAGTTAAAAATTAAAATTTTATAAATTTAATTAATCAAGAATTTTATTTTCCAATTCTTTTAAGTCTCTCTCTACCCTTTTTTAGCGGACTAAAATTCATGCAATTCATTCTTCTCACTAATACTTCTAAAGTTCTTTTCTTCACTTTTCACTGTAGGTGTTTCTTTAATATTCTCTCATATATTATTATTTCTTATCCTGTTTTTTTTTATACAACTAATTATCTATCTTAACATTCTCACTTTTATTACTTCCACTTTTATCTCATGTTGTTCCTTTAAGACTTAACATTCACTAACATATAAGATAGTTGGTCGTATTGCTGTACAATAATTTTTTTTCCATCTTAATAGATCTTTTATGATCACAAATAACTTATAATATCTTTTTTCACTTTAATCACTCAACTTATATTTTACGAATAACATTTTTATTAATTTCTTTATTATTTTGTATAAGTGATTTCAAGTACTCGAATCTAGAAACTTGTAGTATAATATTATCTCTAATTTTAACTTCTAAAGTATAATTCTCATATTAGTTTTTACTAAATTTACAGTGCATATATATTGTTTTATTTTTATTCAAGTGAAATTCTTTAGATTCTAAAGTTGTCTCCATAACTCAAGTTTAACATTAATGTCTTATTTTATATTTTTAACTAACATTATATCACTAGCAAAAAACATGCATTCAGTGATATTCTTTTGTACGTCATTTGGCTGAATTCCTTGGTCTTCAATTTTCTTGAATAATGCAATTGCCTTGCCTAGACGATGGTTTTTGAATAAACCATCCAACATTATATTAGCAGGTTGACCTTTCTCATGCATCTTATGAACAAGCTACCAAACATTGAATAACCTTCTTGATTTGCAAAATCCATCTATAAGAGAAGTATAAATAACTGTATTAGGAATCATATTTTGATGATGCATTTCCTTAAATAGATTCATGGCTTCATCTTCCCTTTTAATCTTACACAATCCATTAATCATGATGCTGTAGGTATGAACATTAGGAATCACTCCACATCTTGCCTTGCCATAGTGTTGAACACATATTTTGCGCTGCTTATTTTATTAACTAAGCAATAACCATCCATTAAAGTACCATAAGTAACAACATCAGTTTTCATGCCTTCTTTCATCATCATGGCCACCTAGCTTCTTTTACCTTTCCTTCCTTAGATAAGGCATCAACCAATACATTAAAGATATAAACATTCGGGTTGATGTTTTCTAATTCATTGTATTAAATAAATCAGTAGCTTCAGTTATGGATTCATCTTTGCAAAGGCTATTGATGATTATGCTAAATTACCAGGCTTGATCAATTTCCCTTCAGTCTCTCCCAGCATCTGCATGCTAGCTATCTCTTGTTTCTCCTATTTTACATAATCCATTTATCAAGGTACCATAACTAACATGATCCAGCTGAAATCCTTGTGCTACCACGATGTCGTGAAAATGCTATGCTTTTAACCTCACCATTAAGACAAAGAAATTTCAACAGTGTTGTGAAATGGTATTGAACTGATAACCCATCTTAAGAATCCTTCCAAGTACAGAAAAAGCGAAATTCATTCGACGCAAGTGGCAGAAACAATTGATCAAAATGTTCAAATTCACACCATCTGGTGCAATTCACCTGAATTCCAAACGTCTAAAGCGGGAAATTACCGGTAATGCTTCATCTTCACAAGGGAAGCCAAAATCTTGCCAAATTCGAAGATGGGTGGGGTTGGACGCACATGGAGCAAGCGATTGAACAAAGAAACTGCGTCATCGGGATTTGGAGTGGATTGGAACTGAGATTGAGAACGAGAAGAAGGTGTCGAGACTGAGTGGAAGGTTTTGAAAGAAACCCTATCCCTACCCCTAATCCGAACCTTGACGCGTTGGGAATGAAATGGTCGTTTGTTGACATTACGAATCTATAATAAAACATAAAGTGATATTAAATTTTTTTTTTATAATTATAATATTATTAACAAAACAATTGACTCAACATAAGATGAATTAATCTGTGAATGAAAGGGAATTAAATATATTTTAACAAAAAATATTTGTTTTAAAAAAATACAAACAAAATTGAATTCTTATAAGACATAAACTTATGTATTTAAGGAAAAAATTATTATGTATGTAGTTTAATTTCATACGTATCAATAAATAAAACTTTTACGGATTTAATTAACAGATAATCATATATTTTTGTCATGGATAAAAGAGAAAAGACTAAGAATAAGAGTCACGAGGAAACGTGAAATTGGTACTAGGGTTTTGAAAGGGGTCCATGATCGAATCACGAGGAAGCTCCAAGAAGAAACAAAAAATGGGAAATTGGAGGAAATAGGTGTACAATTAAAGAATAAAGTTGATTCCTTTGGAGCAAAACAAAGTGATAACATAATGGAGGAGGAACAGAGAGTTACGAAAGTGGAAGTGGCGAAGCAGAGATGCAAGTGCGTTATTGAGGCCATTGACAAATTACCCTCTTCCACCAACATCACTGCCTCGTGCAGAAGAACACTCCTCAAATTGGCACGTGCCGAGCTTGCTTTCCTTTCTCGCGCCTCTTCTTCTTTCCCCCTCAGGTCACTCGTGTTCAATTTTATACCGTGTATATATATATATTAGTCATTGATTTTATAAAAATAACTCATTTAGTTTTTTTTTTGTCCTTATAATGTGTAAAGTTTTTACAAAGTTAGGGACTAAAATTGAGAAACTAAAATAGGTATTTACTCATTTTAAAATTATGTTTTGATTGATGGATATTCATGTTACCACTCTTTTTTTGTCAAATATGGCAAAGAGTGATCAAAATTTTAGAATGTCGTGCTGCATTATTTTGAATGCTAGTCTCACCCTGTAATGTATGAAGAAGCATTGAAAAATGCTACCAGCACACTGCTCCTTCGGTCTCATATCGTAGTACTCTTCGGCTATTTTAGTTTATTTAAAAATATTTGTCACTTTAGAAAACCAAAAAACTTTTAGTTAATTTTTTTTCTAATAATACTTACATTTATTGATACTTTACCTAAGTACTTAAATAGATTCCCAACTGAATTCTAACTCTTTTTGTAAGGATCTTTTAGTCAATTAAAGCATTTTATCATTGTAATTCATGTACAAGAACAACCAAGCCTTATCTCAATGGGATCATAGTAATTTCTGTAATTAATAAAAAAATTTAAAAAGTGAGCATTACTTTAAAGACAAATAATATGAGATGGAGGGAGTACTTTTTATTGAGTGAATTTTATGTGGACCCTAGGAAAAAAAAAAGTTTGACTCGTGCTTTTTTGTAGAATTAACATGCAATTCACCTAATAATAAAGAGTACAATGGAAATAGTCAGCAATTGCATAGAAAAAAGTGTTGCTAGCATTTCTCATGAAACATTTATCAGTACCTATTACATTATGACTTTACTCTTATGCAGTGACATTTATTTTGTTTAATTGTACTTATTTTTTTAATGTGAATGGAAAAGAGCTAAGATGTACACCTTATTGTGTTTGTATCATATTTTCATCTTTAATACCTGACTCTTGGGTAGATGTAAACTGTTGATGTTTTCTGCATTACTTATCAATTTATGAGTATTTGTATTTGTGTGATGAAACATAACAGTGTCAACATCGGACACCTTGAAACAGTTGTACATATTCTCCAGCAGCCTTTCATAACTGGAGTTTCTCGAGTTTGCAAGTCAATTCCACTCTCCAGAGTCTCCCCTTCAGTTAGCAGTGAGGAGAGACACAGTTCTTCTCCCAAATGCATCTATGCGGATGTGGTGTGTACTCTCTACAGGAAGCCTGTCTGGATTATAGTATCTGACAGAAATCCAAAGTATATCATGTGGAATAGATGCCATAGAAGTAAGGGTTTAGAAGTTCGAATTCAAGAAGTACTTGCTGCTGCCCGATCTAACATAACCTTAAGACCTTCCTCAGTTATTCTTTTCTTTGCCAAAGGTCTTACTAACAATGTTTACAACAAAGTTCGAGATAATTTTGGAGCATATGAAATGGAGTTCGATTTTTCAATTTTCAGTTCTGACTTGTTGGAAGAAACAGAAGGTGACTGGATAAATATTATTGCAAGATCATATAAAAATGCATGTGTCCTTGAAATTAACAATGATGATGGCAAGGATGTTGTTCCAAATTCTAGATTCAATGTTGAAAGTTCAACTTTGGACTCTTCTCAACTTGAGCTTTCTGTAGATGAAGCTGAAAATCAACCACAGCCTATAGAAGAGAATGTCAGAACAAACTTGGGTGATACATTTTGTTCTATTGTTATGGGAATGAAATTAATATCTTTGGAGAATAAAGATTCTGAATCCACTATGCCTGGGGATGATCTGGTAAATTTGGATACAACAGCTTTGATAGCTCTTGTATCAGGAATTAGTAATGGTGGAACAGAGAAACTTTTGGCCACTCCAGAATGTGAAATGAAGCAGCGATTTAAGGGAAACTTTGACTTTGTGATTGGTCAAGTGAGTTATCTTATCTAGATTTTTGCCACTTGCGTTTCTGACCTTTTGCATGCTCACCCCTATTTGGCGGTGAAATATTTGAAGAACAGCTATTATTTTTTTTTTTATGAATATGATGCACTATCATTTAACTTAAAACATCAAGCTTTCAAGTTTCAACATTTGAAGGACCCTGTGGTTAAGTTCAGAAATGATGATAGGGAAATTTTGATTCTTTGTTAAGCATTGAGAATTCAAGAATTCCTTTTTTTCCCAATGTATTAATGAAGTTTTGTTTATTTAAGAAAGAGTTTCAATTAGCTTCATTAGCCACATTTTTAATGATCAATATTATTTCCACAGAGGGTAGCTTGAGTGGTTAAGTGCTTTATGGTTGAGAGCCCGTTGCAATGTCAGGGGTTGAATCCATTCGAAAGCCCTTATGACGAGGGGCAACTTTGGTATCCTTGGCAAGTATTAGTCGCTCACACTCTAAGGGTGTGGGGAAACAGGAAACCTAAGACCAGAAAAGTATCCCTTCCTTGAAATGCTGCTACATCTTGGTTAATTCCTTTCTTTATTTTACTAAATCCTAAATTAATATCCTTTCCTTCATTTTTTCCCCAAAGTTCATTAAATTGGTAAACTTTTGTTCGCAAATTTACCTAACATCTTCATCTCTAATGAAAGACGTCAATGACATATGGTATTCAGTAGATTACCAGTTACTATACTGATCACTTGTTCTTCCTCTGAGTTTGATTGTTTATAGATTACCAGTTACTATACTGATCACTTGTTCTTCCTATGAATTTGATTGTTTAACCAAAAGTTATATGGTGATATAGCTGATGTTGCAGAATTAAATATGTGCATTTTATTTAGTTTTAATAAAGTATTCTGACTTTATCAGTATCAACTAAAATTACTAAAGCTTTACTCAATTTTTGTGCTAGATAATGTCTGAAATTCAAAACCCAATTCATATGGAATTTAGTAGAATCCTACATGGAAAGAATGGCATAATTTGTGAGAGTGTTCTTATGGAATTTAAGGAGTTGGTATCAATGTGTGGAGGGCCCAATGAGAAACTCAGAGCTGACAAGTTAACAAATTGCATCAGGTGGGTTTATTGAGCATCTGTTTATCTGCGAAAAATAAATTGCAAAGGAAGATTGTTTTGATAGTATTAATTTTTTATCTGTGGTAAATAATCAGTGAAATCAATTGGAGGATGTTTTACTTAACTTCGGAAATTGCATTTAATTAGCTTTTTTTCAACTTTATTTACGTGGACATCAAGTATCTTTTCATTTTTCTTTTTATCCTGTTGTTAATGCTAAAATAATATTTGAAATATATTGCACTGACAAGCTGGAGGATCATCACAGTGTTGTTCCTGATACCCCTTCAGAACGCATAATGGGCCTCCCAACAACTAGGAAACTGGCATTGAAAAACAAGATTGTCTTTGGCACTGGTGACCATTGGCATGCCCCGACTTTAACTGCAAATATGGCATTTGTCAGAGCAGTTTCACAGACAGGGGTGTCCCTTTCCACTATTGAACATAGGCCAAGGGCCTTAACTGGTGATTAGTTACATTCATTCATGAAAACAAGGCTTGAGGCATTCATTCTTGCAACGCAAAATCAGGTACTAGAAACTATTTTTGATGAAATGCATTAGCCATGCCTAATCATAAATAATCTATTGCATAAAGAGAGAAGCAAATCTTAGCTTGGAGACTGTGTTACCAGGATCTTTTTACTAGTTGATTTTTCTCTTTCTGATTATTTTTTATTAAATTATTATAGTCCCAATGTAAGATGGCTATATACAAAAATTGTTAATGGAAATATTATTATCATTCATAGATGGTGTCATCATTGGGACGCTTCACCTGGGCGTCGAGATATTTTGTTTTATTACTTAAGATAGTTATTATTTGAAGTTTTGTAGTGTTCGGTTGTAAAATTTGAACTTTTCCATGAGGTTTTGACAATCAAAATATTCTTTTGGTGTTCAACATGGTCCAGTGCTACCCAGCTACAATGCATCTTGCATTCCACCCTACATCACTAGTTAATATGCTACAATTTATTTAATGTCACAAAATTTGAATGCGTCAATAGGTTGACTCACTTCGTCAATCTTTCTATTCATGAAAATTGCATGACTTGAATTTGAAAGTGCTAACATGTTCCATGTTGGCTAAGAATAGAAATAGAATACTCCTTATAAGGATTTGAATAGTCCTCCTCTAAATAGCTTTTGGGAGTTAGGCCTAACTTTATTAATATGGTATCAGAGTTAGGCCACGGGAATTACTTTGGCATGTGGATAACGCAACGCAGACACTTCCCTTCTTTCATGAGATTGAAAGCTTTGTTAATGTCATCAAATGGTAAATTGTGTGTTATGTAGTCATCTATTTGGATTTCCTGCATAGCAATCATAATATTAGTACATATATAAACGGCACATCCCGTATATGCTAACGTTATAAGCTAAGAATTTTTTTCTTGTAATGATGGTAATATGAAATTGTCCTTCATTTCATCGTAAATAAACAATATAGTGAGCAGATGGAAGTAAAAAGGATGCAGCAGCTAATCAACATACAAACACCAAGACACCATAGAGAAAAACACAAAATCAGATAGAGAGAGAATTTTCTAAGGGTAGTGCTGTAATAACACATATATATGCAAAAATTCATTTTTACTTGAACCAATAGATTTAACTTTGAATTTGTCCGGGGTCAGTACAAAACATTTTCGGGACACATCAAAATAAAATCTAATGGTTCTTCACATTTGTCGTTTTTTTCATTAAGAATTGCTCATGTAACACTGTTCAATTTTTATCTTCTCTTTAGAGTAGTTCTTCACTGGTCAACAATTGTAATTATTTATGTAACAAGATGACTATATTAAATTGTTCTAGAGAACCATTTATGCAAAAAGTTACAGCCTAAAATACCCGGCTTACCAAGAATTGGTTAAATTATGTATCCAAAAAATAAAGGCCAATGATATTTTGATCATAATTCACCTTAAAGAAAAAAAAAAAAATAGTCATTCTCAGATAAAAGGTAACATTCTGGGTACTTTTGTTGTTACCTTGTTCACATACTTCTCCACTAATGAAGGAAGATCAGATTTAGGTTTCCATCCTCCAAATAGAGATCCTTTCAATGTTCTTCCCATTAGCAACAGTGCATAATGTGCTGACATTTCAGGCTTCACCTTTGGCACGCCAAGTGTTACAGTCAAACCCCATCCCTATAAGAAACAAGGAACTATAGAATGAAATTCAAGATACACCGAAGCTTTTAAATATTAAACGAGTTTTAGATATAGAGTATTACATCACAGCATGATTGCAATGCAGTGGTTATCATATCAGTGTCACCTACACATTCAAAAGAAAAATCTGCCCCACCATCAGTAATGCGCTTAATAACCTGAAATTTTTCAAAATATAAATGGTCATGTCAATAAATAATTTTCCTAGTAGATGTACATATAGTCTTGTGCTGAAGCAAAATCATATCTAACCAAAATAAGATTAACAATAAATACATTTGTATGTATGAATCAGACGTAAGCAATGCTTTGATCTAGCAGCTTTTTTTGAAATTATCTATTACAATTATATATCATCTTCACCATAAGATAAACTATGAAAGGTTATCTCAGAAAATGAACTCCCCACCTCAGCAATAGGTTCTTTATAGGAATTCGGGTCAACAACTTCTGTAAACCCAAAAGCTTTGGCTGTGGTAACAACCAACAAGACAACAATAAGTAAGTCAAAGGGATTTATTAAATATAAATTCAGACTAATTTTTGGGAATTGATTATGGTACCATTTTCACACTTCTGTGGATTGTTGTCCACACCAATTATTCGAGATGCACCTCTTTGTTTGGCACCTTGTGCAACCTAATTGAAACGAAAGGTAATTAAAATTTAGAAAATATTAGCACTCATCTGTTGAGAAGCTAAGATAGATAGAGTTGTTAAAGGCCTTGTACTTACAGATAGGCCTACAGTTCCAAGACCAAAAATCACCACAGTTGATCCTTTTGACACATCAGCAACATTCCATGCTGCACCCAAACCTAATGTTGTAACAAAGTCAGAGTCAGATAAATAACAAATAGCCAATAATTTACCAATGGCATTAGAAAGACTCTTACTGGAAACTATAGCCATGATATTATTGTTGAGTAGCAAAAGCTAAAAGTAAATTACATGTGAGGTATAAGAGGAGGAAAATAAGTCCATCATTACAGCCTACCAATTCATCCAACGCCACTTGGAACTAACAATTGCTTCAATGACATTAAATCTTCATGACATATAGTTTTAAACATTTACACTATTTGCTTTCCCCTTACAAATCATTTCTGGGCCTGGTTTAGTTATAATCCAGAAATCCGGTACTGTGTTTTGGATCATTATAGAATGAGTTATAACAAGAACTAATGTCAAGTTTATCTGGAAGTCAAGCATTAACAAATTATCTAACAACTCGGTAAAAACCAAGTTTTAAAAAAAAATTATTGGGTTCAAAATCACTCATTAAAATTTAATATGATCATTCAGAACTTTTGTAATCCACCAGCTACATGATATTAAAGCAAACAACACAACAAAAAATGACGATGACATTTTGCAGGGTAAACCTATGCATGTGGCAAGCATCTATGAGCCAGATGGTGGAATACTAATATGCCCTTAATTTAAACCAAAGGCAAAACAACATAAAAGGAAATCATTAGCTTTTTGACTAATTTAAGAGAAAATCAGACTAATTCACTAGGTGACCTTCAATTCTGAGGATCACCTGTGATGATTTTACAATTAAATATATTCATTGCACATTATTATCATCGAATATACACCGTTTTTGTTTATTTTTCGAGGTCCTACTATTCCTTTAACATACAAGGTGCTGCACACATAGAAGCTGTGCTTCCTCTAACCTTCCATGGAGAATAATAAGGGGGGGAAAAAAATCAGGCAGCCTAATGGCTATCAACCTACTACTACCTCGGTTTAATAATTAAAATCATAAGCAACATGGTTTTTAAGATTTTAAAGCTGATTGCTGTAATTCCCTTGATCTATCCCTTTCATTCCTTATAACTAATAATAAACACTTGGAATATTTACCTGCAGCAACCCCACAGCTCAGAAGGCATATTTTCTCAAGAGGTGCACGTGGGCTGATTTTCACTGCACATCCCGAATGGACTACTGTATATTCACTGAAACTTGAAACCGCACAATAATGATAAACAGGCTTCCCTTTTACTGAGAAGCGTGTCTTCTGATCACTATGCATTAAACCCTTCCTTTCCAATCCCAAAACCTGACAAATATTAGTTTTTCCTGATGTGCACAGCCTGCATGCCATGCACTCTCCAATGAATACTGTTAGTACATGATCTCCCTCTTTGAATTCAGTCACTCCTTGTCCCACACTCTCAACAATCCTGCAAAACTATGCTAAATATTCAGTATCTATTGTGGAAATTACACCTTTTGCAAGGATTTAGTTGAAGTGCTGCCAATGATGCAAAAATGTATCACATCCCATTCCGAGCACAATTCTGTCTAACATCAGAAGCATTCTCTGCCCCATAATTGATCATTATCACCCTAACTGAAATTGGCTTTTCAGAATTTGATCTATTTGCCATGCTAGCCAAATGGGTAACTCTTAAAATGCAAAATGTTTTTAAGATATTCAAAGAAAAGCAACTTGAGGATCAGACTCGATGTTTAATCCAAAAATACAACATTAAGTGAAGATTACCCTGATGCTTCATGGCCAAATATGCGAGGAAATATGGCCTGCCGAAAAAAAAAAACCTCTGTGAAACGTTCAACTCCATATAATTATAAAATTTTAACAGAAAATACAAAAATTATGACAAAAAAGAAATATTCATCAGCAAACTAATATACCAGCCTTGATTAGCTTTTATAACGAACAGGAAGCATACTCTTGACTCTTTGAGGAATGCCATATTCAACTCAAGATTTTTTATTTTATTTTTATCAAAACTATAAATCATGCCATACATCAGCCGTTGATTGACTACATTGCCAACATATATACATTGGCAGCAACAAAAAATAAGTGTCATAAATTACATCCTACTAAGAATGGTTGCTGGACACCTAATACCCAACATTAACATATGATTCCATTAAATTTCATGTTCCAAAACATCGACAAAAAGTAACATGAAACAAAACCCACATAAATGATAAAAACGCTGCCACGTGTCAAAAGAAACAAAATAATAGGCATAACATGATGATGCAAAAGAAAAGGAGGGAGGAAAAGGGAATATGAATGAGAGAAAAGTTACATGAGATTTCCAAGCAGAGAGATCACTGCGACAGAGAGAGGTGGATACAACTTTAATCCTAATCTCCGATGGTTGTGGAGGACTCACTTGCACTTCCTCCATTACCAATGCTTCTCCAGCACCCCATGCCACTGCAGCTGTTCCACATTCAACACAGCATTCAATCATTGTAAACAAACAATGAACACACATTTCAAAAGGGTGGCTGTGTTTGTGGCTTAATTTACCTTTGCAGGTTATGACTTGAGGAGGGGTTGAAGATGACATGGTTCTTGCTGAGTGAAGAAAGAAGAAGAAATAAAAAGGGAAAAAACACAGCGAATTGTTGACCGATGGTGATGGTGGTAGATAGAGTCTATTAAGACACCGTGTTGGTGGTAGTTGACAAGGATTACGAAGCAATTTTCTTTTTTGCCTTGACAAGTTTAAAATTCTTAAAAAATTGAGATGTATAAATTGTAAAAATGAAAAGTTAACCATAATAAAGATTTTTAAATTCTTTTTAAAAATAAATTATTTGATATAAAAATTATTTAATTAAATTTTACAGTATTTTAAAAAATATCTTTTTACTATTCAAATGTAAGAATTTTAAATTACTCTTTACAAACAGTAACGTTGGTGATGTTTTTTGGGTCTCTGTTTTTTCTTTTGTAATGGTTGGCTCCTTCTATTTCCAACTATACTGATTATTAAATTATTGGTTAAAATTTTTAAAATGAAAAATTATTAAAAAGTATTATTAATACATTCTCACCATAATTTTTACTGCACTCCCAACTTAACTTTTAATTTAAAAAAAATCATTATTATTAATTCCTTAAACAAGACCTTTTCTTCTTTTTTTTTTTCTTTCATTTTTATTTTTTATACGCACATATTTAAAAATATATTCCAATATCAAAGTAACATTTATCAAATTTCTTTTAATTTGATTGTGTTATAATACGCATGAATCATCGTTTATTTATAAGTTTTATATTAAATCTATGTTTACCCCATGATGGCACTACCTAAGGTGTAGTTGATGTATTTTATTTTAATATTTTTAATTACTTAAAATGAACAATAATACAATCATAATGACGGCACTACTTAAAGAGTAATATATTTTTGTTTTAATATTTAAATTATTTAAAGTGAATACATATATAATCATAATAAATTATTTTCATTAAATACTTTCGACATTCATTTTCTTAAGAGCTGCTCGAAGATTTGTTAACATTTTTATTTTCTGTTGTTGTTATCAAAGGCATCAATAGACTATACTAACCCAAAATTAGGACACTTGCCACAACTAAAGTTCAAGGGAAACCCAAGTATAGGAGACTTGTCAAAATCTTCAGCATATCATCATCACATGAAAATGTCACAAACTTTGTTTGGTATTCATCAAACCAAACAATGAATAGAAAATAACAAAATACTTGGGGGGCCAGAAACACATAAGAACAAGGGGAAAGAATGGTGGTCAAAATGTTAAATTGTTGATGCACAACACGGACATTATGTTACCAGGCCAGCTTTACACAAAACAACTAAACAGTAAACATCATTCTTAACAATCATTTCTTCACTAGAACATAAAGAACTACGCGATTGCTGCGATAATCAGGATGCCAGAGTATTTGATCCACACGGCCAATAGTGAAATTATTCATTGCTGCTTCTAAGAAGTACTCAAGAATGGCATCTGAAATCAGAAAATGCTATTAGGAACTATGTTATGGATTGTGGTCCAAAAGGAAGAAAAAGGAATGAACTCTTTACCATTTCTGAGTTCCCCAGCCAAAAATATTGTTGTATTAGGCCCAGAGAGCTGCATAAGTGTCTCTAGTAGATCCACAACTGCCCTCTCACTGTACACTACATCAGATCCTAAAACTGGAAACAGGAAATCAAGTATTGAATCAAGAAGCCATTCATATAATTATCAAAAGCTGAAATGCATCTTATGGAACTCTTTCTCATTCAATTCTCATTAACCTAGAAACACAAAATGGACAACTTTTGTATACATAACATTAACAAAAACCTCTGTAATGTAATGCTAGGCCTGGGGGTGTATAATACTCCTATTATGAATCCAAATGAAATTTTTTCAATGGGACCAGAGGTATAAGTTGGAATACCGTTCTGTAATAATACTAATCTCACAGAAAAGGTTATATTTACAACAATCATACAGACAAAGAATATTTGGTTAAAGATAAAAGATAGTTATTCTACCACTCAAAAAAAGGAAGGGTGGTTAAGTAACACTATGAGACAGAAAATTCAAATATCGAATAAAGGATACAAATCAGAGGAGAAAAGTTAACCACAGATCAATGATTGGAATGATGACAACAATCACAGCAATCCAAATGACATCTGCAACACATCTTGCAATACAACTACAAAAGTGTTCTAGTGCCTGTAGTTGAATCTTGTTTATTCCTTGTTACATAATAGTTGTCAGAAAGGGTTGACACTTGAGAGAGAATTATTACCATAATTGGGTATGGGGTCAACGAGTTCTTGGTCAGGATCATCTCCCCATGTCAGTTCAGTTGCTGTTACAGAACCACGTAGAGAAATGTGTTTCATATTGGTTTCAATGTTCTTCCTCAGTAGCCTCAGCCTATCAGGCAGATCAGTAAGAATAACTTCACCACCCAAAAGAGCTGCAATGCAACTAGAGAAGAAAGAATAAGAATAGTGCAATATAGAATGACGAGCTAAAAAACAATTCTTCACCATTTGCAAGACAACTTAGGATACGTTAGGATAGCGACTTAAGAATTTATTTAATAAGTTTTATTATATAAGGGATTTATACCATAAATTTGAGCATGAAACTTATTGACATAAGTTGAAAAGAGCTTATCAGAGTCATAAGCTCTTTCAAACGCACCCTTAGTCATAAAATACAATGTAAAAGGTCAAAGCTCACTTTCCTAGTTCGTTAATTCTACGCGGAAAAGGCCAAAAGCTAATCAAAAGCTTACAGACAAACTACAGCAACTTGCCACAAACTGATCAACAACAAGACTAGATAGTAACTGTAATTACCCGACCAATCCACAACCAGATCCCAATTCAACAATCTTCTTGCCCTGAAGAACAAGCATCCCTGAGTCAACAGAATGTTCAAGAAACTTCCCCAATACAACTCCACTGTCCCACATCACAGCTCCAGTTACTCCAGGTGTTCCCTTAAATCAAAAGTCCAAAATGCCATAACTGTGAACTGAATTCAACAACAGGCAATTCATGGTATGATAGCAAGCAATCCCACCATTAAAGCTTAAAACCAACAATTTAGTAGATTAAAACAAGACACAGTTTGAAGCAGAAGCTGTTTCAGTACTAATGTGCATCACCCACACGAACAATACCATTACAACTAAATTATCAAAACAGAAGTACAAAAATCACATGTTCCTATCCCTTAACCATCACAATATCATCCACAACTAGCAAGAGTAGAAAAACACACACACACACACACACACACACACAAGCCATCAAGGGCTATTGCAAGCATCTAATTGAAGCAAAAATATTCACTGGAATGATATTTTACGAAATGGGTAATCACTTTTTAGGCAAACAAAGAACACGTTCATCAAATTAGAAGGCACATCGTCATAAAAATCAAAGCTTTTACCAAAAATCTTTAACTACAGCGACCAAAAGTTCAAAAGCGTTACAAGGAAGAAGAGGGTAAGATAGAAAGGTACCAAGGAAGAAGGGGATTGAAGAATGGAGAGAGAGTGACCACAAGAATCGAGTGAGAGTTGCAAGGAAGAGTGAGAGACAAAGGCATTAGGTTTGGAAAGGGTGGGTTGCAGAATACCCCAAAGTAGCATGGTCTCCTCCGCAGCAGATTCTTCCCCAGCAACCACCAACCTCACTTCACCACCGTAAGAACCCAACTTTGCCATTGATGCCACTGCATCTGCGTCTTCCTCTTCTTTGCTCGCCATTCTCAGTTTCAGACTCAATTGGGCTTCATCATTTCAACTAATGTTTTTATGGCCCTTTTCTTTTGGGTCATACAAAACTAATCTTAGCTAGAATCGGCCCGCTTAAGACATAAAAATATATGACTACTTTAGGTTTGGACCAAACTGCAGATTCCTTTTAAGAAAAATACTTTTAAATGTTCTAATTATTTTTATATTTATATATTTTAAAATTTTTAAGTATTATTTATTTATTTTATTAATTAAAAGGACTGATCTGCGAACCAAAGTGACTAAAATGTGAGCCAATAATGTTGTTAGTTTGTTTATTTTGTGAGTCAAGTCAACATGATTTGTTTAACAACCGTTTTATAAGAGTTACACACTTCTAGTCTTCGTAACATTTAATAATTAATATGTTAGAAAAAATTATTTAATAGTTTTATCAAAATGTTTTTCATTAGTAAAAAAGTGTATAATCAAATCATTTGTTAGTAATGTATAAAAAGTATAAAAATTTTGTATGCTTGAAAGTTAATAAGTGAATAGTAATTATTAACTTCATCAAAATCTTCATTAGCGTAGAAATTACTTATTTATATTAGTTAAAAAATGATTTTTATTTCCAAAGATTTCTATATAATAATAAAAATACAAATTAAAAATGAAAACAGAAAATAATTTTAAATCAAAGGGTCCTAGATTTTATTTATCACACACAGCTAAGGATTTAGTAGGAGGAAATCATTGCCCCAAAAAGTTAGTGGCATACCAATAATTTTGAAATCCTCTTATAATATTCCCTGTCAACTAATTAAGAGACAGATTGAGAATGGCGAGTTGAAGAGGACATGCATTTGCATGCCCATCTAATTCATTTTATGACAAAGTCAATTGCATGTTATCTGTCATACCAAATCATACATTTCTTCAAATTTGAAGCACTTCATGACATATTAATTGTAACATTTTTATTTTTTTTGGTCAATAGAGTAACGAGTTGGTAGGCCATCTTCCAAAATGAAAAGCATTTTAAAAGAATATTAATAGTGTATTCACCAATTACTTTTTTTTTTATAATGAGTCTAATTATTTTTTAAAAGCTAAATAATTTTAAAAAATAATTTATTTAACTGATAGGGTGGAACGGTGGCGTAAAAAATTATATTTTTAATTATTTAAAAAAAAAATCAATAACGTAAATATTAAAAAATTATTAAAAAAAATTCTCTTGTAAATTTTGGTGAAGTTTCCAATAGTCATTTTAGATTTGCTTATGCAGGCACCAAACTTTGAACAAAATCCGCAAGTAACAGTATACATGTCACATCATCGAGATGTGCAATGATAATGATCTTAATATCACACTTAAAAAAATCTCTCAAATTACCTCAAATTCAATCGAACAAAATACGAGAATAAAAGTGTAGAAGTTAACTAAAATAAATTTCTTAAGGTATCGTGAAATGTTTTGATTTACTTAATTTGTATTATAAAAAATCTAGAAAAATTTTACAATATTTTAAGAAAAACACCTAAATGTAATTTTTTTTTCTTAAAAAGAAAAAGTATCTGATGTTAAGTCTGAAAAAATAGTTTTAATTGCATTTTTACTTTCCATACTTTTAATGCACGTGTGATTTTAATTCTTTTAAATTTAATTGTTAATATTTTTTATATTTTAAATACTCAAATTAAGTCATCGACAACTTTTATTATATTTTATATTATATTTTTATTTAAATATTTTGTATATTTTTTAACTTATTTGTATAAATTAATAAAATATCATATTTGCATTATATTTTTATTTTATATTTTTATTAATTATAAGATAAAATTTTAGAATAAAAATATTTGACAAACTAGAAGATTAAATGTATTCAATTAAATCTAAAAAGACCAAAATCACACATATATTAAAGAGAGATTAAAAATACAATTAAAAAATTATCAGTCTCTAATATATTGTTAAATTTTCCTTATATTTGAATTGAGGAAATTACATTGAATGCGAAATTGTGATTTTTCAAGTGTAATTTTTATCAAAGGGAGGCGTAATTTTAAATCTAACTGTTGAAATAAATTATTTAATCGTTTTAAAAATTATATTAGCATAATTTTGATGGATGGAAATTTTTATATTGAAAATATCATAGTAGAAGATTTATATTGAATGGACTGCACTAAAAAAAAAGGGAGATAGAAGTTTTTTCATTGAGTTCACCAAAAAGAACTCAAACTTGGAGAAGTATGGAAAGGATGATAAGATTATTTATTTATTTTGTAAAATAATTTTATACAATATAGAAAATTTTAAAAACTTTTATTAAAAAAATAATTTTTTATGATTATTATAAATAAATTATTTAATATATTTTATTTATTTATTTTTATTCTCATTTTTTACTCATCTAAACAAGTGATTATAACTTTCTCCCTCTTAATTTCTATTTTTCTCCATCAAAATAGCACCTTTTTTTCTCTTCTCTTTTTTCTTTTATTCAAACACGAAAGAGAGAAGTTCACATTTTAAAAAAGGTGTTCACATTTAGCATATGGTCATGGTCATCCCAAAAATTATGTCTTACAAAAGATACGTGTGGGGAAAGAAAATAATAAATAAATAGAAAGAAAACTCAGAGATAAAAAGCCTTTGAATGAAAAGCCTTTTTCAATTTTAATCACCCACCTGAGTAGGTATGGGCACATGACATGGCTTGTTTATGACTTTTCAGTACTTTCCAACTTTGCCCCACTTGCATATAATAAAAAATAATAATTTTTATTAAAAATTATAATATTTAAAGTGGTTAATATATTAAAGTTTATACTATTTTATAATTTTCAATAAATATTTAATATTCATACATTTTTATTATGTGTTATTAAGGGCATGTTAAAACTATTTATTTATTAAAGACATGTATCATGTATGTTGACCCTGACAGAAGATGGAATATCTCAGAAGTCTTATGGAAATCGAAGCATAAACATCACATAGTTCCAACCTACCAAAACTGAATTCAGCTGTCACCAACCATTGACCATTGAAGTAAACTTGAATTTGGATTCTTTAAAATAAGCGGTGCACTAAAGAAAAGGTTTTAGAAGTCATAACGTTTGATTGAAAAAAAGAAATTGATAGGGTGAAAATAGGTGCACACAACACACACAAACATATACCAAACCTTAATTGATATTTCAATTATAACTTCCCATTTTGGTTTCTATAATCTACATCCATTCTGTATAAAGATCCTCCAACACCCAACTAAATCACTTTTTCATTTTCAACACAAAAAGCTATTGCCTCAAAATTTCTGGATTCATTGGCCCATTCTAAAATCCTATGTGCTGGAATGTTCACTAACGTATAACATTCTAGGGAATCAAATTTGTTATTCATTTCTATTGTCATATATCAACATCCAACATAGTGTCACTTTTTGAATTCTTAAGAAGGGGCATAGCATCATAACAGTGGCCATAATTCTTCTCTCCATAAGCAAATGATTCTCCTAAGCTGAGCAATATTTGTAGGGCCTCCTTCATGGAAGGTCTACTGGCAGGCAATGTTGCAGTACACATGACCCCTAGTCTGAAAACACTGCACATTTCATCTGAGTAACTAGCTTCCATTACATCCTTATCTAGCAATTCTTCCACATTGCTTCCTACTAGAATGTGACGCCATGCCCACTCTGAAAGGGATGAGTGTTGGTCTCCATAATTAGCTTCTTTACCAGTTGCTAATTCCAATAGGACAACTCCAAAACTAAACACATCAATCTTTTCACTAACTCTTGTTGTTTGAACATATTCTGCAATTCAAATAAGAAAAATTACATTGAGAATTAGCTTGTTTGCCTTTGGAAAAAATAGAAGTAAAGTTCCCTTTTAGTCTTGAGATTGTAAGCGTGGTCATTTTAATTTATTTTACAAGAAGATCTTCATTTTAATTCCTGACTTTGCAAAATAAAAACCACTTCATTCTCTATTGTTGTTTTGCACCAAAAATAATTAAAATGAGTAACCTTTCGTAACCTCAAAGATGAAAGCAAGAATTTTGTAAACTCAAGAACTAAAATGACTGATGCTTACAATCTCAGGGATTAATATGAAGCTTTACTCGAAAAGGACACAACATTTAATTAAGAAAAAGCAATATATTTGTTAGTGTAGAATCAAAAGGATGGTCATGTTCACCTGGAGCAATATAGCCAAATGAGCCAATCACAGCTGACATGGTGTTAACTTCTCCAGGCTTGGTTAACATCTTTGCCAATCCAAAGTCGGCAACTTTTGCATTGAATTGAGTATCCAAAAGGATGTTGCTTGTTTTCACATCTCTATGAACAACAGGTGGTGAACAATCATGGTGCATGTAGCTCAAACCTTGAGCAATTCCAATAGCTATTTTCAACCTCTTTGGCCAATCAAGGACCACATGGTTCATTGAACCTGGCACAGATGATGACTTACTCTTCTTTTGTAGCCACTTATCTAAGCTATGATTTTCCAAGTACTCATAGACCAAGAGCATAGAATCCTCATTAGAGATACAACACATCAACTTCACAATGTTGTTATGACGGATACTGCTCAATATCCTAACTTCTGCACGGAATGAATTCTCAAGTTTATGGTCTAACTTCTTGTTATTCCAAATTTTTTTCACAGCAACATAGCCTAAACCATCAACATCAATGCGGTATACTGTACCATAACCTCCACTTCCAATTATATTTTGTTCGGTCATTGATGAGACAATGCTCGATTCTGTGAAATTCAGCCTTTGAAAGGAAATGAACTTCCATGAATTATCCAATCCTTGCTTTCTTTTTCTATGAAATCTAATAATCAAGAGTGATGCCAAAAGGGCCAAGAACAACGCTATTACCACCAAACTTATTATCAAACCTATAGACCAAGATGATCCCTTACTTGTTCTTTGAAGGCTAGAATTGCATAAGGTAAGGTCCAATGCTGGGGTATCAGCACAAAGACCAGAATTGCCCAAAAAGCTACTAGCATACACAGGATTTTCAAATTCCATTGGAATCCTCCCTGTCAAATGATTATAGGATAGATTAAGATTGGTGAGTCTAGGAAGTAGAGAAGGAATTTGGCCAGAAAATTCATTTTCTGCCAAGTCAAGTTGACTAAGGACAGGTAATTGACCAATTGCATCAGGGATTTGTCCAGAGAGTTGGTTTTGCCTCAAATTTAGAGTTACTAGGGATTTCCATGATACTATATCTGATGGAAGTGGCCCAGTGAGTTGGTTCTGATCAAGCAACAAGGTTGTCAACTTGGGAAGAGCTGTTAGCTCTTGTGGAATACTTCCATTGAAGTAGTTCTTACTGGCCTCAAACACTACCAAATTAGTCCATGAAGATACTCCACTTGGAATTTTACCAGAAAACTGATTGTAACTTATCTCAAACCTTGAAACATTCCATGACAACCTTTCAGGAAGCACACCAGTGAACTTATTATGGCTCACCATGAAATTTGACAAATTGAAAGAAGTCCAAAGACCGCTAGGAATATTACCAGAAAACTCATTATTGTGCATTTTCAGATCCAATAAACTACTGCAATTTCCCAATGATTCTGGCAATTCACCATTCAGATTATTTTCATAAATAGACAAATTAAGTAGCACACCATAATAGCATAAATTCTCTGGCAACTTTCCAGAAAAACTATTATTGGCAATCAAAAAAGTTTCAAGCTTTGAATAACGGCCAAAATCAGGAGGAAGAGTACCGGATAAATTGTTGTAAAACACACGAAAATCTTTAAGATTTGGAAGACGGCCTAAGCTTTCTGGTATCACACCTGACAAGCTATTCAGAGACAAACCCAACCATGACAACTGCTGGAGCTTTCCAAGATCATCTGGTATTTTCCCTTCAAGATTGTTCCTAGTAAGATCAAGGTTGATCAAGTTCAATGCTTCAACCACACTTGGTATCTCCCCAGAAAAACTATTATTATAAAGATAAAGTGTGGTCAAATTCTTCAACAACAGCAAACCACTAGGAATTCCTCCAGTTACACCATTTTGTGACAAATCAAGCTTCTCCAAAGCCACCATATCTCCAATAGTTTCAGGAATTTCTCCAACCAAGTTGGTGCTAAACAGATAAAAAACCTTCATTTTGGTGAACTTTGTCAAGTTCCATGGCAATTTCCACTCAGGGAAATTGTAGTTAGATGACATATCCAAGTACTCAAGATTGGACAAGTTCTCAATCTCAGAAGGAACAGAACCATTGAACAGGCAATATTCAAGATGAAGTTCTATTAGCTGATTCAACTTTCCAATACTAGCAGGAATGTCACCAGTGAAGTTGGTGGAACCAAGGCTAAGATATTGCAAATTAGCACTCAAATGGTCAATGTCATGAGGAATCATGCCATTAAAATTGTTCCTTGATAGGTCTAAGTACTCTAGCTTGGAACAATTGTAAAGGGGTTTCGGGAAGTCACCAGGGATGGAGTTGTAGCTGAAGTCAACATGTGTGAGATTTGTGAGGTCACAGATGAAGGATGGTATAGTTTGGGTGATGTTGGAGTTGGAAAGAGTAATGGCAGTGACAGAGCCAGTGATGCATTTGATCTCTGGCCAAGAACAGTGAGCGGAACTTGAATTCCAGTGGCTAAGGAAAGGTGGGTTTTGCAAGTATTGCTTTATATTCAGCAATACTAAATGTTCTTGATCATATAGTTGAGATTGTGAGTTTGCATAGATAAGGAGGAAGAACAAAATCAGAAAATTGTAACACGGAAATTTCATGCATGATGTGGCTGGTATTGACATCTAAGTGTGTGTGTGAAACCTGGTTTCCTGGTTTCAGTGTGTGTATGTAAAAGGGTTGTTAATATGCAAAGGTTTGAGGATGATGATCTTGGTTTGCACCGAAATAATGAATGTGCACACGAAAAGTAGAAAATGTTGGCTTTCTTTGAAACTTTCCAAACTTAACTGCCACCTATTAGTTACACATTTAAACGATGATTTAGACAAGGTGTGAAACACAAATCAATAATGAAAAATTTCGGTCAACTCAACTGATCCACTAATTAGTATTATTCCCTTCATTTTCTTTTTTATAATTTAGTAATTTTACTTTGTTTATTTTTATTTTATAAAATAAATTAATAATTATCAACATTTTTTAATACTATCCGATACCCAATCACCACCATATTTTTATTGGCTATTCCAAAGTTTGGGCTTAGGTACGATTTAGACTATTCACCTCTCTAGTCAAAACTCTTGAATTAATAATTAATATTTACTAGATAAAAAATATGAATAAAAAGTAAACTTATTAATATAATAAATAAAAAGTAAACTTATTTGTATACAATTTATCTCTTCATTGCCCTTATGAGATTAGCTTGAAGTTTCCAATATCTTTGATGAAAATTAAAGTATTGCTTCCCTTCCCACATGCACAAAACTTTGAACCAAATCCACGAGTGACAATCTATCACATCATCAAAGAATGCGGAATTATTATTATTATCTGAAGTTTCTTCCGCCGTTTGGATTGCGGCACGAAAAATTTAGCTTCTAGAATGTGACGAATTTTTTGCCTAATAAACAGAATAGGAATGCTATTAAGATGTTTTTAACATATTTTATTTATTAATCTCAAATTTCTTTAAAATTATGAAAATATAAAAAATATTAAATTTGAAATAAAAAATGAAAATTGTATTTTTTTTTATAAATTTTAACTATTAACAAAAACGTATATTAAATAATATATTTTTAGCATTATTTGTGCACAAAAAGATGAGAGGGTAAGAAAAATTATTTTTTAAAATAAATTACATCAATACTTTTTATAATAATAAAAAAAAATTAAGATGGGATATGAAAAGAAAAAAAGAAGTGTTCAAAGGGCAAGCATATACATAAAGAAGTAATAAAAGATTCTAAAATAAGTTTTTAAAATATTGTCTAATAAAGATTGATTTTTAATTACTAAGAATTTCTTAATTCAATTATTTGAGCCTAAAAGATATGAAATTAAGTAAGAACTAAAATTTAATTATAAAATTAATTATGAATAAAAGTAAATAACACAATAAACATCTTGGTTAAATTTAAGGCGTATGAGTTTTCTCATTTAATCCTTTATGTTATTTTTTTGTTTAACTCTAAATTTAATTTTCTTGTGATTATCAATCATTCATACAAATACTATTAATACCTAATTATCATGCAATACTAATATTCTTTTCTCTAAATTAATATCTTCAATGATTATGTAAGACATCAATTAAAGAAAACATAAAATACTTATAAATTTGTTAATTTAATAACGATTGGAAAAGAAAAATTGGTTTCTCCCACCTAATCCTTTATTTTGTTTTATCCTATAGATCCATTAACTAATTAAGATATGATCATCTAACGATATAATTAATTAGGATTATAATTGTGTGCAATAGGATAAAAGCTAATCACAAACAAAAACTAAATATAGATTCAAACTTCAAAATCTCATAAATTCATGAACAATAGTTCTCATAGTCTTAGCTATAGACTTAGTCACTCATGCTAAAAAGAAGAACTAAAATAATTGTAAATAAAGCTATAGAGAAAAGCAAATTAGAATGAGATAAGTTCCCAGTCTTTAAATATGATCACTCAAAGCTCCAAATCCTACCAAGAGTATGTCAAAGATCACATGCAAGAGAGACAAGATAAGAGATGTATCAAAGAGCAAAAGTTAAGATGTTCAACTTCGTGCCTAAAGTTTCTCTTTAATAGGGTTTTCAAACCCTAAAAGTTCTTAATTAATTGGCTCGAAGCACTCATGTGTTTGCTGATTACTATGAAATTCTAATTTTCCATTAGTTTGGGCTCAAAATTCACTTGTGACCTCAATACTAAACTGTATAATTAATATAGAAATCAATGTAAAATTTAAATAATATAAATATTAAACATAAATATATGAACTGTAAAAGAAAGTCTAATTACAAACTTATCAAGAAGTGTTGTAAAAATTTTAACACACTATTTAGATAAAAAAGAAAAAAGAATTGTAAAGACTTGAACAATAAAAAAAAATATGAGAAATGAAAAAGAAAAAAAAAACACATGAAAGGGATGGAGAAAGAGGAATAGAGGGACACTGACTGAAAGTGAAATACACATTTAAAAATTAGTTCTAACTGTATGTTTTTCTAAAAAATTATATTTAAAGACAAAAACTAAAATTGAACCACTCAAAATAAACTTTTAGAAACTCACTAAAAAAATTCAAACTTAAATAATAAATAAATTATAGAGATTAAATTAATTTTCAAAATATTATAAGAATAAAAAATTATTTTAATTTATATATTTTTGTAATAAAAAATTATATTAGTTTCTGATTATCTTCATGTAAGACAAGAAAAGATAACTAACATTGTGAAAAATTTTTGGTAGAATTACATATACTTGTGGAAGAGCAACTAAGTAACACCAAAATGTTCTCATTCCTCAAACTAATTAACCTCAAATATATCAACATAAACATTTAATACATGAAAATTTGACTAATAGAAACTAAATGTTGATATAGTTGTATCTCAGATTAATGAAGCTGCTGCATGTTGATGTAGTTGTATCTCAGATTAATGAGGCTGCTGCATGTGGGGGCTTAATTAGAGATGTTAAGGGCTATTTTATCGCAGGGTTCTACAAAAATTTGAACCCCTACTCCCATTAGAAGCTGAATTATAGAGTATTTTGCTAGGACTTAAGCCTATCATTCAATAAAAAATTCACATTATTTGGATAGAAAGTGATGCAAAAGAAGCTTTGTCCCTCATCCTGAATATTTAAGACCAAGTCTACCCCTGCTTTAATCTTATTTCAAAAATTAGGAATTTTGTAAAACATATTCAGTTTGTAAAGTTTACCTATGTTTATAAAAAGCTAACCATTTATTAAAGTTAGGTCTAGATGATTCTTTATCTTTTTTTTTGTATTGACTCAATTTTCTTTTCTCCTTTCTTTTGTTTGCCTCGAGTCTGTAAGCATTTGAACTCCTAAGTTAGGTATTTGATTTTCTAATTTTTTGAGCTTTTTGTCTCTTTTTTAGTAAAAAAAATAAAAATAAAAATTGACTAATCAGTGAGTGTATTATCTTATGATGTCGAATACACCAATGATAAACCAAACAACATTAATTGCACCGTTTTAGACCAAAATTTTGACTAACAATTCACAACACTACTCCTAGAAAGAGAATTTTCTGCAGCTAATTTTGACAATTTCATAGGTAAAAACAAGTATGCTATGTAAGGCCTTCCTTGGTTTTCTCATCGGTTTTGTTTGCTTGCCTATAAATGGTTCCACGTTATTTCCCTCTTTTAACACTTGGTTTCGATGGGTTTCAAGTTTTTTTTTTTTTTTTTTTTTTAGTTTTTACAAGTTTCACGATATGAAAAATGCTATCAAGATACTTTTCTAACATATGATTTTAATTAAAAAAAAAACCATTATTTTATAACAAAATTTAGATGTAATTTTTTAAAATATTTTTTTTGTTAATTTTCAACTAAAATAAAAAGTTTATCAAAATAATTTGTAATAATATTAAATAGAGACATTTTATCAAGGTAAAAATTTAATTATGATTAGAAACCAACACCAAAATGTACACCTATTTTTTTTAATCTTCTCTTAACATTTTTCCTAATATGTATTCTTGCACATAACAAAAATTTATATATGACTTTTTTTGTTAAAAATTAAAAATTTCAATACATTGATGTCATTAAATACTATAAATTCTAATAAAAATTACTCTTTATTGCTTTTTTATTATATATTTCTTTGTACAGGTTAAAAAATTGTTCTTTTAAATGCACTCTTTATTATTGACTGAAATTAATTAAAAATTATGTAAGTTATACTTCTAATTTATTGAATCTCAATTCTATTTTTATAGTTTTTAATAAAAAGAATGTGATAAAAAAAATGTTTTCCGAACATTCCCAGGTATTACACTAGTATGAATAAAAAATCCAAGTCAAGTACCTACCCAGAAAACCATGGAACTAAAATATCATATACAGGGACTTTCAGATGCTTGAATGGCGATGTTGGAAAGATGCAAGATCTCTTGCATAAAGTTTCTACATACTTAAATGAACGAGACACAACAATTTTAGTAAACACAAGATAAATGCAATCAAGGTTGAATCATAGTGGTTTTGTTTCTATTTTCACTACCCCCGTTAGAATGAGTTGAAGATCGTACTTGTGGGTCAAATGAGCACACTTAATGATCATAAAATTACTCCATCCATTTGTTTTTATCTGTCAACTTCTAAAAGAAAATTGTTTCTAGTAATCTTATTGTTTATTTATAAAATAATAATTAATTTATTAACACTGATAAAAATATATTATATATCATTCATTTATACTGCAATTAAAACAATTAAATTCATAATTTATATATTAATAAATAAATATATTCAGAATGATTCTTTGCCAATATAAATCTTATAATAAATGAAAATATAAAAAATTCAGTAATTAAAGCACCTAAAAAATAGCCTTTAATTCTGATAATTAAGACAAAACAAATACTGATAATTATTTCTTAAAAAAATGACAGGAAAGAATATTAATCAGTCTATTTAAAAGTTCAGGACAATATTTAATGTACCAAACTATTGGAGGAACAAGTCTTGTAACATGCTCTGGGCTCAGAAATCATGTTAAGCGAGCTAAATAACAAACATCAAAATTAGTTCAATAAAAGCAATTCCTCAAGGATCACCATCATACTTCAAAATTATGGCAAGAAGAAAACAAAAACTGGTACGTTAAGATTGAATGATCGCATACAAAATTGCATCTTAGACCTAGATGTATAGTAATGGGCTAATACTTCATTTTCTTCTTTTCAATCCTTCGGACTAAGGCTTCATACACACAACTTTTTATGCCACCCTGACTACAGTTAAATTCTTTCTCTAGAGAAACCAAGCATTGCATTTTTCTACTAAAACTACAAAAGACAAACACTTTATGAGAAGTGATCTTCCATCAAATTTCTATTATCAATCATTCATCATCATCAGAACTAGCATATGCCAACCCCAGTAATCCCCCACCAGGGTTTTCAACCTTAGCCTTAGCTTCTGCTTCTAGTGACCCCAATTGAGGATGTTCCTCAGCCTTCTTCGGTCCTGATAAAGATTGCTCCTTCTCTTTTAAAGGATCGTTATCGGTCTTATGGTTTGTGACCGGAGCATTACTAGAAGCTGGGGATGACTGATTGCCATCAGATCTTAGGCGCTTCGGTTTAATCTCAACAACTTTTTTCAGTAAATCTTGCTGCCTATGTCACAGAATAATATAAAGACTATGAATAATACTGAAACCAGGAAAGGACAAGAAACTACAAAGGAGGGATGAGAAGGATTGGAAGACCTACCTGATCCCACTTTTTGGCTTTGGCTCAACACGAAATGCCAATGGAACTGATGCAGGTGAAGAATCTGCTAAACTTGCAGCTCTGTAATCATTGGTGAAGGAAAACAAAAAGAATACACACAACTTGAGCACAAGCAATTTAATCAAAAAGGTTTACCAGTACCATTTTAATATAGCTTTTACAAACCATGTAGAAAAGCAAATGAATATGTTAAAACTGCTTATGTTTCATTCAAACAACCATATTAAAAATATAACACTTGTTGAAATTCAAGGAATCAAAATTCCATACTAAAAACAGCATTACAATCGTTATAGCTTGAAATTCAAATTGCACAACCTACAGCCTGTCAACTTTATGTAACTAAGTAACATCAACACTATATTCAGCTAACAGGCACAGATTTTCTGACAGAGGCAGCAATGTAATCTTCAAAATTACAGAAATTATGCAAAACTGAGACAATGTTCCAATTTAATTAATAATGAGAGTTGAATTGTTAACTGAGACATGGTCAGATTGACTAGTTTGACATGGTTGACTGCAAACCAGCTAGGGTTGATTGTGAACCAGCCCACTGGCCAGTCTAATCAAGGCTCCAGAACATTTGAAAATTGCCCTTGAAAACACTATACTGGCTGTGAACTGATCCAACCATGTGAACCAGTCAGGATTTGGCACTGACAAGTTATTTTTATCAGATAGGCATTGATAAGTTGAACCAGTGCAAGCTTAATGAGGGTATAGCTAAAAACAAGCACCCAAGGATTCAAGCCCTGTCTGTGGCAATTAATGCATCTACCACCATACCACTAAGCCAGGAATCAGCCGTTAGAAGTACAAGTAAATCATTATTATATTTATTGTATTTTGTCAATGCATTAAAATAATTATGAAGATTCCTCAGAAAAGGAATCAAACTTGGGCCTCTCATACAGGAACATGAAACAACATACTGATAAACACGGCTATATTTTGATATTCTAATATATTTTAAGAATAATTTTACTCATAGAAGTCTGTTTATTATAGCATATATTTAAATATTTATATAGAGCAACATTTTTTTATTGTAATATTACAATAATTGACTTACTATGTGTAATAAATTACTTGGATCATTATTTAGTTTTTCAATATATTTTCTCATCTTTTGAGTGTATACTTAGTGTATATATGTTCTACTTTTTATGCATTGTATGAGTGTTGAAAATCTGGTTCAACCTACCCCAAGACCTTAAACATCTCCCCTTACTGGTTCACAGACAGATCCAGTTTTGAATACATTGGTTCACAGGTTTTAAGCAGCATTAAAAGGATATGATGACTTTGTCAAACATTCAGAACAATACATATAAATTGCAATTTATTAAGCAAGATACTTGTAGTCTAAGGACAAAAATCAGTTTTGACTCGAGATGAAGAAGAAAACAAGGGATTATTATAATTTGAAATGATTTCAAAAGGATATCTTAAATGCAGCAAATGCCCGTTTTTCAGTGCGACGGAGGAGGCGCTCAGCATCCTCCTCGGCTTCCATTTGCTCCTTGAGATAAAGTAGATCATCACTGTCCAAGGCTGCAGGTTTAAACTTTACAAAGGGAACAAAGAAACTAAAGATAATACAAGAGCAGCAAGCAAAAACAGGTGGTATGGAAACACAAGTAACGCAGACACACAAAATGAAAAAAGTAAATGAAGAAGTGTTGTACCGCCGCGCCCATGAAGATAACCCCCACGCTCCCCAGCAACCTCTTGCATCTGCTTGATCAGCCACCCAATACAGGAAGCCAAGATCCCTGCCGGGGCATGTTATCAGAAAAATCCCTCAACTTGCACAAACAATTATTTGAAAGTTGAAAACAACTTAACCAAAAGAAATAACCAATACAGAATAAAAAAAAGTTCCAATATGCTACATTTCTTAATCATTTTAAAAATTATTATCTTAAAATAATTTATTTAAAATAAAAAGTTTCATCCTACCCTTCCCATCCCTCCAAAACCCCTTTCCTAAACAATCCCTTGGTTTCAAAAATTATGTTGAGTCCTCGTACCCATACCACACCAATGCTAGCAACCATATCCATGCAACACAGCTACAACGCTTAATCTAAAGCCGCTACCTCATCATCGTTCAAACAACAATTTAGAACAATAGAAAATCAACGAATAGTCTCATAAATAATCACAAGAACTCTATTTTGGATATATTTCCAATGCATGAAAACTAATTCCAAAACACCAAAAAAACATTAAAAAAAATCATTATAAGGGTTCCTTAATTCTTATACGAAGTATCAAATGTTAGATTAGTTTCAAAAGCATAATCGAGTGCACTAGCAAATGGGTACCCAAATTATACATAGAATTGAACGGAGGGTGAATCAATGCGCTAACCTTTGCAACCATGCGTTGGAAAGTAATGTCTTCATCGTCAATTTTGTCTTTCCCTTTACCCCATTTTTTATCTGCGGAATTAACACATATCCAGTAATTAAAAGTCACGAAAAATAAAAACTTTAACAACTACGAACAAAGAAAATTTTGGAAAACAAAATAAAATTTGAAAATCGATTGCCTTTGGGGTCGGTAAGGTTGGTGTATTCTCGAACTTCTCTTCCTGCCATCTTTAACACTTTCTCTTTCTCTTCGATCGGTGAGAGTGGAACTAATCAGAGGATTGAGAGTGAAATTTCGATTTTGAAATTTTGATTCCTTTGCTCTGAATAGAGAAGATAAACGACGCTTCTAGAACATAAATTTGTCTTGTTTTTGTTTTATCTCAAGAAAACTAGTAACCTTTTTCTTTTTCTGTTTAAATTTTAAAATTTAAAGCATATATATATATATATGCTTTAAATTTTAAATTTTTTTAATTTTTCATTTATCGATTTAATTTAATTTCATTTAATATAACAAAATGGTATTATTATAATAATTTATTTTAATTTATAAACTAATATTTTAAAAAAGTTATGTAATGTTTTTAAATTTTTATGTAAAATTTTAATTTAATGATAGTTGTGTACTTATTATTTAAGTGAAATATCCAAATATACAACATGTAAAAAAGCCGCTTGATATAGCTTTTTTTTTTTTTTTATTGAAAAATGGTTTTAAAATAATTTAATTGTAATTGTGTTTGTGTGTTAATTTTAAGTGAGTTAAGAATAATTTATTTTATCTAGTTGATAGAGTTAAAATGCTTTTATGGTGTAAATTACAAGTGTTTATAAATCGATTCAATTGAATATAAATTATAAAAATTGAATTAAAAATAAATAAATCAAAGTTTAACTTGTTTGTTCTTGGATATACATTAAAAAAACCATTCATCTAATCACATCCAAGTCTTGTTAATTCAAAAATTCATACGAAAAGAAAGTTTCCAAACCATTTTTTTATCATATGGACAAAAGAAAGTAATTGTTATCACATCTTCCAAGTCATATTCTTATGTCTAGTTCCTTGTTGAATTTCTTGTATACCTATGTTTATAGGGCAAAAGTTATTCTAAATAGTGTTATATAATATGCTTAGTACTGCATTTGTTACACTATGTCAATAGATTTGCGAAAATTTAACACAACTTATAGTGTGTTTAATTTCTAAGTTTAGATATAATAGTTAACAAACGTTCATTTTAACACATTATAGAGTAACTTCTGGATATTATTAGATGTGCACATAAAACCAGTGAACAACAATTCAAACATGCCCTTAAAATTACACACACTATTAATTTTGGAAAATGAAGACATGAGAAACAACCACACTACAAAGAGAGATAAAAAAAAAGGTAACAGAAAATATTTAGTAATATTTTAATTTCTCTGTAAAATTATCTGCTTCTATCATTTTAATTCTAAAAATTATAAAAATATTATTTCAGTCTTTAAATTATCACGATGATCATTTTGGTTCCTCAAATAATCAAATGATAATTACTCTTAATTATAATATATTGTCCATTAAATTTATTATATTATTAATTAATTAAAATATGTAGTAGAGATGAATTTTAAATTTATTGTCATAAAAATTAATGATTATTACTAATATGGCAATTTATGATTAAGGTTCAATTTGAATTAAATTTCTTTTGTAAATTCAAATTAACTTATATATATATATATATATATATATATATATATATTTTAAAAGTTACTCTTATTTTTTTTAATTGGAAAAGATAAGCTATTTTTAACTTGTAAAAGAAGTTTTATTATTTTTTATATTATTTGTTTCTCTTATAAAAATTTATCTATAAGCTCACTCAAATTGAGCTGAAATGATAATATAAAAGTTGTTACTATAAGTATATTATAATCAAATTACATTTTTAATCTCTAAAATCTCAACAATTAATATTAAAATGATTAGTTTTTGACAATTTCGGTTTTCAAAATAATATTTTCACGATTTCAGAAATTAAGTTAATCAATACTCGTAATTTTAGTGATTAATTTAATGTTATATTTTTTTAAAAATATAATAGAAAGAATTATCTAACACAAAAGGTAATAAACATTGGGCTATGGAGAAAAAATGAAGAAAAAAGAAACACCTCAACACTTAACAACTGTGTACTATACAACCTTTTATGAGTAATGTACAATGTACATATCACAGTACAAAAAATATAAGATACATATTTATACATGACAAGTGACATCATAATTTAAACTCTGAAACACAATATTGTTGGGAGAACTGAGAGTACTCAGCAAAAAAATGTAGCCAGAGAAAACAACTATTGAAAAATGGTGGAGAACTAGGAGGAGGATTTTGAGATGAACATGGTGACCTTTTTTTAATGTCTTCTGGTTAGGCGGATTTCAAAACCATTCACTAATCGAGCAGAGGGAAAAAAGGATATCCTATCTTCCTTGATTTGAACCCATCTGTTGAAAACATTCAGCAAATAATCAGCTATGGTTAAATTCTCTTATTTATACTGTGGCTTAAATTTATGGCATGATAGAGAAATACCACTTAATGTATTTTTTTAACACACTTTTTTAATACATGAAATTCATGTAAAGTCTAAAGACCCTGTCATTTACATTTGGTGTGATCTAAGAAAGAAAGTGAAAAAATAAAAATAAAATACAAAAAAGAAGTGATTAAGAGATAAGTAAAATTTTAAGTTGTTTTATATGATAAAAGAATATGAAAGAAGATTTTAAAAATTGACTTCTTTAATATACAATTATGCCCTTTATAAGGTAATAAAGTCTAATTATTTGTAACAGGTGATTTTGTCATTTTTTAATGCTTTCTTGTAGTCTTTTCACTTTTCTTGGCTTGAATTAAGGAAACAAAAATATGTGTCTAATTGTTTCTCTTTCTCTCTCTTTATTTCTTTCTTATTATTCAACACTTCTAAACAAGAGAAGAGATTTTGGAAAATGTGCTTCTATTTCTCCTAATTTTTCTTGGCAAATTCTTACTCACCAAATTTAAAAAAAAAAAAAAAAACGTGTGAGAAGATGTTAACTCCTGTTCCTTAAATAATGTGTGAGAGAGAGGCATTACCTATAGGTAGTTACAAAGTAATGAAGAAAAAAAGCAATTTGAAGACGAGCCAATTCTGCTCCTGGACAGAATCTAGCACCTCCTCCAAAGGGTGCATAGAAGGGACTGGTTCTCCAGTTTCTCTTTTCCTTCACAAAGAGCATATGAAATAAGAAAGAAATGAAATTTAAGTAAAATTCAAGAACATAATTATATCAAGTTTGCACCAAAATGGTATGTGGACTAACCTCATTTTCAGGTTCCATCCATCTCCAAGGATTGAAGTTTAAAGCTCCACTATATACATTCTCATCTAAATGGACAGCTGAAAGAAATGGAACTACAAAGCATCCTTTGGGAATAACAAAATCTACTCAAACGAAGATAAGGCAGTGTTAGTAGCCTATAATAAAACTTTTACATGTATATCATGGCTGCAATAGTAGAATTAACCGATCATTAACAAGAAAAAGATTTAGAATTTAATTGATATGTACTATCAATGTAAAAGAGTTAGTTACTTACATCAATTATAATGTTTAATAATAATAAATAATAGTGTCAATTTAAAAGTAAATTTACACGCAAAAGAGTATACCTTGGTATTGAATGTCTTCTTTTGCTTCTCTCATTAACCAAATTGCAATACCCCCAAGTCTGAGTGTTTCATCAATGACCTGTTTGTGCAAAACAAGGAATCTTAATTGTTATCTACTATTGAATATGAAAACGGTTGGTATCCATTCATGAAGTGTATACACCTAGTGAAAGATGTGATAGGTGATGTAATGTGACAGGAAAAAAGAAAGAGATAAAGAGAAAAATGAGGAGGAGATAGTTGCAATTGTAAGAAATTCAAAATTAGATTGAATAGATCATTTACAAGTTTAACCAATGCCTTTTTGTAGAAAATATTTATAAGATGAAGTGTCCCATCAAACTTGAAGTCAACACAATCTAACATGAAAAAGAGTGAAAAGTTAATCACTTACACATTGAGTGAACGACATTGCTTTATAATCCTGCCATGTAAGCAATTCCTCTCCAGAATTACTCCTTAGAGAATCATATTCATCCTGTCCAAGTGAAAATTTTTCAATTTTTTTAGAAAAAGGATTTTCATTTTTAATTATAGAATCTAAGAAACTTACTCAGAAAGTTATATGTACAAATTAAAAATAGGGGGGGGGGGGATTTCAAGAATAGGTCTGTTATATATATACCAGTAGTTGCTTCATGGCTTTAGGACATTGAGTTAGGAAATAGACTGCAAAAAGCATTGTTTTGGTGGTTGTTTCATTCCCAGCAAAGAGAAGATTGATGATGAAGTCTGCAACAGCGTCATCAGGCAAGCTTTCTTCCTCTAGAAGTCTTCCAAGTACACCATTGCTTACTATGGGAGCACCATTCTGTCTATGAACCTCAATGGTTTTGTTTAACTTGCTTATTATTCTCTCCCTTGCCTGATATTCAAAGAATGTCACTTCAATACCATTTGACTAGATAACCACATCTAATCAGATTAAACTTAGAATTATATTTTCTAAAAGTAATTTCATTACAAAATGATCAAACAATCTTAATGGGATAGATAGGTTCCCTGTGATAAATTTGCACCTAATTATTGCTTTTGCTTTTCTTTGAGTATTAATGTGACAATAAATTCATTGCTTCATGTTGTCAGACGGTTCTTGAGTTCGCTTATCGAAGGAATGTGATCATAAGAATAACAAACTTGGTTTTTTAGGCTATAGTTCAAAATTATATGGCTAGAAAGTGTATGCTTAAATAAAATGCGAGCCTTTTCAATTTTATTCTTTTTCATTCTTTTGTGTTTTTTTGTATTTGTTCACTTTAAATATCAGCGGTTTTGAAGTTTTCTTGTGGTACCTTCATAGCAGTGTGGTATGCAAAGCCTTGGATGTTGATAGGAATGGATAAACAACCATCAACAAAGTCAGAAAACAACTGAGCCATTTCATTGACTTGAGACTCACTTGAAGCCCCCAATAGTTGATTTACCATTAAATGTATAGCCACCTGAAGTAAGTCATGCAGATACTAATTATAAATGAGCATATTGATGTTGACTTTACACACAAGCACATTATCAATTAAAATTTCATACCTTTCTACAAACATCCTGAAGAAGAATGACTTGGTTGTTTTCAAAACTGCTCAAAGTTTGGAGCATGACCTTTTGTATGTCAT